CTCGGGACTTCTCGGGTCTGGTAAATCTGGTAATACTGCGTAGCGAGCCATCAGGCATCGGGTCCCCACCAGTGCACCCGGTGTGCAATCTGGTAACACTGGTTTGCACTGGTCTAATCTTTTATACCGCGACACCCAATAAGGAATGTATAAAATCATGTACAGAGTTGTTCGTGTTACAATTATTAAATATTAAATGTAATTAGGATCGAGCATATACTATTAAATTTGAGGAAACTGTACGAAAAAGTAAACGTTTTTTTCTACTCCCGCGCCATCTTGAATTTCTGGGAATTTGACTCATAGTAGAACAGTGTCAGTATACAGATATGAAAACGGAAAGTAGAGTAAGGCAAAATGATGGTGAGAAAACTATTGTAGAATATATTTTTCTGACAGTAATCTTCGATTTTTTGAAGTAATATTGTGCTTATTATTTTCTATTAAAACGAATTTTAAAATTTAATCGATTGTTAAGTGAATATTAAAAATGAAAATAATAAATGTAGCGAACGTTGTCATTTTCATTATTAATCAAATTTAAAATTTGCATACTCATAAATAAATAATATTTATCTCCTATTTCAAATTCTAACCTATTTCAATTGAAAACATTATCTAAAGCAAACGAAACGTCTTACATTTTTTTAATTTTAATACTATCAAATGTTTACTAATACTTTAACAAACATTTAAACATATTTTCAGATTCCTTGAAACAAGCATCAACTAAGCAAGCTATTCTAACAGTTGCAGTGATCTTTATTACTTCATTATCGGCAATGTTTTATGTGTATACTAGTTTTCCAGAACTTGCAGAGTAAGAAAAAATGAACACATTCCATTAATAGAAACATATAAATTTGCTATTTATTCTTTCAGAAATGAAAGACAACACTTGAAGTTACCATTACATATTGAAGATGCTAAAAACCTGGGTAAACTGTTAAGTCGTTATAAAGACCTCTATTATTTCCAAGTACTAGCTGGATTATTTATTACATATATTTTGTATCCTTAAATATTTCGTTTAATATCTTTAACCCTTTTGCTGTGGATAGTGTACATATAGATATGTTATCAAATAATAGCCTTATACCCAAGATTTTTATTTGTAAGTCTACAAAGACTTAAGGAGACAAAGTAATTTAAAGAAACTGAGCATGTTTGTCGCATAAGGAGTATATTTTTGATTAAAATATGCCACAGTGGAAGAGTTAATATGAAATGCTATAGATTTAGTTTTTGTTAAAATTGGAATAATTCAAAATTTATTAGAATGCATTTCGTAGTTGAACATTAAGTTATAGTTGTTTATAAGTGTAATTTATAAAATAATCTAAAATTCCTTAACATGAATTCAGCTTACAAACTTTTGCTATTCCAGGTTCCATTTTCCTCTCAATCCTGTCTGGCTTTCTTTTTCCATTTCCTTTAGCTTTATTTCTAGTATGTACCAGCAGTGCAGTAGGAGCATCACTTTGTTACTTTCTGTCATCGCTTCTGGGGCGTAAACTACTTTTTAGATACTTCCCAGAAAAAGCACAAGAATGGATGCAAACAGTAAAAAAACACAAACACCACCTTTTTAATTATATGTTGTTTCTTCGGATAACTCCACTACTACCAAATTGGTTCATCAATCTAGCTAGTCCCGTAATTGGAGTACCTCTTGCACCTTTTGCTATAGGCACATTTTTTGGAGTTGCTCCCCCATCTTTTGTTGCAATACAAGCAGGTCAGACGCTGCAAAATTTAACTTCTTCTAGTGACGCATGGTCTTGGAACAGTATTCTAATTTTGTGCGTGTTTGCAGTGCTATCATTAGTACCTGTTTTATTTAAGCAAAAACTACAACAAAAGTTAGATTAAATTTTAGGGAAAAATTGAATAAAATTTTATTTATTCAAAAAATGCACTTATTTGTGTTAAGTGTTTAGGAAGCTAAAGATATAACAAAAATATTTAAGATTAATTTAGTTGCAATTCAATCGTTAATGTTGAATCAATTTCAATATAATAAAAATTGTTATTAATCAAACAGTAAAAAACATTCCTTGAGCAAAAATGAAGGATTTTTTAAAAACATTTACTTAAAAATTAATAAAAAGAAAACGTTAAAAATGTTAATTCTGTAGATTTTTTCAATCTTTTCAGATTTATTTTAATCAATTCTTCATATAAACTTTCTTATATTTCTATTGTAACAATTTATTGAATTTATCAACAAAACTTTAGATTTATAAAATCTTGACAAACTGAATTTGAATTGCTGTTATATATGTTTTAATGCGCAATTAACTTCTATTTTCAAAGAAAATAATAATTTAAATAACGTTGCAAAGTAATTTAGCAAAATGAAGTCATGTAATTTATGGAAACATTAGTTGTATTTATAGCTGAAAGGCTGATTGGTCGCCAGTACCACCAATTGTACCACACTGAAACAAAAATGTAATTTAAATAATTAATTGTCTTAAGAATATTAAATAGCACGCAATTAATTACAGCAAAAAATAACTTAAATTAAATATAAATAAAATGTTTGTTAAAAATATACAACATCAAGAATAAAGATAGATTGACATCATGAACTTGAAATTAATTTACTTATTTAGCCCTTTAACGTACGATTTGTTTTTTAGTCTTCTGATAAAAAAAATGATCAATTTTCATCATTATGAAATTATAATCTAAGGTTAATATAATAAGTTTCATTTTCAACAACATAGAAAGAATAATTATTATAATAAAAAGGTAAGATTAAAATGAAATGTAAAGATAAGATTTTACTTTTATAAATTAATAAAAAATGAGTCATACAAAATATATTCATGCATATTACCAGCATGTACATTCAGGGGCTAATTAACTGTAAATTAGGGTACATACAAGTTTTTCCAGTGGATAGTAATACTGTGAAGGGTTTACAGGATTCAGTACATTCTGGACTTGATATCATTTTGATCAATCTGGCACCAGTCGTACATCTTATCACTACATTACTGCACTCGGGATTTGGCTGTCATTTAATAAAATACAATTTATTAATTATAAAAATAGTTTAAAGTTTAGGATTTATATAATTTTAATAGTTATAAACTAAAATAACTATAATGAATTATAAGTTACATGATAAAGATTTCAAATACCATTAGTAACAATGAAACTATTTGTTAAAGAATATTGTTGATAATCTGAGTAACTAGTACAATAATATTGATTCCATGTATCTAACAAAAAGAATTCTCTGAATGTGTCATTCACTTTTTAATTAGGGCTTTGTGCAGCGTCAGAGCTACAAATACTGTTATTATTAATACATATATGATTTTTGAGAGTAGAAAATTATTAGTGTACAAGACTAATGTTAAAATTTTTGTATGCTTTGTTTCTTGAAGATTTAGTTTAACTAAGCTGAGCACATAATACGACCAATAAGGTATTTGTTTGTTGAACCTGTGTTCTTTCAATACAGATTAAAACCTGCTGAAATTTCTTCCTGAATGATTTTTCAGTTTTTTTTTTAATTTTTATTACATATTTTTAAGTATGTAATGCCTACATTCAAAATAACTTAATAGCTATTGTACATTCTCATCAAATTATTTACTCTTTGGAAGATGAAAAATGCCAAAACATTAAATGTTTCTTATACTATTAACCAACTACACTTACAACTACATATATATATCATTAGCTCCAGTATCTGAAAACTCATAATTTTATAAAACTTTATTAAAAAGTTAGCGTTGCGCCAGAGGATTTTCTTTGTAAATACCAAATAATATTTTTTAACTTATGAAAATATCTAAGAAGTAATCTCTTACCAGAGTATAAGGCGGAGAATTTTGTTCATCAAAGAAAATAAATTTTTCCATACTTTGTTCCCACCAAATTGGAGTACTTTCAGGCTTTGGAAATAATTTTCTCAAAATTCTCCCTGCTGTCATGCGATTAATTCTCCACGTGATATGATTATCTAAGTTCTTCGAAGGATTTAAATCCATTTTACTTTCCATTATACTGTGAACATTTCTGAAACAATTTGTTCAGGATTCAAAAAACAATATATTTATTTTATTTTAAATAATCTTCTCGTTTCAATTTTTGTGTACTACCTGTAGGTCAAGTTATTAGAAAATACTTTCCTAGCATCTTTTTCAAATACTTTTAAATTTTGCCAAAATAATTGTCGTACATTTTCCATACGAATTTCTGATAGATTTTCTGTTTTTGTATATGGAATTCCAGGATTAAAGGATCTAGATATATGATGACCAGTTAAATCGGGTACAAAGTGTACAACACTACAGGGCCAACAATCAATATCATTTACATAGAAATATGGATTTTCCAATATACACCATTCATCATAAAATTCTACAAAAATATGAATATAAAAATAAATATGAAAATTAGAATTGATTTTCTCTTATAAATTATAAAGACTCATGTAGTGTGCTTTCTTTGATACTAAGAATCTACTAACAAATTCTGAATGAGATGTATTAATTTTTGCCCTTAGAACTCAGTTATACTTCATTAAATAAAAATAGAAAATTATTAATATTAAACTAAAGAGAAATAAAAAAAAAATTCGAAAAAACACACAGTTCATGATGTAGTGTATAAAATTATATTTTAATATTAATCCACTATTTTGTAGTGGATGTTTTAACTAAATGTAGAACAATCTTTGAAAAATATCTCTTAAAATATTTACATAACTTAATAATTAATATTTATCAATGTTAACACATTCGCGGATAGTACAAATTTTAATGAGCTACAAAAATGAACAGGTGATTTATTCTTTAACCATTACATTAAAGTGCATAATAATTTGAAAAAATAAAAACTATATAGATTTGAATGCATAATAATGTGGCTTATAAATATGAATGTTAATGGCATTCGTATCATTTAGCATTACAATGAAAATTTATGCTATAGCATTCACGTCCGCGAACGTGTTAATAATTTTTATTAATATTTTATTCTATATTTATAGACAGTTTTGTGTTTTGAAAGAAGGTTAAAACAAATTATGTTCTAATTAAATTACAAAATATTATATTAAATTATTTATCAAACAATCTATGCATTCTATGTAAATTGATGGTTATTAAAATTTATTATTAATATCATTATTTTAAAATAATTTATAATTTGATCGTACCAGATAAAGAAGGATAATATTGAATTATTGGCATGGCTATTTTTCTAAGCAATTTCAAAGATGGATAAATAGAATTTTGCAAATTTCTCATTATCATAACTGCTAAGAATCTCGAATCAAAAGATAGGAAACATATAATAGTCATAAACGAAATTAAAATCATGATTTTTAAACAAGATATACATTTTTTTTCTTTTTTTTTGAGAATACGAAAGGAGGTTTGTAAAGTTGTATCAATTTCAGACTCTGAAATATCATTTTCACGTGCATACTGGCGAATCTCTTCTAGTTTGATTTTATACAATTCTAAATTAACCATTTTTCGAAAACAAAATAAAATTAATAAGAAGTCAGTTTTCAATTGTAATTTTATTTACAGCCATATAGAATATGTGTACGTGTATATGCAAAAACTGATTATATGTTTCAAAATATTTATGTAAATTTCTGACTATTGTAGTAATAATAAATGACAAATCCACAAACTGCTGACAATTCGACAATTAGGGTTCCCAAGCAGCTCAATTGTACATTTACTGCGTTAAGTTGGTCGAACTTCAACCGTTGAAGTCACTGATCTCTATATTACATAGATGATAGATAGCTGTGTAGGACATAGAGATCAGTGCACACTCATACAAGCTCGTTATGACGGAGAAGGGGTAGTCAATGTTGGTGACTTCCTACAATTTTCCCCTAAGTTAAACGAGATTATTGTAGCCTATTGTACATGCAGATTTATTAAAAAGAAGTGTATTTGATACAGCTGCGAGCGTGTTTACCTACAGCTGAATTATAGAGTACTCATAAAACAAACATGGCGTTGTGTTATACGAGGTAGTGAAATGTTGTTTAATTACTTATTTGATTTAATTCCATTTAAAATAATATAGATTATAAAAATGAATTTCTTTTAGGCTGCTATGTCGACGCAACATCAATTTTCATAGTTTTCGGAGTTTATACACTTGCAGGTGACATGTTACATAATATATAACCCCTTCGTTTGATTTGAATGTCACTTAAATTTGAACATATTTCAGAGTTTATAAATTATATTTATGTACGAATTACGCGTGTAGTTCACTTTTCAAATTTTGACAGTTCAAAATTTAATATCAAAATAATCTCATTTTAAAGGATTTCGGTAAACGTTATTTTAGCTTTCACAGTTTCATGTGACATTAAAATGTAGAAGTAACAGTTATTGAAATAAATTACATAGCCCACTTAATGTTGCTGTTTCTAAACCACTGTGTATGGGAAGCACGGTTTGTGAAACTCATGATGAGAAGAATGCACGCCTCAAGCGACCTATGTCACCACATTTGACTATATATCAAATTCAGTTAACATCGTTTTTGTCAATAACGCATCGTACAACGGGATTGATATTATCAAGTTATGCAATGTTACTTGGTTTAGGTAAGATTATGTTATCTCTGTTCAAAATGAAAACATAGAAAACCATTCATTGTTAAATGAACAATTTCTAATTACAGGAACTTTGTTTATTCCTGGAGGTATTCCTTGCCTTATTGAAATGACTCAAAATTTAGGTTTGTCTACTCCGCTCCTGTTTTTAGGAAAAACTATGATAGCTTTTCCTGCTACGTATCATACTTTTAATGGATTTCGACACTTGGTAAAATATCGTTTATACATTCTTGATAATTTATTATCTTTTAGATAACTTTTTTTTTTTTAAAATGCAAAGGAATAAATCTTTATTTTTGAATTCGCAGGCTTGGGATATGGGAATGTTCCTTACAATCAAAGAAGTGTATAGCACTGGTTATGCAGTACTTGCATTATCAGCAGTTTCTGCTATTCTCTTGGCTGCATTGTAAGTCTAAATAATTACATTACTATGTTGTGATATAATTTTGATTCAAAATTAATTGTATTACCAAGTTGGTAAGTTGCATCTTATATTTTGTGAATCATATTAAACTTAGAATAAAATAATTTGTTAGACAGAATCATTGATTAATTCATAATTGATAAGTGTAGCATAATTAAAAAGTGTATATGATAATTTATTTCAAAAATTTATTTATGTTTGGGTAGTTATAATTTGAATAAACAATAAATATATCACTCAAAACCTTCAAGAGATGACTGAATAAATTTTGTATAAATTAACATAAAGCGAGCAATAAATGCTTCTAAATGAAAAATTGGTTTTGACCCTTTGTGCATCTTATGTTCATATTCGGCAGCAACCGTTGCGATTTCAATTTTTAATTGTAAGTCACAATTCTTTATGCATTCTTGTAAGAGACCCTTAAATATTAAATCACATGGTATGGCATGCGTCAACAACTCATAAAGTCTGTTGCGTATTTTGAGAAGCTCTTTCGGACTTTGTTCGCTAACCATCATATTAGCCGTGTTTCGAATATACACTTGCCAGTCCGGTTCCGTAATTTTTTGATTTTCAGTAAATGGATACCTGTAAGTGAAATTAATATATGAAAAATTGTTTTATTTGCGCGAATTCTTGTAGTTACAGCTACACTTACTGTTCGACTTTGCAAGCTTCAAGCATTAATATTGCTCGTCTAAGATTCCTACCACTTGTTTCTGCTAATCTAACAGCTAATTCATCGGGTAAAGTTAAACCTTCACGTTTACAAATTGAGTGCAAGATATTTTTTATGTCTGATATTGACGGAGCTGGTACTTTAATTCCTAAACATCGCGACTTTATTGCTGGCAAAACCCGCGACGTTGAATTTGCACAAAGTATTAGCCTACAGGTAGCAACATATTTTTCCATTGTTCTTCTAAGGGCATGTTGAGCATCTTTTGTAAGTTCATCCACATTGGTTAGCAGTACCACTAGTGTAAAGTATTACTATTATTGAATGAACATTAAATAATTCAGACAAGCAATTATAATTTTACATTTACCTTTGAATTCTCTTTGCCCACTGGAGTCTATTTGATGAGTTTGTGCTGTTGTCTTTATCAAATCCATTACAACAACTCTATCATATATTCCCACATCACTAAGATTTACTTCTATATGATAGTTGCTGCTTATCGTTGTTATTTCCAATTTTTTCTTAGCTGGTGTCTAAAAAGTATAAATAAATAAATTTTATACTTGAAGATAATTATATTTGCTTAACCAGTAACAAATATAAAATACCTCAAAATTCATAGTTTCCATTCTTAGCCTTTCAGCTCCGCTTCCATATAACTCTCGTATAATACACATTATACGAGTTTTTTTTCCTGCACCAGGTGGCCCATAAACTAATAAATGTGGAAAATCTCCCTTTTTTACCTGCAATATAATGTTCAACTAATTTAATAAAGATAAACGTTCCTAACCTTTCTTTTAATTCATATATGTTTTAACAGATGTAATTACCATATTTTTTAAATATTCTGCCTGTTCTGTGTGGTAATCCAATTTTCCGAGCATTGTCGGACGATATTTATCTACCCAAAGACTCATCTTAAAATATTTTGTACAATACTTCAAAAATTGTTACCAAAATCTCACGTACTTGTCGATTCACAAATATAATTACTAAATATTACAATTTTAATGTGTATATCATTTAATAATGTAAATTTTGTACTCCGTTATTTGCATATGCAATAGTCGTAAGTTAAACGTTAATAACACTCAATTTTTACTGTCATAAAAGAGGTAAATATACATAACGACTTTTTAAATATACGAAACTGTGGACAACTCTGTAAGAATGTCTCCCCAATTTGATTACCCGGTCTTTCATGTTTTTATTATTCTCTTTACGAGTATCTTTAACTTATAAATTAAAAGATTGAAATTAGATGTGAAAGAATCGGATTATCGGATTTCTCGACAATTTCAAGCACCCGGCTATTGTTTCTCGAACTATAGCAGTGCCCATATAAATGACGAAGCTCGGGTGTAAGTAAGATACAATAGCTGGCACCCGAAATCATACAGGGTGTTTGACCACCACTGGGAAAAATTTTAATGGAAGATTCTAGAGGCCAAAATAAGACAAAAATCAAGAATATCAATTTCTTGATTAAGGCTTCGTTAAAATGTTATTAAAAAATTTCAAATCATTCACGGAAAAATTATTTTCGTTTGCGGGAGTCAATTTTAACCATTTTTGGTCAATAAACATACCCTCGAAATCCTACGCACTTTTAAGATCGTTATCGATATGTTGTATACATGTACAATATATCGATAACGACCGGCGTCAAGTTACGCTCGACACGCTCGATGTTCGAACCCGCTTGGCTTCTAAGAATTGGTGGGGATAACTCTGGTCACTTATGTGGGCACTACTGCACTTGGTAGTGCTGTATAGCAGCTTGTAAAATATGTAAATACACAGTCACACGTTTGTTTATATGACACTCTTAAAAAGAATTCATGATAGATAATATTTTTTCTATTTCTAAAACGAATATAAATGATTAGTAGGTTCTCAAAATTTTCAAAAATCCCGAAAACACGAAAAATTTCGTGTTCTCGACCCGACTCAATATTTCAGGATCTCGCACATCTCTAACTGGGATACAGACATAACTTTATCTTAGCTTTTATTTGTATATTTCATTATACAATAATTGCTTGCTTTTTCATCAAAAGCTAACACACTTTGGTAAATACAATAAATCATTGTACGAAATAGATCAGTATTATCCATAACGAAATGATTACATCTTAAAAAGTACGTAAGTTTTGTATAAAAATGAAATTACACATAAAATAATCTAAATTAATAATGATAATGGCAATGTGTGAAAGTGGTTCTAATGATGCACTATCATTATTCTATTATATAAATCGAAACAGATTTATCTTATTTAACGAACGTAATTAAATTTTTTACACAAAAATTCAATGTTTTTTTAAACGAATTACACCGAACATGATTTCGTAATGAAATTTAAGGAAACAGCTTTTTAAATATTTAGAAATACAAACAATATAAACAAGATCAGCGTCAGAATTACTAGTAACTTGATGCAAATTGTAACATAAACGCTTCTTTTAATTCAAATTATATGAATTAAATATAAATGGAACTAACATTTTGTAAACTAAAATAGTATGTATTATATATATTATTTTACAAATTAATTGTCGTTCAAACGAATCTAGTAATCTTGCTTTTAAACTAGCAAAACTTTGTATAGAGATAATTTGTATAGAAAGCTATGTTCAGATATGATAATCGTGTATTTTTTTTTTGTATTAAATCCATACTACAGTTTGTTTCTTTTTTATTGAATCATCCATCACAAGAGGCGCTCTGACGCAGTGCATGATTTGCATACACATAATGCTGACCTTGAACGTAAACTAGAAGGTTTGAATAACGTGTTTCAGACTTCGTTATCACATACTTTCAACGAATATGTATGTAGATATGTACAGTCCACCAGGTTGATTCATTTTTCTGCTTCAAGAGAAAGTCACTAGTGTCTACTTTTCTTTAGAAGTCTTCACTTGCTCTTCTCCTTCATGAAACGCTAGCAATTTTCTCCTAAAGTGGAGAACGAATAACATAGCTGATCATACATAAATGATACATAAAGTAAACGTACATACTACATTTTTATTTCAACTATATGTATAGTGCACCAGTATGTAAATGTTTTTAATTCACAGAATCATTTTGATTATAGAAAATATATAATATTATATTATGAATTGTTCCATGAAGCTTGCAACAATTTATAAGTACGTTTTTGTAAGTTAAACAATGCGAGTGCACCACACGATTTATAATTTTAGTACTTTGAATAAATGTATTGTCCGATATCTATCATCCTTTATATACACATGATGATGTTTAAAATGACTACTGTTAACACTTATAGCTATGCTTGTTGAAAATTATATGGCCAGTGGACGAAACAAACAGCTATAAATTCATGAACGATACGAAAGGAAAATATTTATTTTACTTACGTCGTCCCCACTAAGGGCTATGTCACACGGATGTTAGCATCGACAGTGCCATCGACGATTGGATGTCAACTATATTTCAATCGCTTTCAAATAGTCATAAAAATCTTTTGTGGTTGTCTTGCCAAAATCGGTAACCGATATCGACGCCAATGCCCGTGTGACTGACCCTAAATGCGCATATAGCGCGTATGTCTCTAGATAAAATATTTAGCTGTGTTATATTAAGAATGAAAGATATTATGTTCGACATATTGAATTACATCGACGTAATATATGTTTATACCCAAACACCGTGTGGATTTTTGCTCGTAGGTACTGCAGTCTCTAATTGTCGTGGGGAGCCTATCATTTTACGCGTACTTCCAGGCTTGTGAGCACCTAAGTTATAAATATATGTAAACGAAATTAGCGAATTAATTCAATGTTCTAATTTATATTTTCAGTTACACTCAAATACCTTCTAGTAACGATTTGACTTGTTCGTCTTGACAAGCAACAGCTAGACTTTGTAAATTAGCTTCTTTCATATCAGCTACTAGTCGTTCGACTTGTAATTTTTTCTCAACAATCGCCGATTCCAAACTTACTACCTCAAGTTTGAGCGATTCCGCACATTGCGAAGCTAATTCAGCTGAACGTTTAGCTTGTTCTACTTCGTTTTGAAGATGCTCAACTTCGCTAATGATTTTACGTTCCATTATTTGTCTTTCATCTGTTTCACGACTTATATTGTGTTGCTCTATAGCAAGCTCTTCCATAACTAATCTATAGTGTAAAGAAATAAAGTCAATACTGTATCATACATTTAATTGCATGAAAATCAAATCATAATGATACCTTTACCTGATTTTATTTTTACACTGAAGTAACTCTGTTTCACAATTAGCGAGTTTTGATCTTAACAAAGTGATTTCCGACTTTAAAGTTTTTTCTTGTTGTCTAACTATTTCACTTTCTTCTTCTACATGTGCCAATTCTTTCAGCTATAAAGACAATCAGTATAGTAATCGTAAAAGGTATTTTAGCTGTGTTTTAAATACATGCCTGTTCCTCGATAAGACGACCTGTAGTTTCCATACGACTTACTTCCTGAGAAATGAAATCCATCTGATGCATTTGTTCCCTGTTCTTAGTTTCCCAATATAATATTTCAGCATCAAACTGAAAACCAGTAATTAAATATATTTTATCAAAGTTTCTATCTATGATGAAGATAAACCTTCATACTTTAGTAAGATCTGCTTGTTGTGCATTAATAGTATCACGTTGCTTATTGACTAGTCTGATAAGTTCAACGTATCGTTGAGTATATGCAACAGTAACCATGTTCTGAGTCTGACCAGATAACTGATTTACAGACTGAGTTTGTCCTTTTGTATCTTGAAATTCCTAAATATACAAAACTAATTAAGCATTTGAATACATATAACTGTATATATTTGTAAAAAGAATCTTTTCTGTAGAACCTGAATTAGATTTCTTTTTAGCTTGACAGAATTACTAGAAGATGGTTGATCTTCTTTATGAACATGAGGACTTCCACTATTTGTACTAGATTGAAATTGAGATCTTCCAGGACTATTTAAATTAGGTGGTGGAGGATCCCTGTAGGGGGGTAAAGTTCGTAAAGGCGGCGAAGCTGGACCTGGAGGATCCCTATATGGGGGAACTTCACGTATTTTTTTTTGCGATAAATGTGTGTTACTTTCACTGTTCGTACAAGTAGGAGACTGAGTCGGTTTTTGTATATTTTTTTTTATATTCGATTCCTTATTTTTTAAATGAGGTGTGGGTTGAACTATGGCAACATTTTCCATTTGAATCTACAATGCGAATATAAACTATGATAAACTATTATAAAAAAATTCTTAAAAGCGTGTAATGTAACCTAGAAACTATTTACTTCCGTATTATTTTCCATAACATTCCCATGTAATCCTCCAAATGTTAAAGATTGTCTAATGTGACGATTCCTATCAAGACATCCTTGTAAATCATCAAATTCAGAGTTTGAAACTGTTGTGGCACTCTTGGTATCATCTTGTCCACTATTGAGCATTGTGGCATGCTCAGAGGCAGAGCTTACCAAACCATTTGATCTTGAACCATGGGTTGAACGGGTTCCTAACGAACTAGGAGTTTTATTATTTTCTGGCGAAGAGCGTCTTAGTATCAGCTGTACTTCCGAAGAGTATTCTCCCCATTTGACTAAGATCTTATCAAACAAATGAAAATAATATTATTAATTTTTAAATACTTAGCAATCATTTCCTAAAAAAACTTATGTCAATACCTTCAGAGGATTTTCATACGGAGGTAAGAGACGCTCATTTGTACGCCATCTTTCTACTAAAGTAAATCTACCTGTTTGTCCAGTTGCATGGGCAAGAGCATATACTACATCCTAAAAATTAATTTAACATTTATATTATATATTTGTTATTATAAAAAATACCATTAGCAAACAATTTTCACCAAACGTTAACCAAATTAATTCAAATTGTAGATTCATAAAATTATGTTGATTATCTGATTTAGTTTTACTTTAAAATATTTAAATAAAAAATGCCAACCTGACATGTAGTGGTTTCTGTAACACCACACACAATACGTTGTATACCCTCTACCCATACTTTTAGCTCCATAACGTCACCAATTTGTAATCACAAGATTAAACCTTTGCATTGCAAAATGATGATACTGAAAAGTTACAAATCATTTATTAAACTTAAATTTAATAAGAAATAAACCATTGATTATTACGTGAATTTACCCAACAATTGTTTACAAGTTTCGTTAGATAGCGATCCTTTTGGAAGCTTGAATAATATTACAGTAAAATCAGATTCCTTTAACCTGTAATATGTAGTCATTAAAATGACAGATTTAAGTCCATGATAACACAGAAGACAGGCAAATGCTTTTCTCTAACTTTCCGTGATAACAGTGTTATATACGCTGCTTTGTGAAAAAGTTGTGCTCCCTTAATCAGTAACCAATCGTTATGCATCTTCACAGAGTGAAATTTTAATGCACATCTTTTCACAGATATGCATGTACATTTTACAGACTCAAAATTCAGCAGTTTATTTTAGTTTTGTTAAATAATATGAAATTAATAGGAAGCATTTAGAAATTGAAAGATTGCCAGATTATAATTTTATCTTACTACGTAAGAGGGAGCTGAAAACGTTAACGCAGAAATGCATTAAACCTGCTACATTACGATCTACTGAATACAAGAATTTGGCTCGTTTCTCGTCTAACATGTGTACCACTTACGCGTGGTAAAAATCATATTCTTATTTTAAATACTGCTTTTGTATATATTGAGTAAAAGACATAACGAAATAGCAATAGAGAAATCAAAATGCCAAAAGTGCGCGCACAGAAACAAACCCGCATTCATAAAGAAGTTGTGAAGCAGGGTATGAGGCATTTACAATATTTTTATAGTCGTGCCAAATAAGTTTACAATAAAGCTAACTGCTATTTGAATTAGAAGTAGAATTAGATTTAAAAAAAAGTTATTTTATTCACTATTTATCGTATGTATAGAATATCTAACTCCGTTTTGCAAACGAGTGTCATGTAGAAAGATTAATAAATTAAAATTATTCTCTTACATATAGTTTAATTATATTGATTTGTTCGTATTAGGTATTTTGTTTAACACTAATATTGGACAGCACATTTTGAAGAATCCACTTATAATTCAAAATATGGTTGAGAAAGCCGCTGTCAGATCAACAGACGTTGTATTAGAAATAGGTCCTGGTACTGGTAACATGACAATAAAATTATTAGACAAAGCCAAAAAAGTAATAGCATGCGAGGTAGATACAAGAATGGTGGCTGAATTACAGAAACGTATGCAAGGTACACTGTACCAGTCGAAATTGCAAATTATAATAGGGGATGTTTTGAAGACCGAATTACCATTCTTTAATTTGTGTGTCGCCAATATACCTTATCAGATATCATCACCCTTAATATTTAAATTACTTTTACACAGGCCATTGTTCAGGTAATTTACAATGGAATTGATAAAGAAATTAAAAATATTTTTAAAAGAATCGTGCTAATTTCTAATATACAGGAGACACAAGAGGAAATGGGATTGATTGGCACGTTATTTTCTACAGATGTGCTGTGCTTATGTTTCAAAGAGAATTTGCAGAGCGTTTAGTAGCAAAACCAGGTGATAAATTATACTGTCGTTTAAGTATAAATACTCAATTGTTGGCAAGAGTAGATTTACTCATGAAAGTAGGAAAAAATAACTTTAGACCTCCTCCAAAAGTGGAATCAAACGTAGTTAGGATAGAACCACATAACCCACCACCTCCTATTAATTATCAAGAGTGGGATGGTTTGACACGAATTGCGTTTGTTAGGAAAAATAAAACACTTTCCGCAGCATTTAAGCAGACCACAATATTAACAATGTTGGAGAAAAACTATAAACTTCATTGTAGTCTGAACGATAAGGCAAGTTATATTATACATCTGATGAAGCAAATGCTTTTGAATATTAAAAACTTCTTTTTTACACATTATTCAGGAAGTATTAGAAGGATTTGATATTAAAGAGATGGTAAACGGTATCTTACAAGAAGCAGACGCTGCAAATAAACGTGCTAGAACTATGGATATAGATGACTTTATCAGGTATAACAAATATTGTTCTTAATTTCAAACAAGCTACAGGCATTATATTCATGTATCATGATTCACAGTAACATGTGCTTAATTATGTAACAAAATTTTTATTTTAGCCTTTTACACGCATTCAACGCAAAGGGAGTGCATTTTACTTAACTAAAAGTTTGAATCATCCAGAAAAAATATACCTTATGTATTAAAAAGAGTGTATCATTTTTACGGAAAGAATAAATAAAATTGTCTAAACAACATAGAAACGATATTATCATTTGAATTTCGAATCGATGCTAACCCTTTTGCTACAGTAGTGCTGGACAAAAAGTATCCATACACTACAGCCATAAGGTCTGCTAAGTATTCACGTACCCAGTTTTACTGTACGAGTAAATGACATATTCCTAAGCAACATTTCATTGTCTCAGACATGAAATTATTTCTTAAATAAAATATTTCAAGTAACGTTACTTCAACAGTGTTCAGTACGATTCTTGTACCATGTGCGCAATATTTCGTGAAAGACTAAAGTCATCGATTGTGTCCACAGATAGATTCACGAAAAGTGACTTTAGTCGTCAATAGTAGCAAAAGGGTTAAATATGTATGTTATAGTTTCAAAAAAAAAGGTAAACTCATTATCCGTTACAAACCGATTACCTTATGATTTACGTATAACATGTATAATGTACATATAACATTTCTAGGTTTACCTACTTTACAAAAAAACTATGTTTGTGTAAACTTTTAATTAAATTATTTGTTTATAAGATACATGTATATTTACAAACATTCTTTGGGAATCAAGATCGTAAAGAAATATACCCAAGATTGTTGTACATTGATGAAGATAATGGTGAGATATTATACTCTGTAATCGTTTTCATTTATAGAATACGCTTTGCCTTCTTTCACGCATTATCCAAAGTTTTTAACATTGAATCTGGGTACTTTTTTTTATCCAATTAATGTACACTAAAAAAAAAATTATAAACAGGAAAATCTATTAGTTAATGTTGGAACTTTTATACAGAGTCTTTACAAATTGTTACACAACACAAATGGAAGCCATTTTCTTTTAAAAAGCAAAGGAGTGAAACAATACGACTGCATATTTCATATAGCGTAATACAAATACTTTGCCTTAAAGTTCTTTTGGCCGTAATTGTTATCATGTTATCATGGTATGACCATTAAAAATGTCAATTTTAAACCGTGAAGAACTAATACGAATTCGCAATGCTTCATCATTGTTTACAATTCATTTATGAACGAATGCTTTAAAAACTTCGTTATCAATTTTGAATTAAATGGTTTATTAACATGGGCTATTAGTAGCATCTTTTTATGTTCGAACTAAATTAACGATCAAATGCATCGTCGTATTTCCATCGATTTTGATTTAGAGTTACCCTGAGATCTTAGATGACTCCTTCACTCATAGGAGCTGTACATTTCTCTTTACTTTTTATCTAGTAGAATCATTCTTCGAATCGGAATGTTTCAATGCTGCGTACATATCAAGTCTTAAACAGGACGTCGTCGAGTTAATCGCGATCGCATCGATGAATTATACGTTCTACTGCTAGATCGTTTCCTCTTTTTGCTTTTATGCCTATCTTTATGTTTAGATTTTTTCTTACGCGTGTACGATTTATTTGAATAACTGCTACATTGACTGTGCGATCGGTAACGGTCTTCTTCAGAGTCCGAACTACTCCGCATTGCCATCATTGCTTTAAACATAGATTCGCGTCCTTTTCTCGATATATCTCTATTTGTAGACTTGCTATCGTCATCGCTTCCATTTCGTTGAGATTCCCGTCTTCTGGAGCTAATTCTTTTATCTTTTTGTGACGTATACGAAGATGTACTGCTGCTTCTAGATATAGATTGTCGATCATCCTTGTATCTTGATTCTTTTCGATACGAACTTTTTACAACTGATGCTCGCCTTGTTTTATCTCTACTTTTCGTAACTCTTTCATTTTCACCCGTATCAAAGTCACTCGAGCTAGAACTGTAACTTCTTTTCGGCTTTCGTAACGCACGAGATTTTTTATTACTAGTATTTTCATCAGACTCGCTACTACTATCGCTGCTGTACGACTCATCGTCCGTGCAACAATTTTCTTTCTTAATCAAGTCTTTACGAACGCGTACGGTACCTTTTGCAGAATATTGCGGTGTTCTCGATTTCTTTTCATCGCTACTGCTGCTTATTCTCCTTTTTATCGTACGTTGAGTATTTTTTCTTGTTCCTCTTTTTCTAGTCTCACTTTCTCCAGAACTGGACAAATTTCTACTTGCTCGGTTACGAGACCTAGTTTCAACCGAACGATTGCGTCTTTTGGTGGTGCATCTTTTCGATTTCTTGACACGACTTTGATATTTTCTGTTTTTTCTACAAGTATAATCGCTATTTGAATCAGAACTACTTTCTGTAAATGAAGAAATTGAAGCTCTTTTTTTAGCGGATGTACTAGGTTGAGTGTCATCTGCGTAAAAAGTAAACGTGGAAGATCTAGTATAAACATTAAAAGAATAATTTCAGAAATTATTTTGCTTAAAATTAAAATTTTTAAAAAGTAAAAAAATTATTTATTTACTGTGCATTATCAGCCGATACTTGGGAAATGTTAATTTCTTCAGGATCCGAAGACACTAATTCTATAATTTCCGGTGTTCTTTCATGACGAGGTTTAACGTAACCGATTACCTCGCACTCATTGTCAGAAATAGAGGAATCGGAGGAAATAGTTAATACATCTGGTACATTGTACGAAATATCCAATTGAAACATTTGTCCCACGGTACTTGGACCTAATTAAAAAAATATTTTCAATTATATTTCAAACTTAAATATTTAAAAAGAATAAATAATAGTTTACCAGGTATACTGATCGTATGGGGACCCGAACTAGGCGTAACAACGTTCATTCTGAGGTCAATGGCCTCATCAAGAACTCGAACGTCCGAGTCGTCAGAACTGGTACTACTACTGCTAGATGCAGGTGACACAATATTTGACACATATTCGTTTGAAAACCCTGTAACAAATATTAATTTCATATAAAAACAGTACAAAGTATTATTTATAATATAAAAATAACTAATGAAATTATGAACCTTGGGGTAAATAGACCACAGACTGATCGTATCCAACTAAATCGAAATTAGTTCGTGCATAAATGAGCAGTTCGTGTACAAAGTGATCTGTAAACGTGCCAAAATGAGGGCGCACTAAATCGCGAAATTCAAGACTTCTAATATCATACTGACTAAGAGCATCCAATATAATTCTCAATACATATGCAACATGTGAAGCATTGTTAGTAAGTAACACTTGTAATTCTCTATTTAACCATGGTATAAGTCGATTTAACTCTCTTGGTTCTCTTCTGTAAATAAAATACTGTTATGTCAATTTTGTTGACATTTGTGTAGAGCAATAGATGAATACTGACTAACCGATAGTAATCAGGACTACATTCGCGAAAACGTCCAAATACATCAGGTAATGCAGAAGCCCAAATTCCATGCCTATAAATAGTACGACGGTAATCGGCAGGATTTATACGTCTACGTAAACGCTCTCCCATTGAAACTTGAGGAGCTATGCTTGGCAGTTGTTCTCTTCTTGCAACTTGTTCTGGATTAAGCACTATTTCATGCGGACGCCGATGATGTCCTATCACCGTTGTTCTAAAATGATTAAAATTTTATAATTACGAATATCGCGCGTTAAATAACGAGTACTAATAAAATACACACGAAATTGGAGTTCTATACAGCACCTGTAATGAAAACGATGTCCAGTGACGTCCACGCCATGTCCAAGTTCAAAATTAATATCCAAAGTAGCCAATTCTCTAGGCACGTGATATTGATCGTAATCTTCTTCAGATCTTACATTATGTATGATTGATTTGAATGTTTGCTTACATAATGGACATTCTGTTTTTATTTTAGACCATTGAAGTAGGCAAGTAAAACAAAATTGATGAAGGCAGCTGTCTGTGAATGATGTATTCACTAGCTTGCCTAAACAAATACTACAATTAGGAGGAGGTGACACAGCGCCATCGCTTCGATCGCTACTATCTGGATTTTGCACAGGTGCTTCTGATTTAATAGGTTCTTCTGCACCTGTAGCAGAATCTTTCACTTCTAATGGACCCTCCATTATGAATTAATTTGCCTGTTCTTCCATTAAAAGAAACTGGCCTGAAATATATTACATTATATTTTATTGAAATATAACTATTTTATTTACATTTACAGAATTCAATTAGTCATATTATAGTTTAATTGAACAAGTTGACAAATTAAAGGTAATACCATATTTTGGAGTAAATATTTTATTAACATTGAAAATGTTCATAGAACTATCAAAGTAAATATTAAACCTATCACCATATAATTTTGTTGCACAATATTATGAAATAAATAATGTACTTTACAATTCCTGGAAAATACCTAACATATCATTTCCTTTTCAATGTCAAAATGATATAGCATTATAGAATTACTAATTAAGAAATTAACCCTTTGCGGACAAATTTTTTTATTGCTGTAAACATACATAAAAAAATTCTATAAAAATCCTTCGCCACAAATTATTTTCCTTAATATATGTGCAACAACTCACTAAATTAAAATAAAATTGTACATAGAATACTTTTCAAATAAACTTCTGTCCACACAGGGTTAATATATTAAAAATCATGTTCTTAAGGAAAGGATTTTAAAAGAAACATTATACTACAATCATTACAATCAATAAATCTTTATTAAGAATGATAAATCATTGAAAATATTATATTTATGCAAGTATATGTTTATAAATTTTTGTATGAATACTGAGAAATATAAAAATAAAAATGTAACTATGTATTAAGTAATTTCAATCACTTTCAAAATATTATTATTGACTATCACACATGGTTATACAAAAAATTACTTAATTCAGATATAGAACAGAATATAATTGTTGCATTATTTAGCATTACAAAAAATATGAAAGAATCTGATTAATTGAAAGAAAAGGGTAACAAAATATTTGTTTCAACATTACTAAAAAGCTCCACTAGAGACAGTTCATGACTCAGGTCCAGTCAATTTACAAACTACATTTAACATAAGAAAAGTTGAGTGTTTGTAAATTTTAAAACATTTTTGCATAGAAGACACTATCAAAAACGTATAACAATAGTTAGAGAAAAGTGTCACTGAATGATGTCAATGAAATAGTATTCAATGCAGATAATCATAAAATATAAACGATGCTATTTACTTGTCGTGAAACAATTCCTGAATCATTACTATCATAACACGACAAATCTTTATAGATTTATATTTCGATGAGTGGTAAGAAGAGTAAATTAATGTTGAAACCTTTTCTCTTAAATAAAAAGAAAAAAAATACGTCAGACGAAGGAGCAAGAAGGCGTCATAAAGCTGTTTGATAATCGGTATGTTTCATTTTATTTAGCTTGTTATTGATTATCGATGTCACTATTTTTTTCCATAAAAGATGCAGTTCCATGAATATGCCTTACCTTCGAAAAACTTCGACGAAAATCTATACACTAGCTTCAATGCGAAACACAATTAACGTCTTGGAGAAGCTACCTTTTTCGAGAAAGAGTACTCTTACAGAAGCCCATGATCACAAAGCGGAAACTGGTGTAGCATAATACCATGAGTGAGACAGATACTAAACGAAGACGAAGGTAAGAATTATTGTCAATGATGACACGAATAAAAGTTCCTAGGGCATACGCAAGATGCACTGTTGCGTGAAAACTCCTATCGGTAACTTGGGTTTAAGATTGGGTAACTGCAGAGCAGTGTGGCCAGATTGGTCATAATTGAACGCATCGAAAACGAGACAAGCAACGATGAATTTGCTATAGCCCCTAGGAGAGCAATGGGGGGAAAAGCAGACACATGCTTGACATGCTTCGCTGTGGACCATAGCAAATTCGTCGTTGCTCTTCTCGTTTTCGATGCATTCAATATGCTCGATCTGGCCACACTGCTACAGAAGGCCCTAAAGTTTCTAGATATGCAAAGTTCTGATCACGAACCACGGACTTGGGGACATGGAGAGATGAGGCATAAACACGGAGTAACATACGGAGGCAACACTTTTCAGTTTTTGCGAAACCAAATTTGAGGGTGCATGTACCATTCTTCCACGAGAAGAAGGCACAGCGTGTTTACATCCCCACTCCTGTTGCAGTCCGCTGACTTACAGGCATTGATCGAAAACGGTGACGAAATCGGTGACAGCCAATAAGCGGACTGCAGCAAGAGTGGGGATGTAAATACGCTGTGCCTTCTTCTCGTGGAAGGACGGTACGTAAATTGATCAATGGGAGTCGTTAGTAATCAGTAGTGAAAGATTTTTTGAAAAACCAACCGATTCTAATAATAAATAGTACAGTCGTGGATAAAATTAAGTGGACAGGTGTAATGAGTAAACAAAACAACTTTAATTTAATGACTACTCAATTCTGTTCACGACTGTATTATACATACACACAATAGTCAAGTTTTTAATATAGACTCGAAACCAGAAGTCAGAACATAATGATCGTTCTAATTTACCAGTTAAGACTATACCGTTTATTTTTTTTTTTTACACGCGAGTATTATTATGAAATTGACCCGATTGGTGGGTCTTGCCATTTAAATTCTTCTTGGTAAGTGACATAAGTGACCCAGTAACAAATATTGAGAAATCCAAAAGAGGCTGGAAATACTATTCGTGCCACTTTGTCAATGTAAGAAACACTATTTATATGTCTTGCAATTTTTTCTCCATGCTGTTTACAGTTTCTAGCCGCTTCTCTTTGTCTGCACCTCCTGCAATTAAAAAAAAAAGAAATACTAGAAATATTATTGGGTTGAAAAGAAGGTTTGTAGCGTTTTTCACTGTGTTGTGTTGAAATATGTATTTATTGCATTGTTAAAAATATTTTTTAACAAGGTATGTATACTACCTAAATGCCTCATCTCCAGTGAGACAATACAGAAATTGCCGCCATTTTGGTATCCATACTTCTGTTTGTGTTTGTCTTTCCATTGTTGATGGTTTCGAAGAGACGGAAATGCATCCTTGTCCATAGGTTACTGATTCCTGAATGAACAAATTATTATTATCTTAAACTTTACTACCTCTAGCCGATTAATCGGCTTTTCGTTGTCAACGGTTACCGACTGTTAGCCGATTAATCGGCTTTTCGTTGCCCACGGTTACCGACTGCTAGCCGATTGAATCGCTTTTGAATGGTAATGGTTATCGACCGCTAGCTGATTGATCGACTTGTGAATAGCAACGGTTATCGACTGGTTTTCATTTCGACAAAATGAATGTCAAATAATATTTTAACATTTATAAATCACGATGAAATTACAGTGCTTTGAATGAAAGGAATTATTTTCCTATGCGATTGCTAAAACCAATCCGGTACTAGAGAACGGGAAGCGAGCAGTTCGAAGAATACTTCATCCTCTACACTACTCGCGGGTGTCAACGCACTATTTATCAATAAGTTTTGTTATGGCAAAACAGCTGAATTTCAGCAAAGTTCAACATCATTTAAGGGTAATCCGCAGAAGTTAGTTAACGATCTAGTAATAGAATAATTTTATGTGTGAGCATAAGATACTTACGTTAAGACTGTAGACGTCACATATTAAGGAGCTTCTTTCGCGAGGGACATCAGTTGTAGATTCTGGATGTACTAAATGAGAACTACATGACACGATACTACAAATTCCGTCTTGATAACTAGCGTCGCTCGTGTTATCCCAATCCTCTTCATCTAAAGGAATTTCTCCACTACCAACCTATCAATAATACATTTTTAGAGTTTTAAAAATTCTTGAAAATTGTACGAACGTACGAATCGTCGAAAAGTGGAATAAATTTAAATTAATAATTACATGGATTTATTAGGATGAATAATTACCGCTTAAACAAAGTATCACAAAGTAGAGTAATATAACTTCTTAAAATGGTGCAGCGTTTAAAAAAATAAAAAATCGTTAAACTGAAGATTCGAAGGTGTTAACCGTTGAAATACCTTTGTAAAGTAATGGACGCCAGCAAATTCTAAAAGGGTAGCGATGCAGTATCCAAAACTCATAAGCAGAAACCAATCTAGTGCTGTTGCATATCTCACTTTTGGTAAATCGGTTCTGGAATCGAGGCTAATAGTTGACAATGTCAAAACTGTGGTGATACCTAAAAAAAAAAAACAATTTTCTGTTAATTATATAAGCATTGCCAATTTAACAAAAATGTAAGTAATAGATCCTTTACTCTAACAATAATTTATAATCAAATAAGGAATAGGAACTTAAATTTACAATATACAATACAGACTTGTTATTTTCAGAGATTTACATCGGTAAATATTGGTTGTATTGTAACAACCCTTATAGAAACCGAAATATCGAAATACCAGTATAACGGTATACCGGTATTTTACCTATATTTACCCAAACCGACTCTATCGCTGGTAGCTTCACGATGAATCCAAAAAGATACCCAACTGAGTACTACTATTAAGACACAGGGCACGTAAACCTAATAAATTCATAAAAGTATTAAAATGGCCGATAAAGCTTATGATTTGTGAAATATACAGGGTGTTTGGCCACCTCTGGGAAAAATTTTAATGAGAAATTCTAGAGACCAAAATAAGACGAAAATCAAGAATATCAATTTCTTCATTGAGGCTTCGTTAAAAAGTTATTAACGTTTAAAGTTCTGCCTGTAAAACGGCAATCTGCGAACAGCTGCGGGTATGCGATAGTGGTTCTCACTCAGCATGAGAAACTCTTCTTACTGACGTATTGACAGCCTTACAGTCTTGTGAGTGAGAACCTCTAGGACCGATCTGTCTTAACCTATCGCGCGCACGCAGCTGTTCACAGATTGCCGTTCTACAGGCGAATCTTTAAACGGTAATAACTTTTTAACGAAGCCTCAATCAACAAATTAGTATTCTTGATTTTCGTCTTATTTTGGTCTCTAGAATCTTCTATTAAAATTTTTCTCAGAGGTGTCTAAACATCTTGTATACTATAATTTTTATAAATTTAATTTATTTTATTTATAAGAAATACAGAGTGAATTTTTTGTTTCAAACCAAAGTAAAAAATCATCGATTTTTTAACATTGTCCTTTAATTAAATAAAGCAGAAAATATAAAATTGTACGGATATAGACTTACTTGAATGATGAAATAACCAGTATTTCGTTGTAAATTAAAGGAAACCTGGAGAACCGAAAATTCACCTTCCCGACGAATGAAAGTTAAATTTCGGTATGGCGAGCCCATTAAATCGAATTGCGAAAGTGCCATTCCAGGAACGAAATTCACCGACGAACCCTCCTGCCATTCATAAACTAATTGACGAGAAGTATATGCATCTAAAAATGAGCAAAATAATCGGAATAATCATTATTAAACTTAAAATTAATAGATAGTTATACAGGGTGTTCGGCCACACCTGGGAAGAATTTAAATGGGAGATTCTAGAGGCCAAAATAAGACGAAAATCAAGAATATCAGTTTGTTGTTTGAGGCTTCGTTAAAAAGTTCTTACAAAATTAAATTAAAAAATTTCAAATAATTTACGGAAAAATTATTTTCGGTTGCGAGGGTCAATTACAATCATATTTGGTGAATAGATATACCTCCGAAATCCTGCGCGTTTTCGAGAAAAAAATTCCTGATCGAAAATGTAATGTGAGGCCAGCAATGGATCCCCAAAAATGCATATCTTTAAAATGTCATAACTCCTGAACGGATAGGAGGATTTTAATGTTTCAAAAGGCAAACAACGCATATTTTGGTGTAGAATATGTAGAAATTCCATAAATTTTTGAAAAGTTGTTCCTTGACCCCGTAAAGTAAGAAAAACCCCATAAAAATGGTCCAATTTTCAAACAGCCATAACTCCTGCAATAGTGGATATATTTCAATGAAATTTTTTTTTAAAGTAGAGCTCATGAGTACCTACAAAAAAGTATTAAACAACTTTTCTATAGGGCGTTGACCAGAATTATTAAAAATGAATAACAAATTTTTAGAAAAAATCAACAAGTGGACGTGCTGAAATTCGGTAAAATTGAAAAGTTTGTAATCATTCTGGAAAAATTATTTTCTGTTGCAGAGATCAATTACAATCATTTTTCGTGAATAGACATACGAGAAACAAATTCGAGAGGTGGACTTTTTCGACAAAATTAAAAAATGTCAAATCGTTCTAAAAAAATTATTTTCGGTTGCAGGGGTTAATTATAATCATATTTGATGAATAGACATACCCCCGAAATCCTACAAGCTTTCGAGAAAAAAATTCTTTACCGAAAATATACTGTGTGGCTGGAAATGTTTCTATAACTTTTTAACGAAGTCTCAATCAACAAATTAGTATCCTCGATTTTCGTCTTATTTTTGCCTCTAGAATCTCCCATTAAAATTCTTCCCAGGCGTGGCTGAACACCCTGTATAAATAATTCCTTTTGATCGGTGGACCAAAAAAATTAAATAATGATTTTTAATACTGTTTCCAATATTATGCAAAATTTTAAGAAATTCAAAAATTACTTACAACTTCCAAGAATAAGTGGACAAGACTGTCGATCCATAGGAAAATTCCTCAGTTCCATTGGACATTTTGCTTTTATCGTAAGCCTATTTTTAATTTAAAAATAGAGTTAGGAAATTTCTTTTATAACATTTCAAATATAAGCACATAACGAGCAACGTTATACGCTTGAATTAATTCAGGACGTTGCATGAATCATGGTATTAGATTGGTAATTTTTTTCCGTCTCAATTGTCTCGTAAAAAATTTGTCGTAAATAAATAGTGTTATATATTTATAAATATTTGAATTTAGAGAGGAATAATTAATTGTCTTCTGTTTCATCACTCAAACTTTGTCGGCGGTAATTGATTTTTTCAAAATTATTACAACGTGACCAACCTTTTTTACTATTTTTGTTTATATTGTTGCGACGGACTGAAGATGCATCGTTGCGGCAACGTGAAGACTGTTCCGCAACGATGTGAAACTGCTCCTTCGAACGAGCGGAAGCGAGAGCCCGTTCCTTCCGGTTGCCAGAGGAACCGGCAACGATTCAAAAGAGGAGAACGACGAGAGACCTCGTGGAGTAAAGACGTGTTGACAAAGCTCTGTTAATAAAGTTCCCTACTCATCAGTTCTAAGTTTCTAGTGTTGTGTCTAGTTGTGTTTTAATGAGTTCAATAAGAAACACCCCGTCCCGGCGCAACAGTGGTGTCAGAAGTGGGATGGAGACTCGTTCTGCTGCCGGGGCGGAGGCTCTGTCGTCGCTGGAGTTGCTTCTGGAGGGGTTGCAGCGGAATATCGCCACTCAGTTCCAGGAGCAACAGCGAATGTTAGTGGAGGAACGCGAGCGAGCTGAGGAGCGGCGTACGACGGAGAGGGCTGCCGCTTCGGCCAGAGATGCCGCGGTCGAGGAGAGGATTGGAGCCGTGGAGGGGGAGCAAGGTCGCGAAGAGGAGCATCTTGTCTTCAGAACCATCTGTATATCTGCGAAGACGGAAGATTGGGTTAAGGCCCAGGAAGAGGATGAGGATCTGCAATTTATTCGGCAGTCGAAGATTGAAGAGAATAACCCCACTTGGCAAGAGATTTCAGCACTTTCCCATGAAGCGAAGTACTTCTGGAAGACCTGGGATTCATTGGAGGTACATCATGGTTTATTGTTCCGGAGGTGGGAATCTGCTGGCGGAGAGGAGGCCAGTCGGCTATTGGTGGTACCGAAGAGTAAGATTACCGAAGCCCTCCAGGAATGCCATGATACGCCTTCTGGAGGTCACTTCGGGGTGAGGAAAACTTTGGCGAAAATTCGACAACGCTTCTTTTGGCCGAACCACCGAAGGGATGTGGAGGATTGGTGTCGCCGGTGCCATAGCTGTTCCGCGAGGAAAGGACCTGCGGAGAAGGGAAGAGGAAACATGAAGGTTTATAACGTAGGAGCACCTTTTGAGAGGATAGCGCTCGACGTTGTTGGTCCCCTGCCGAGGTCTTCCGCTGGGAACAGATTTGCGCTGGTTGTGATGGATTATTTTTCGAAGTGGCCAGAGGTGATTCCACTTCCTAACCAGCGAGCGACAACAATTTCCACAGCGTTGCTGAAGGAAGTGATAAGCCGACACGGAGTTCCGCTCGAGCTGCACTCCGATCAGGGTCGGAGTTTTGAGTCAAGCATCTTCAAGGAGCTAATGAAGATACTTGGAATCAGAAGACGAGGACAACTCCATTATACCCTCAGTCGGACGGGCTCGTAGAGCGGATGATAAGAACCTTGTTGCGATATCTGTCTCAGTTTGTTGCAGAACATCAAAAGGACTGGGACGAATGGATTCCAACGTTCTTGCTGGCTTATCGTTCTTCGCAACATGAAGTGACACAGAATACGCCGTCGATGGTCCTCACGGGACGGGAGCTGCGCCTTCCTCTGGATCTTCTAAGGGGAGCTGTTTCTTCTAAGGGGAAAGAAGAAGATGGTTACATCGTGAGAACTAGGAAAAGAATAGAAGAAATTCATAAATTCGTTCGACAGCGGATGCGAATTTGTTCGGAGAGAACGAAGTCGTGGTATGATTCGTTCTCGAGATCAATTTCCTTTGTTCCTGGGGAGAAGGTGTGGTTGTATAATCCTCGAAGAACGAAGGGAAGATGCCCGAAGCTCCAGTACGACTGGGAGGGACCCTACGAGGTGAAAAATCGGCTTAATGAGTTGATTTATCGAATAGCTCGTTCACCGAAGTCCAAACCGAGGGTCGTACCTGTGAATCGACTCGCTCGGTACGATTCACGGGAGGTTTCCTGCAAGGATACAGGGAGATGAGGATCGAGGAGGATGGCCGACATCTTCGCCCAAGAAGAGGACGTTTCGTCGCAGAAGGCTAGGGTGGGGGTTACTTGCTGGCGGCGGACAGCCTCTCTTCTTTGCGTGTCGCAAACGGTCGTGGAAGCGTAATCCTCACCGGGAGGGTTACCCCACAGCCGGGGCTCCATCCGGATGGGGTTCTGGTGGCCGGACTGCAAAGTCGTAGTATGTTCCGGACAACCATTTCATCGAGGAAATTCTCCTTGATGATTGGGGAACATCTCTAGGGGGGCTGTTCCGTTTAGTTGGGGGAACTCACATCCGAGAAGACGTCAAGAAAGAAGCGCGCAAGTCGCAAGTATTCAAGGGGAAGGGCGAGGAGCAGTCGGGATCTCTTCATTCTCGCAGAGGAATTTTGGAAGTTGCACCGGCGTCTTGCTCAAGGTTTTTGAGTGGTTTTCCTTGAGACGGAGGACGAATGTCAAGGCGCTAACTGTCTGGTAAAGGCCACTCAGGTAAACGTTCGATCTATTCGTTTATTTACTTTACAGACAGAGGTGTTTTAAACTCGGGGCAGATTTGGAGGTTGGAGGCTCACACTGAAGTTGCCTGTCCGAGCTGAATCTGCCGCGGTCGGGACGTCCGCGTTTTGAAGAGGGGGAGCAGTGTTGCGACGGACTGAAGATGCATCGTTGCGGCAACGTGAAGACTGTTCCGCAACGATGTGAAACTGCTCCTTCGAACGAGCGGAAGCGAGAGCCCGTTCCTTCCGGTTGCCAGAGGAATCGGCAACGATTCAAAAGAGGAGAACGACGAGACACCTCGTGGAGTAAAGACGTGTTGACAAAGCTCTGTTAATAAAGTTCCCTACTCATCAGTTCTAAGTTTCTAGTGTTGTGTCTAGTTGTGTTTTAATGAGTTCAATAAGAAACACCCCGTCCCGGCGCAACAATATGTTATAACAAAGCAATTAAAAAAGGTCCCGTTCAAATTCGTGATGAGATAATCTTTCGACAACTTCGCCTAATATTCTTTTGAAATAGCAATACAGATGAATAATTAAAGCATTAACTATGATTTATATTAACTTATTAAAAAAGAAACTCTATAATCAATGTCTGTACAAACGTAGTACAAAATTTACTAATAAAGAAAAAATAATTGGCTGCCAATATAAACGGGAAGTAACCTCATAGAGTAAAGGATGTCCCCGTCCTGTGATATTCTTAACAATTTGTTAGGTACTGTGATCGTATGCACGTAGCTGTGTTTTCCATTGTAAAAATACGTGTCCGGCCTCCAGATTCTTTCCAGCATTTTGATGCTCAAACTGAGCGACTTTATCGGGCCCAAGAAGCTTAAACGTGAATCCCTCCATGATTGACGAAAGTAACAATCCATCGAATAATCCTATGAAAATAAAAGTTATAAAAATTTAACTTTAAAATTTTAAAAGAATATGAAGAGATACCGGTACCAAATATGTGTAATACAATGTCTTGATAATTATCTGCTTATGAAAACATTAATTATTTTAATTATTTTTTAGACGTACCATATCGAGTTCAGATACAGGGCCCATGCTTCTTATCAAAATATTCGTTTTTACCACAGTCGGTACTCCTGCTAATCAAAAATTCATAATAGTATCTACACTAACATCAAATTAACTTTTGTACATTAATTTTCAAACAATATTGTTCCATGTAATACAACTATTGCCAAATACTTTACCTTTTCCATGCGTGGGTAGCTGATTATTTTCATAATTCATTAGGAGATTCTCGAGAACCATGGTAATATTTTTAGATACCATATCATTTACTGTTCCCCTGTTTAACTCGGACTTCGATAAAGTCCTCGATAATGGTATGGAAACATCAAGAGCGAAATTCTGATCCTTTCGTGTTGTTAGTAGTACAAGTAGTATGAATCTGAAAAAAAAATTTCAATTTATTTACGCCAATTGATGTAATCTTCTTCTTCTATCCATCTATCTATACAATAAAATGGAAGGCCTGACTCACTGACTCATCAACACCCAGGGTAAGCCCTTGGACATAAAAAGCTCAAGTTTTGCATAGAGGTTTCCTTTATGATGTATACAAAGAATAAGAAAGGATATTCCGAAATTCAACCCCTAAGGGGGTGAAAAGGGGTTGCAACGTTTGTATGAGGAATATTTTATTTCTGATTGAATTTACTTAAAACTTGGTCTTAATGCTCTTTGACATAATTAATCAAACACCTGTTTCGGCATTTTAAAAAATTCTACCCCTAGAGGGGTGAAAGGGGGTTGTAATGTTTGTATGGGACATATTTTGTTCGTTGTCGGATTTGCTTCATACTTGGTCTTAATATTCTTTGATATAATTAATCAAACACTTATTCCGGTTTTTTTAAGAAATTCAACCTCTGAAGGGGTGAAAAGGGGTTGTAACGTTTGTATGAGGAATACTTTATTTGTGGTTGGATTTGCTTGAAACTTGGTCTTAATGTTCTTTGGCATAATTAAACAAACACCTGTTTCGGCATTATAAAAAATTCTACCCCTGGAGGGGTGAAAGGGGGTTGCAACGATTGTATGGGACATATTTTTTTTGTTGTCGGATTTGCTTCATACTTGGTCTTAATACTCTTTGATATAATTAATCAAACACTTATTCCGGTTTTTTTAAGAAATTCAACCTCTGAAGGGGTGAAAAGGGGTTGTAACGTTTGTATGAGGAATACTTTATTTGTGGTTGGATTTGCTTGAAACTTGGTCTTAATGTTCTTTGGCATAATTAAACAAACACCTGTTTCGGCATTATAAAAAATTCTACCCCTGGAGGGGTGAAAGGGGGTTGCAACGATTGTATGGGACATATTTTTGTTGTTGTCGGATTTGCTTCATACTTGGTCTTAATACTCTTTGATATAATTAATCAAACACCTATTTCGACATTTTAAAAAAATTTAACCTCTGAAGGGGTGAAAAGGGGCTGCAACGTTTGTATGGGACATATTTTGTTCGTGGTCGGATTTACCTGATACTTGGTCTGAATGCTCATTGATACACTTATTTCGCATTAAAGTTGCCTTATTTCCGTAAATGGATCTAGAAACTTCAAATTTAACATGTAAGTACGTAATTATTATCTTATCACTAAACCGTTGCAATGGTGTAAATACGCCTAAATATCGGTATGGGTGTCGTTATGAAGGTTTTTTTGGGACGTTAATTATGAAAATGGTATCAATTTTGAAATGTAAGATGGCGATATGACATAAAATTAAAACTCTATAGAGGTGAATGGGGGCTTAAAAGGTTTTATGGAGAAACAATATCCATTTTCGAGGGAACTAAACGGTTTCCTGTGCGAGAAAAGCCGCGGGCAAAAGCTAGTAGTACTATGTAATGCGTTTAAGACATATTTGTAATCGTAATTATAACGTGAACAAAAGATTGAAGGATAAGTGTGTTTACATATTTACATTCAATTGTAGAAAATCATTGATAATGTGTTACGAAAGAAACTCGTTTACTTAATAATTTGTTATAGATTTTTAAGTACAAGGTTGTCTAGAGATCATTGTATTGTAAGTCGTTGAATTCATTTTTCATCAGCTATAAGAGTTGGGCAAATTCTTTTCTCAAATAATGAATAGAAATGAGAATTAGACTCACTTGTAAACTAGATTTTGCTCACGTCTTTGCTTGTTTGAATATTGATTTGAAAAAGTTCGTTAATGGATCCTAATTTATAAATAAATTTATGGACGAAGTGTACATAGAAGTTAGTTTATGAATTAATCTGTATTCATTATTCGCGAATAAAATTTTCTGTCAAAAAAGTCAAACACTGAGGGTCGACAGAACTAAAAAAAACAATATAGGTAAAGACCACGATCAGTTGAAGAAAAGAAACTACAGATATCGGACAGAGCAGGGTTAAATATGTAGGTGGTTGTAGGAAAGGGGAAAAAGAAGAAGGGATGTGAGTACAAAAGTGCTCTTCTTAGTCGCGGATTCAGCAACTTCCGACGAGGGTTTCTCTCGATCTTTCGAGTGAACGTTCTCCCTCGTTACGTCAGAATCGCTCTTTAAGTTCTTCCGGTGTCCATTTTACAAAATGACTATAGAAATTAATAGTTTTGAAATTTGTTGTATTCTCATATTTCTTCGAGTAACAATATCTAAATCAACGTTTAAAAAAATTGTTTCACTTTTTTGAACTTGTTTTTGAGACATTTCCATAAATTGTTTCTTAAAAATTGCAATTCATATAAATATAAAGTGAATCACCCAACTTTAATTATTTTAATAATAAACAAAGTTTTGATTCGTCCATTAGTTACAAAAATAATTGAGTTGGCCAAGTTAGGTGGTCCACCCTGTATATAAATCAAGACCAATTTCTGTGATGCGAAAGATTGAAAAGTTTATGCTTCGATACTACTAAATATTTGTTAAAATAGAACTTTAATCAACAAGGCGAGTCAAAGCGACGAAAAAAAAGTAACGATTGCTTTTTTCGCTGCTATTACGTGTATACGTTTAATGGAAACTCATAGCTCTTTAATTTCAGCTTTTCATTAACGACCTGTTTAAATACTGCCCATATTTGTAAAGCTGGCTAAATAATCGACACAGAATCCCGGTCACTGGCAGAGCTTTCACAATACATATATTCTTCGATTCGGCTTCACTTGCCAAAAATGTTTTTTACAGAAGAACTGTAATCGTAACAAAATGTGAATTACACGGCGATTATATTTGTTTTCCAATATTAAAACGAAACAAATAATTAATAATAAAAAATAGTACACAGCCTTAATAATTAAAACCTTGAATCTTGTACGACGTTCATAAATTTTCAAGCCGCTTTTCTTACTAACTTTCCTATTTATTTAACGTGTCAACAATATATTGAAATATACAATTAATTTTAATTGAAAAAGAAAAATATTCTTAAATCGTAAAAACTGAATCAAAGTTATTGAATTTTCCACTAATTTTGAAAAAATTATCCATCAATTTTCCGTCAACACTGATTAATTCTGAACTCGAAGTACATACTTTGCTAGAAATTTCATTATTATTCACGCGTATTTAAAAGTATGTATAAATTCGTATCAAAACAAAAAATTTACTTACGTAAGCATTGCGTTCAATTTTTTTGAAAGATACTTCTTGTCGACACACTAATAACTTATATCGAAAAATTGAATAAGCTTCGACCGAGTACCGGCACTTGCGAGGAAGATCTACACGCGATTCTTGTTACAGATCCTCGTGAATCTCCCACCTGGGAGCTAATCTTTTTATTGCGCAAACTCCAATAATCCTACATTCTACAACGTTCACGAAATTTTCGCATCGTTTATTCGTTTCTCTTTCCTTACTTTTCATATTAAATTCAACAATACGATTAATACTTTATTCTATGATTTATTTATTTACAATCTACACAAAATACTATTAATTTGCTATTTTCAAATAAATAAATGAGTTAAATAATCAAATAAAATTTAATTATATTATTTTTCTTCTAAGAAATTCAGGTTTTAAATTCAATCGTTTATCGAAGTAAAATTAGAGTTCATTCGGTCAGTAGCTGCATCTTTTGTATCCCTGTAGTCAACGATTGTCGTTAGTTCGTTGTTTGTTCTTGTTCGATCTAATTTTGTAATAGTTTTCGTCTCCTCAATTTGGTAGCTATCGTTAATGAATATACAGATTATAATTGGCGTGATATTCTTTGTCAATTTTAATTTAGTATTAGTTTAGTTTAATTTTTTTTTTACACACCCCGAACGAGACAAACGCAGTGCGTGTATGCTCGTGTGTGGGTGATTTTTGAGGATAAAATTGCCTATTGGAAGTGGCACTCACCCTCTCTGTTTGAAAATATCACTTCTGGATTTTCACAAGACAGATTAAATGTCATTCAATGCAATGTGTTTGCATTTCCATAAATTGAGGCAAAAACGCACTGCTATTGAGCACGTCGATAAGTACGTTCTCTACATGGTAAATTTATCGTGTATCCGCCGTCTTTGGATGCGCCACAGAAAGACCTGCTTTACACGCGCAGTTGTTCGCAAATTTCTTATTTTGGTTTGTAGAATCCCCTCAAATGAATGGCTATGAAATAATGATGAAACTATGTACAGCTAATATTTGAATATTTATAAAACATTAGATTTAAAAAGTATTAAATAAACAAAAAATACTTTCATTAATCACTGTATTTTCACGAGACCACTTCCTTCGATGTTCCTGAAAATAAAAGAATTTATTCCGAGGGTAGAATCGATGGGGGTAGGAAGTTTGTAAGGTTAACGACTCTCGATACCGGTGTGTATTTTGCAGCAACATACAAAGGGTGGCTCTAGTTCGATTTCGACATCGAAATCGAGAGACGGGGTAGTCAACTCTGTGTCACTAGGTCGTCGAAAAGCAGGGTTGCGCATGTGTGGTTCATTTTGCGCTAACCTTCGGTCCGTCTCGGAAGCCAAGGAATGGCAAGTGCAGAGAGATGCAGGCTAGTGTTATCAGTGTCCAAACAGAAGGTAAAGATAAGCAGGTGAGGGGTTAGATAGACAATGAAAAAGAGGGAGAGTTAAGAGTGCGAATGTGAAAGGGTAAGGGATGAAAAATAAGTGAAAAGGAGGGCATGACACGGGCAAATAAAGAAGAAACATTAAGTGACTAAGTGGCGAGGAATGAGTACCGAAGGAAGGAAGTGCAAGAACGATAGAACGAATCCAAGGGTTAGAGTGAAACAGAAGGGAAAAAGGTAGGAGAGTAGAGCATAAAAAGGGGAAGATAAAAGGCGAATAGAAAAGTTGTTCGCGAGGAACAGTGAGAGACGAGGAAAGATAATAGTTTCCAGGAGGAAGGATAAAACGTAACCTAAGAGTTAAAAGGAGGTTAGTAGAGAATGGCAGCCACGGATGGTGTATAGAAAGGGGAAAAGGGGTGAGTAGAGAGGGTGAGTACCGCGCAGCATCCAAAGCATCAGAAAATATCCTCGACAACGGCGTCAATGTGGGATAGTGCTCGCGAATCAACCTGTCCGTTCAGTGGTGAAAAACTGCGCCCTATTTTCACATTATTTTTATCAAAAGCTAAAATTTTGTCCTTTTCCTGCCGACTTAAATAACTTTCACGCGGCATTAGTAACCAAATTAATGATATCACGCTTCCAACACACCAGACGAAACAAAACCGATGAAATATCGACAGAAAACAATATTCGAACGGTTGGATCTATAACTATGAAACAATAGCAGAAATTAAATTTTCCTCTTTTGTTTTTGAAGTCTTAGAAATTTTTATTTTCACATTGCTTTCGCATTGTCTGTGGTTTGGCTTCCTTAGTTTTAAACTCCATCAATGAATTGTTTATTTGTAGAATTTTCCTTTCCTTCTTCGGACGTTCTTCTTTTCTATTTTTTAATGCATCCATTTTTTAAGATTGTTCTTTTCCCTTCGCTACATATATTTTGTAGTATTCTGCAGTAATAGGTACATTTACTTTAATACTGACTCGGTCCCAGAAGTTAGAACGCACACTACTGCTTTGCGCAAAAGTGACTTTGCAACATCATTATCATGTGACACATATTTCGATCTCTACCCAATATTGTTAGAGAATTATATTGTTGAGAATACAGTCAAGAGATATTAGACTGCCGTGTCAGAAAGGGAGTGCATTAACACCCGGTGACATTATCCTTGACGATGTCCGCAGATCCTGTCGACGGCCTTTCCGTCGACATCGCTCCAATCGCTGAACGCATCGAGTACATCCACCTTTAAAGCAACCCTTTACATCGAAGAATGTTCTTCGATTTTCTTTTATCTTTTATCAATGGTTTTTCTTCGTTTTCATAATGGACAAAAGAAAATACTGAAATATGAAAATAAGATCGAAGTATGCGATGTTTTGTACGCGTAGGTACGTCAGTAAGAGTATGTTTCTTTTTATTGTAATTTTAGTCAGCTATATGGTCAGTACAGATCTGAATACAGAATTGGTATTTCATAAATATTGTGGAAATTTTATTTCAAAACGTGCTTGTTATCGCTCTTCTATCGTTCTAGAATATAAATGCTCTTAGTTATAATTCAAACAAAAAATTATCTCTTTATCTCGTTTCTATCGAAAATTCTATGATTTTTACACTAATTTGGTTGCACAGACAATAGCATGCCGGACAAAAATCATTTTAAACAAATGTCTTCATTAACACTTCTGTTCGGCTATTAAATGAAATTAGTTTCTTCAATATTTATTGATTTATAATACGACTACATGTATTTAAATTAGTCATCTTCTAAATTATTGAAAACTAAAACAGAGCTGGGCAAATTTTATTCCCAAATAACAAACAAATATTTTAAACACTCAGATCGATTTTACTTACAGTTTCTGACAGCCTGATGTTGAGGTACAAGAACCTAACAAGATGACGTCTTCTTTTATTTGCTGATGTAATTGTTGGGGATGCTTCGCAGAATGAGGCTGCAGCAGATTTCCCTTCTGTTGCAGATGATCTACCTAGTAGCCTGGTAATAATTAATTAATTTTATCAGATTCAAAAGCAAGTTACATATGTAGTAGGCATTTAATATTAAATGGATCTATAACTTAATATCTCTACTATATTCTATGTGCAGACCACCAAATTTTCACCATAATTTTTTTTTATAGAGACTTTGTTGTACTATATGTCAACTGTTTTGTCATATTTGGTAAAATTTCAGGGCCAGTTTTGAAAATACAGGTCTGTCCGATAGATTGGAAAATGTGACACAAACTATATCTCGAATTCTCGATGGATACGATATTCGATTGAGACCAAATTTTGGCGGTAAGTATTGAAAAACGATCGAAATCGATTATTTTAATTCACCAGATTCATCTAAAATTGGAAATATTTGTATAGTAGCTGGAATAAAATGCATTAATCATCGGATTATCGGTATTTTCGATGTTTGGAAATAAAATTATTCATGTTTTCTGTTTACATTTTTGTAATTACTTTTTCAGGAGAACCTCTGTTGGTTGGTATGGATCTTACGATTGCAAGTTTCGATGCAATCTCTGAAGTGAATATGGTAAATACATTTGTATTATTTATCACGTAATAGATAATGGTTAAAAATGAATTTTTACCGTAATCTAAATAATCTAAATCTGTTGTGATTCTGTTTAAGAAGTAACATTGTCTTTTTTATAATAGGATTATACGATAACGATGTACTTAAATCAGTATTGGACGGACGAAAGACTAGCATTTTCCCAGGATGAGGAGGTTCTTACTCTTAGTGGGGATTTTGCGGAAAAAATTTGGGTTCCAGATACATTTTTCGCCAACGACAAAAACAGGTGAGCACGACAAATGTCTAGAAATCTGTATTGTATAAACTCTATCAAAAGAGTTTGAAAATAGACAGTTGAATCTTTCTAAAAGTTGTTGATATTGACAAATTATTAAAGTTTAAAAATTTCCAGAAATTCCAGCATCTTTTAATGTTGTACCATGCAATATACTAACTATTACACAATTAATAGATTAAAAAATAACATAATAGTAATCTACCAAATCTAGAGAGTTCAAGCGTTATTTCTCAAAGTATACGGATTAGTGATTCATGTATTGTTAATACAATAAGGATTTTAGGTAAATGGCAGTTTTAGGTGAAAACAGAAATTTTTAAATATGATATAACTAACAAATTATCCGTACGACAGTGTTGATTGAAAATTTCACTGTTCTTTACCGATCCATTTCATACGAAATATTAATTTTTAGTTACTGTTCTTTGTTTTGAAGCATTTTTTATCACAAATATAAATGAGTGCCTTGAGAATGATGATCTACATTTCTTTTTTGGTATTTACGTTACCTTTAGCATACATATCAGAAAAGTTTAATATAAAATATTTATAATAGTACATTTTTCAAATTAAACATTTTTTTTATTCAGGGTGTTCGGTCACACCTGAGAAAAATTTGAATGGAAAATTCTAGAGGTCACAATAAGACGAAAATCAAGAATAGCAATTTCTTGACTGAAGCTTCATTAAAAAGTTATTAAAAAATTTCACACCATTCTGAAAAAATTATTTTTTGTTGCGGGGCTCAATTACAATCATTTTTGGTGAATACAATACTCCTGAAATCCTACCCACTTTCTAGAAAAAATTCAAGTAGGTACTGAAATTTTTAAATGCAATTAAAAAATTTCAAATCATACTAAAATTATTATATTTAGTTACAGGGGTCAATTACAAGCACTTTTGGTGAATATACATATCCCCGAAATCCTACCCACTTTCTAGAAAAAAATTCAGTACGGACGAAACTTTAAACGTTAATAACTTCTTAACGAAGCCTCCATCAACAAATTAGTATTCATGATGTTTGTCATATTTTGGCCTCTAGGATCTCCCATTACAATTTTTCCGAGCGGTGGCCAAACACACTGTATAACTGTGAAATTACAATTGTAAGATAGAACTATAAACAAATCAAGATACAGATATTTGAGACATTCTATTCTCTAATGTTTAGAAATTAATTAAACAGAATCAAATGATTTCTACAAGTACAGATATTAAATAATTATAAAATGATGGGTCCAAAGTTATTTCAATGTCGGAAAGGACCCCACACAGAAATTATGGAAAATGGCCCCCGGTTAAATTAGCTGAACTTTTGATATAATGTAGTTCATTATGTCTTGATGAAAAGTTCCAATGTGCCCAAGCTCGTAAATTGAAGTTTCCGAAGTACGGGGGATCAAAAGCCAATAATAGTGTGCCTTATTTTAGACTACCACGTTTGAGTATATTTGAGTGTAAGAAGTACTGTTGTACACTGTCCATTTATTTGGCCCTTTAAAACTCAATAGTAGTACTGTGGTTCCTTAAATATTACTCCTTGACTCCCCTGACCCTCTGTTGCAAAAAGATGATGACGATGAATTGCAGATTGACACTACGTTGCTAGATAACAGTACCAAACATTAAGTTGTTATTTCTCACATTCCCGTAAATGAACTGGAACTAGAAGAGGAAGTAATAAATGGTTACTACTGCACCTGTCAATCTGGTGCCAAAACATTGGGTACATGCGCACATATTGCAAGTGTTGTAAGGTTTTTAGGATTTGCTCGTCATCAAAGCCATGCCAAATATTCGGATGGCAATCTTCTCAATTGTAGGACCAGAGATGCCGCTAATAGAGGGCATCAAGACAATATGAATGTTGAAATTCTTATGGCCGAATAGAGAGAACTATAAAAATGGCCCTTTTCAGGGCCGCATGGTGTGCAGAATCCAATCGAGCAATCTCTTCGTGGTGTATACTGAGTAATATTAATATCGACGGTGCTTCATGTTTGTACATTGAAAAAGAGAATCATTTTTTACCTTTTTGGCGTTTTTTTATTTTGATTCCTGAAGGGGAGTCAGAGGGTTAGGGGGTCAAGGGATAATATTTAAGAGCCCACAGTACTGCTATTGAGTTTTAAGGGGTCAAATAAATGGACAGTGTACAACAGTGCTTTTTACACTCAAATATACTCAAACGTGGTAATCTAGAATAAGGCGCACTATTATTGACTTTTAATCCCCTGTATACAAGACATAATAAACTACATCATATCAAAAATTCAGCTAATTTAACCGGGGGCCATTTTCCATAAGATCCGTGCGGGGTCCTTTCTATTGACCGTTGTATATTTCCGAAATTTCTACTAACTGGGAAAGGTGTACACGTAGACGGTAGGATGTTTTTGAGAAAGAAAATGTTGGTTTTCGGTTTGTTCGCAGTTTCTTGCACGACGTGACCGAGCGTAATAAACTCGTCCGGTTGTCCGGAGACGGATCTGTCACTTATGGCATGAGATTTACGACGACCCTGGCCTGCATGATGGATCTGCACTACTATCCGCTCGATTCGCAGAACTGCACCGTAGAGATTGAAAGCTGTACGATCGATATTACCTTTCGTAGGATCCTTCCGTTTCCCACTTTGACCCATTTTACTTCCTTCTTTCTCAGAGTATCTCATCTAAAATCTCTAACAAAGTAAGAGATCAAATTTCAGGAACTCTTTCGATTTGATTTAAATAAATTACAGTTACGGACAAAATTATGTGGCCAGGTAGGGAAAATAGGTATGAATTAAGTTTAATCAAAGCACTATAACTATTATGCACTTAAGTTTTATATATTATTTGTCTTTATGGTACATAAATTATTTAGCGAATAATTGAAATTAATGTTTACATTTGTGTTGAAATAAAATATACTTAACGGAAAAGGTTGGTTGATTGTCGAGGGACAAAAATAAGTGGACACGCAGTAGTCTCAAATGAACCATTTGGTTGATGCGTAAGCTTTGCATAGAACAGATTATTTCTAAAGAAACAGCAGAATGTCAGTAAAAAAAGAATTTTCATATCAAATTTGTAATTTGCTAAGCTGTATATTATCAACATCAACACGAGGAAACGTATAGCTTTTGCAAAAAAATATATACATATATCAGTATCACTCTAGAAAAAAATAATATGGAGCGACGAAAACAAATTTAAACTGCAGCAATAGAAAAAAGAAGCGTCATGTATGGAGAAAAAGAAATGAAGCATACAAAAAGCTGTTTTGTATTGTTACGGCAACTGTTAAATTTTGTGAAGGGTCAATAATTTTGTGTTTTTCGTGGAATGGAGTTGGCAATTTGGTACAGACTGACGGAATAACGAATGCAAACAGGTATATTTAAATAATAAACGACAATTTAAAAGAGGCAGTTGCGAAAATGGGACTCGAAGAAGAATTTATTTTGTAATAGGAACAAGCACAAGGTCCGGATTTGAATCTAATCGAAAACTAATAGAGCATACTGAATCCAAACGTATGATTAGAAAAACGGCAGTACAAGAACAATTGCTTTAAATACATATTTACGATTGGCATTTGAAAATATTGATAAATATTACATTGAAATTTTCGCTTTTAAAGCAATTAATGTAGTAAAGGGTGGTCATACTACATATTGATTTTATATTTTTATATATTTTATTACCTGTCCACTTATTTTTGTCCCTCGGCAATTAACCAACATTTTTGTTAAATATGTATTAATTAAATATTAATTTCAATTATACGTTAAATATTCCATAAACTTATATTAAATTAAATGTACCATAAAGGTATATAATATAGTGGGTGTTCGGCCACCCCTGGGAAAAATTTTAATGGGAGATTCTAGAGGTCAAAATAAGACGAAAATCAAGAATATTAATTTCTTGACTGAGGCTTCATTAAAAAGTTATTAAAAAATTTGAAATCATTCTGAAAAAATTATTTTTGGTTGCGGGGCTCAATTATAATCATTTTTTGTGAATACATATACCCTTGAAATCCTACCCACTTTCGAGAACAAAATTCGAGAAGGTGTCAAATTTTTCGATAAAATTAAAAAATTTCAAATCGTTCTAAACAAATTATTTTTGATTGCAGGGGTCAATTATAATCATTTTTTATCAATAGACATACCACCGAAATCCTACCTACTTTCGAGAAAAAAATTCCTTACCGAATATACATATGTATAATTTGAGGCCTGAAATAGTTCCCCGAAGTTTCATGTGAATCTTTGAAACATCATAACTCCTGAACGAATTGGACGATTTTAATGTTTCAAAAGGCAAACAACGCGTATTTTAATGAAGAATATGTAGAAATTCCAAAAATATCCGAAAAGTTGTTCCTTAACACTGTGAAATGAGAAAAACCTCATAAAAATGGCCCAATCTTCAAACGTCCGTAACTTCTACAATAGTAAAAACTTTTCTGTAGAGCGTCGAACAAAATTATTAAAAATGAAAAACGAATTTTTAAGTAAAATCGACAGAGGGTAGGTGCCTAAACTTTTCGGCGAAAAAAAAATTTCAAATCGTTCTGGAAAAATTATTTTCGGTTGCGGGGGTCAATTACAATCATTTTTGGTGATCAGACTTAGCCCCGAAATCCTGCGCATTTTTAAGAAAAAAATTCAATACCAGCGGAACTTTAAACGTTAATAACTTCTTAACGAAGATTCCATCAACAAATTGCTATTCTTGATTTTCGTCTTATTTTGGCCTCTAGAATCTCCGATTAAAATTTTTCCCAAGGGTGGCCGAACACCCTGTATAAAACTTAAGTGCATAATAGTTACACTACTTTGGTTAAATTTAATTTATACCTATTTCCTTGACCTGTCCACTTAATTTTATCCGCAACTGTATATCAAATAAACGTTGAGCAAATCTATTCTATTTTCTTGCGTCCATTGTTATCATCAAGTTCCTGTTTTAAGATTTCAAATAATAAATATAAAATACTTAAATACTAAATTATTGATGTATCTAGCTGCTCGGAAGAAGTCTACGTTCTAGAAATTCGGGAACTTCTTTATCGTGGTAAAATATTCCAAATTCTACGACATATGTACCTTCTCGTTACAACACACTGTGAACAAACGAAATTGTGATTGTTTAAGTATCTTTAAGGTATTTTAAAGACGGATACCAGAATAATTCGATAAAATGTCATCGAGATAGCAAACTTGAAAGGAGTTGTTTATTCTCTCAGACGGATACACGGTGCTGGACGTGGTGATGTATTGGAAAGAAACTCCAGTTCGTGGTGTCGAAGAAGCGGAACTGCCACAATTTACGATAATTGGATACGAAACAAACGACCGGAAAGAGAGGCTGGCTACCGGCATATATCAGAGACTTTCGTTGAGCTTCAAGCTTCAAAGGAACATCGGATACTTCGTTTTTCAAACGTATCTGCCTAGTATCCTCATCGTGATGTTGAGCTGGGTCAGTTTCTGGATCAATCATGAAGCAACCAGTGCCAGAGTTGCTCTCGGTAAATAAAAATTACTTTACTACTTTTACTATTAAGTTCAGGAATTCCTTCAGCAAAAAATACTCGATCGATTCTTTGTCTATTTCAAATATTCAACTTGTACTTACATAAGATAGTATTAATTTGTGAACTTTGTTTATTTTGTAGGTATAACGACAGTTCTCACAATGACTACGATATCGACAGGTGTACGTAGCTCACTGCCACGTATTAGCTACGTGAAAGCAATTGACATTTATTTAGTAATGTGTTTCGTTTTCGTATTTGCGGCTTTATTGGAGTATGCAGCGGTTAACTACACTTATTGGGGCGCCAGAGCCAAGAAAAAGACAAAAAAGAAGGAAATCGATGACAAGAAAGTCATTTCTTCCAAGTCAGGTAGCCATAATGAGTTTCGAATGTACGTTAGACATTATGTACACACACTAATAACATCAAATTAAATGAAAAGGCTCATAACTAATATTTTGTTGAGTTCAAATTCCGGTATTATTTAATTCCCCGTTTATTATGCAAAAATCATGTGTATTGTGTAAATTAAATTGATGTTTTAATTAACTAAACTAAGTGTTTAAAAGTTAAAAAATTATTATAATTCTATTTTCTAAAATATTACTGATTTTGATCGATCGTTTTGATATGTTACCAGCGCACAAGTATATTTTTGTATGTTTGGAAGTTAAGGGGGTATTGCTGTCTAGATTGTCATTTTTTCGGCCTTTTTTGTGATTTTTTTGTTAATGGTAGGTAAGCTATTTTGTACTGAGATTTTGCAGATATATTTATTCATCTTATAAGCATATACAATATTTTATTCATCAAGAAGTATTAAAAATTGTGGGAGTTATAACTTCTTGTTTAATGGCTTGTCTGAAAAAGTTGCTCCACTGGCTTCCACAATTCCAGCCAATCCACTAATCTGAAACAGAGGGGGCTAAAGTATCTTCATTGGGAAGGGTGTAGTTATAGCAAGAACTATAATGTATAAAGGAATGACGGCGTTTCAAGTTTCAAATTTCTATTTTATAACCTTTCTTTTGTCTTTAGCACATTAAAAAAAAAAAATAGTAAAAGTCAACATTTTTAAAAATCTCTAGTTCCAGCGATAAAGGCGTGTCTGCTGAATATTCTCTTCAAATTTGAAGTAAATCGGTCTGTTAAATCTTGAAATATCATGGAAGCCAGTTTAAAAAAACGCATTTAAACAAGAAATTATAACTCCCACAATTTCTAATATTTTTTTATGAAAAAAATACTGTACATTCTTATAAGAGGAATAAATCTACCTGCAAAATCTCAGTACAAAACAGCCTACCTATTATTAAAAAAAATTCACATAAGAGGCAGAAAAAATGACAGCCTCGACAGCAATAGTCCCTTGAACGCATAAATTTAAAAGGTTTAAAGAAAGATGGAAAACAGAAAATAATTTTTGCAGGAATCAAAACGAGTTCCCCATTTCCTGGTTCAACGGAAGCGGATATAATAGAACTGCAAGACCTCCGAATGTCACCTCTGCCAAGTATAAGAAATAGATCGGGCCTAATCAGCGGTAGTTCAACACCTGCAACCATAAGAGAACACGATCCTGCCAAGTTTCCCCCTAGTTTTCGCATTTCCAGAGTCGCGGCTTATAATACACATGGAAGAAACATTGGTCTCAGATACAGAGGACCCAAGCAGCACAAACCCAAGGTAAACAATTCCAGACTTTGCTATATTTTAAGTTTCAAAGATGATAAATGACCAACGTTAAAGCTAATTGTAAACTAGCTGTTTATAAAATTCTTAAATAGTCTTAAATAATAAAATTATGGTTACAGGTTTTACATGCGATACGAAGAGGAGCATCCGTACTGCGAGTGTCGATGCCGAAGATCAAGGATGTGAATATTATCGATAAATATTCAAGAATCATATTTCCAGTTAGTTTTATGCTATTCAATGCCATTTATTGGGTATTCTACTTTCTCTGAATCAAACCATCGCTACTCTCTCGCTATTTGTCGAGAGACAAAAGACAAAATGGACCAATTGATAATCAAGAATTTGCATGGATATAAATAGAGAATCGGTTCGATTACGAATTTGGACGGAGTTTCGCGGTCAAATTCGAGTTCCGTTTGGGTCTTGCGCTGGAATTGAAATCGAAATCTTCATTCTCGACCGAAGGGAGCAGGTATCGAAAGTATTGAATTGAAAGCTGCCAATATTTATCGACGAGGAGATATTTTCGAAGATAGTGACGATTTAATCTTGAAGTATAACGATATTTTAGAAAATACGTTCCTAATTGATAGCTCGTCAATTCGAATGAATAATCTGCCGCAAATTCTTTGAAAATGATTAAATCGACCGTAAGAAACAAAACTATTTAACCAGTTGTTGCTGTTCGAACGAATACAAAACAAAATATTCTTTTACAATTAACAAACCGAAATTAGCGATTATTTTGAAATTACTATTCTTTTTGTGCCAATTATTATTGTCGATATTTGATAGTATTTACAAGTATAAACGACGAAAGCTATTAAAAAAGGAGAAAACATTCGAAGAGAGCATCCAAAATTTAGAGACATATATCACAGCTAGAGTAGTTTTCGATTAAAAATTCTAATTATCGTTACCGTAGGTAATAAATAGGATTACTGTAACATTTCGATATGGATTATTCTGCAAACTGCGTCACGAATTTGTCTTTCATTGATACCTTGAACTTTGCGAACGATTAGCTGTAGATAGTGATGGGATTTCGAAGCGGTTCGTATTGTTTCGAATCTTATTGTGTATTGCGACACAGATTCAAAGCTATTCGAATAAGACTTAATGTTAAAGATGTTGGAAGTTTTGATTGATTTGGAAGTCTTGTAAATTCGGAAAATAGTGAAATTCTTGGTCCTTCTGAAAGTCTTGAGAATATCGATAAGTGTCAGTTTCGAGCGTTGAGTTAAAGAACGTTTAACATCTTGAGTACATATGTCAGGGATGGGGAATTACCGATTATCGAAATTCTTATAAATTGTAAAACTTTCAAGATGATCAAGCTTTTTAAGACCCAAGATTTTTCCGCCATTTTATAGAAACGAAGCGTTCCAAATCCCATCACTAGTTGTAGATAAAGTTCACGGAATGAATCAATTTTGTTTAAATTTAAATATTTTATATTATCTTGCGCCCCAATCGAAACGGTAAATTGTTAAATGTACATACATATATGTATAATACAGCCAAATAATCGCCAAGTGTTCGTTTATTATGCGAAAATACTTTGACTTGGTTACTTAATTTATTGTAAAGAATTCTACGAATGTTAGAGCGTCACATTATGTTTTTTTCAACGTTAATTACAAAACCATTGTCTTGATTAGTTTCCATACGTCTTGTACAATGCAGTGATATTCTCGATCATAGAACGAAACATATATCGTAGTAATAAAAACGAAAGGAAATAAAATAAAACTGTATTTTCGGTATCGTTAGACCAAACTTAACAGATGGTTCGAATATTAGAATTAACGGAAATCCAAGAGAAAGGAATGTTAAGAGAGCGAGGACGCCTGAATGAGAAAGGAAAAAATTGTCTTTTTCTAGGGAATATTTTTCTGACAAATTCAAATGCTATCCATACAGATTGCGTGTCGTAACGTTAATTATTTTAATATAAATTGTAATTGTAATTTTAAGGCAATTAAATTTAGCGATTTAAACAATTCTTGGACTTCTCTATTTCATTTTCAATATCGAAACCCTCACGAAAACGAATAAAGAAAATTTACTTTCACCGTGTATATAATTTTATTCGATATTTCGGTATGTACATTGTAAAGTTATCGTTTAAAAATGGCAGTTTCTAATACTAATAAAAAGAAATAAATAATCGATAGGCTAAGTCGATCGTCGCTCGATTTTAATCGAATTTCGGAACTTCGAACGAAGACTTTATGCACTTGCTTAAATAACAAAAATTGATTATAAGTGCTTGGCAGTTATTACATTTTTAATAATAATACAAAATATCTTGTGTATAATTGGCGATATTTGTTACTTTCATTATTTCAGTGTTTCTCTATCTGCAATCCTTGTCGAACGAGTCGTAAATGCAAATATAAATACAAAATATGTACCATCAAGGTAATTTTTAATCAAATATTTTAAAAAGTTATTAATACTATTTCAATTTTTATTTATCAAACGTTGGATTTTTTTTTTTATTTAAAATCGTATCAATGTTTCGATGAATTCTAGGAATTTGTAGCTTCTTTCCTTTTGTAGTCCGACCCTCCTCTATATAAAGGTTTCCACTGACATCCGGCCAACTGATCATTACAGGAGGTTCTCCCTTTCGATCTGTACAAAAATAACAAAAACATTTTGATCTTTGATGGCAAAGGTGTTGTCCACCACGAACACATCCCACAAGATCGCACAATAAATAAAGAATATTATTTGGAAATGCTGAAGCGACTGCGTGTCGCGCTACAGAGAAAACGGCCGCATCTTTAGAAAAATGAAAATTGGTTGTTGCGCCATAACTTTTTTGGAATCACTGTACTTATCTGCAGCGAATTATCTTGTGTGATTGTAATTTTCTAACTACTTTTATTAAGTGCAATTCTTCATATTTTTGCACACAGCTCATTCTCTCTGTCTTTCGTGCTCTGGCCAATCTATATTTTGTTTACAATTGAAGATACCGTGTTTGGGTGAGTTCATAGCAGAGATTATCATTCGCTGGCTTCTTTACTATTACGACACCATCAAAGAAATTGATTTACATGGGTTGTTCTATACAGGTTACCATCCTGTAATCTGCTCTCAATGAAGTATTTCATCTCGCTTAGTTTCAACTGGCTTGTCACACTGCACAGTGGTCTAGATCGAGTTTAGTGACGTTTAGGCAAAAAATCAACTACATCAGTGTAGTCCGGATAAAAGATTATAGAAACACATTTAGCTTGTAAAAAAAGTGCCCCTAACGAATTTAAATACCTAAATTTTTAGTTTCTTAAGTCCATTATTAGATATAATGATCAAGGACTTTATCATATGAATTTTTCTCGAATAACGCTTACGCGATATCTATAATTAATATCTCTTTACTTTCTTACTTTTTAATCGAATTGAAAATGTCTGAAATCGTTTCAAATTCACTAAATTTTCTTACCTAAGAGTTTTTGTAGGTACTGACACCTCTTTTCTGGATCACCTGAATTGATGGACGTGCCCGCAACCAGTTCCGCTAGTTCCGCCTTGACCATTAAATTCAGCCGAGACGAAATCTCTTCTAAGCCCACTGCAAGTACCAAAAGATTCTCATTTTAATCTATACAATTCAAACAATTATTTATATCACTTGATAGTTACATAATTCATGTAATAAACATTGCAGTGCAATACAAATGATTACAGTAAGATAAATCACTTGAACGACTTATACATTGTTCAGACATAAAGTCGCCAAATTTGGCACGTAGAGGGTTAATGAAATAACTGGAGCACCTTGAACACTTTTGTTATATTTTGTAATAGGAAGAAATTTCAGATGGCAAATATCACGATGATCTTTAATTTGTTAAATAATAGAATTAAGAGCTATATTAGAAATTTCAATTGCTCTAAACAAATATTTAAAAATTTGAATTACAAATTGTCCATAAATATAAAGTTAAATATAAATTTTTTGTTTTGACAATTTTTTCTAAACACGGACTTACACCACAAATTAAACAGTCCATATCATGATATGGTCGTAGGTCAAACATGCATCTCTGAATGATTAAAAATTATTTAAATGAATTTTTCGTGCGAAAATGAGTACATAATGTTTGTCATAATCGTATCGAATTGAGATATAAAAAATTTCGTAGTTTAAGAATTTCGAAGAGTAAAATTCCGAGTCTGTCGTTTATTTCTAATCGATAGTTTGGCTGAGAATCATAGGACGACGATATCGTCTACGGAGCCTGGAATGCGAGTTGTACAGCTGTGGAATGCGGTTTGCTTTCTCAAGGCTTCATGGGATGAATCTAGCGACAGCTTCGCTCCAGTCTAAAGTCAGAGTTGGGCAAAACGTGATCCCATCGATGACTGAAGATTATGATGAATATAAAAACATGCTATTAATCCTGACTACCAATTATCAAATAATCAATAATCGTTGGTCAATGAACAAGCAATGTGATCAAAGTGGTTGTAATCAAAGGTCATGATTAATTCAATAATTGTTGATCATTAAATTATTACATGTTTGCTTGTCGATCGAATCAGAAGATACATACTTATCATTCGCATTGTTTTAAAATATATTTAGTACAAATTACTTATTTACTTTCAGAAGCAAGCGTAGTCTGTTTTTAATATAACTCTCGTTTCGAAAATTTTATTTAATAATTGATGTGCCTCCGGTACTATTGTTACACACGAGGAGCTGAAGAAGGAGGCGTGTTATACAGGGTGTCCCACGCAACTAGGATAAGCCATATGTCTAAAACGATGAGATTGACAGCTTGTAAACAAAAACACATTATTTATTCCAATGAAAAAAAAAACGGTTAAAAACAATGGTGACAGATAACTACAAAGAGAACGCAGAACATAGCTTCGTAAAAAATAGAGAGACATCGAGCACCGGAACGTCATATCCGGGCGTGATAGATCGAGCCAAGGTGAGCATAGGTCGTGAGCGGCTCTCTAATGAAGAAAATCTGCCTGGCATTTTAAACGACTTCTTATCCCCCTCCACAGTTCATGTATTAATCCTTCGGAATTGAATCTAACAAAGTTCGTGGCCTTGAATTTTTCATAACAGTTATTCCTCGTATCTCCTTCCGTATTGTGGTACTGTCAATTAACCAGGGATTGAAAAGGTTTCACAAATAACTGTTTCAAACTATCATGTATCGAGACAGTTCAATAGAACCTTTATCTTCTATTACTATTATTCTCCTATCATATATTAATTTTATTTCGATTCCATTTCCGGACCTCCATTACTTTTCCTGTCCAAACCTAATCGCGCACCGTTCGTAACAACGTAATCCACTCTATACGATCAGTAAAAGTTGATAATATCATAAAGGTAAAACATAAGTTGAAAGCATTTGATGATATTAATATTAGTATTGAAGAAGTACGTAGAACATTGAAGTTAACAAATTTACCAAAAAAATACGTGAATTTCTCGGATGAAAATAAAATAAATAGGCTTGGGTCGAATGGAAGAGAATGAATCTGGAAAAGACAAATTGAAAAATTAAACCGACGACTTGCTCGCCGTACAGTAATATTTAGAAAAGTAAACATTATGGTACGAGGCTGTGAGATTTTGTAGATTTTATTACACTTAAGGTGCTTACTCGAGTACTAGACTTGTTATAGGTCAATGAATTTGTCACAGAATGATATGCTCACATAAATGAAAATATACAGATCCATTAAAAGAAATTGATTTAACTTTAAAATCTTTTCCACTACGCCGCCTACAAAAATAATATTTATGTCCCTCCTTGTCCCAATTGAAAGAAAACTCCTGTAGATCATTCGTAAATCGGGTTACAAACGTGAAAGCTACTACAAATGAGTAAGTTCGTTGATACAGGTATAACTTAAAAGTGGTGCCTCGAACAACTCGTGATGCACGAACAAAATATTTGAAGCTGATTTCTTACCTGGATCAAAGTTCCTTTTCATTCGGCGCCACTGCCTTGCGTAGATCAACGCAGAACATCCTGCGACCAAAAAGAACAGAATACACGCGCAGACTGCAAGGATCAGCGCCCCGGTTTGCCAATCCCACAAGATCCTCTCCTCCAACGTAGGCGTTTTCCTTGGATGAGGCTCGGTTGTCCTCTGAAATTTCAACGAAATTGAATATAAGGGGATCACAAAAAAAATTATCGATTGCAATCATTTGTTATACTTCAAAATATCGTATCGTCGTTTGAATCGGTAACTGTTCTTAGTAATAAAAATTATTAAAGAACAATATTAAAAAATCGTTGATTTTTTACTTTGGCTTGAAACAAAAATTTCACTCTGTATTTCTTATAAATAATATGAATTAAAATAAAAATTATAGTATACAGGGCGTTCGAACACCTCTGGGAAAAATTTTAATGAGAGATTCTAGAGACCAGAATAAGACAAAATAAAAAATACCAATTTGTTGATTGAGGCTTCGTTAAAAAGTTATCAACGTTTAAAGTTTCACCTGTAGAACGGCAATCGGCGAGCAGCTACGATAGTGGCTCTCATTCACAAAACTGTAAAGCTGTCGATACGTCAATAAGTAGAGTTTCTCATACTGAGTGAGAACCACTATCATGTGCAAGCAACTGTTCGCAGACTGCTATTCTACAGGCGAATCTTTAAACGTTAATGACTTTGGCTATTTTGGCCTCTAGAATTTCCCATTCAAATTTTCCCCAAAGATGGCCGCACACCTTATATAATAGTCATTTATATCTAAAACGATAGAAGTCGATATTTTTTAAACCATTAATTCCATTTCTATAATTTCTTATATTTTAGGATTGCTATCCTTAATTTAAATAACAATCAAATTAATGATTTTTTCCCGATATTCGAAATATTTAGAACGTTATTTTTGATCCCTAAAGAAAGGTGCAACCAACTAATGCATTAGAAGCGAAAAATTGTTTTTTGTACTTGGTACTGTAAGACTGTCGATACGTCAATAAGTAGAGTTTCTTATGCTGAGTGAGAACCACTATCATGCGCACGCAACTGTTTGCAGATTGCCATTCTACAGGCGGAACTTTAAACATTAATAACTTGTTAACGAAGCCTTAATCAACAAATTGCTATTCTTGATTTTCGTCTTATTTTTGTCTCCAGAATCTCCCATTCAAATTTCTCCCAGAAGTGGCCACGCACCCTGTATAATAGTCATTTATATCAAAAACGATAAAAGTCGATATTTTTTAAACCATTAATTCTATAACTTAAATAATGAAGTTAAGGATAGCAATCATAAAATATAAGAAATTATAGAAAGGGAATTCATCGTTTAAGAAATATCGATTTCTATCGTTTTAGATGTAAATGACTATTATAAATTTTCGTCAATGATTTTCCCCGATATTCAAAATATTTAAAATGTTATTTTTGGTCCCTAAAGGAAGGTGGAACCAGCTAACGCATTAGAAGTGAAAAATTCTTTTTTGTACCTGGTACATTGTTTGTAATTCGATATTCCTCTTGAAATTCTCTACGCGGTCGACAAAGTCCTTCGACTCATGTCTGACCTGCTGTTGCTCTAAATCTGGGAATCTCCATAGCATGTTCGAGGTAACGGCTTCCAAGCTCCTTTGACCCGTTTCCGGTCGCTTTCTCGTTGAAAGGAAAGACCAATCGAGCTCGAGGGCCGACAGTGGTCCGCAAATGGAATCCTTGTAAATCGCGCAGGGGCTCAAAGTAAATTCAGGAGTACATTTGGTGCAAGGCCAGCAGGTGGCACGCTCGACGGACCAAAATTCAAAACCCGGTTTGCAAACCGGATATTGAGGAGCGGACGTCGAGTAACCAGAGTCGAGAAGACCAACCAACAACAACAGCACGGCCAACAAATATCTCGGTTTAGGCTTCCGAGGCATCACCTAGAAAAGATTTTCTACTCATTACTGCCTTAAAGTACACTAATGTAAATTATTCGATTACACTGTGCCTCGCGCTCATTTTTCATTTGCGAATCTAAATAGGCGAGGCAGTAATGTTGTTCATTCCGGCCATTGGTTTTATTCTTCTTCCTTCTTAAATTCAATTAGTAGAAACGTTAAAGTTCTCCTGAGTTAAGAGAATACCTGAAATTCGTTACTCACAGTGCAGTTGTCTTTGTTCGTCCTTCTTGATTTCGTGCCACGGTTACTTCTGGACGTACTATAGATTCCTTAGTCTCCCGTCGAATTTTCAATTTTCCAGCTCGATAATTAAAATCGTCACTCGCGTCGCCAGAGAATTATTAATTCTATTAGTCCACACTAATTTCACCAAGTAACAAGTTCGAATATTCTATTTTTAACACCAAAAATAATGTTGCGTACCGAGAAATAAATTCTTATTCTACTAAACAAATTAAATAAATTTATTTAACGTAACTAAGACCTGTACGAGGCGAATCAAATTTTTTCTCTGAAGTCTCTCATGTTTCCCATAGATATTGGCGATATTATTTCCCGCCCTTATTGTCACATAGAGTCGGATGAATTTTATTTTTACACTAACCATTCATACCCTGGTACATACAGGGTGTTCGGCCACCCCTGGGAAAAATTCTAATGGGAGATTCTAGAGGCCAAAATAGGACGAAAATCAAGAATACGAATTTGTTGATGAAGGCTTCTATAAAAAGATATTAACGTTTAAAGTGCCGCCCGTACTGAATTTTTTCCTCGAAAATGCGCAAGATTTCGGGGGTATGTCTATTGACCAAAAATGATTGTAATTGACTCCCGCAATCGAAAATAATTTTTCCAGAACGACTTGAAATTTTTTTTTTCTCGTCGAAAAATTACCCTTTGACGATTTTTCTTAAAAATTCGTTTTTTATTTTTAATCATTTTGTTTGTCACCCAACAAAAAAGTTGTCTAGTACATTTTTGTAGGTACTCATGAGCTCTACTTCAGTAAAAAGTTTCATTGAAATATATTCACTATTGCAGGAGTTATAGCTGTTTAAAAATGGGACCATTTTTATGGTGTTTTCTTCACTTTACGGGGATAAGGAACAATTTTTCGAATATTTTTGGATTTTCCATATATTCTTCACCAAAATACGCGTTGGTTGCCTTTTGAAACATTAAAATCGTCCAATCTGTTCAGGAGTTATGATGTTTTAAAGATTCACATGAAATTTTCGGACAACTATAAATTACATTTTCGATTAGGAATTTTTTTCTCGAAAATGCGTAGGATTTCGTAGGTATGTGTAGTAACTAAAAATAATTGTAATCGATCCCTGCAACCGAAAATAATTTTTTTAGAACGATTTGAAAATTTTTTTTTCGCCGAAATTGGCGAAATTTCCCGAATTTTTTTCTCAAAAGTGGGTAGTGTTTCAGGGGTATGTCTATTGACCAAAAATGATCGCAATTGAGTCCTGCAATCGAAAATAATTTTTCTACGGTGATTTGAAATCTTTTAATTTAATTTTTTAATAACTTTTTTAACGAAGCCTCAATCAACAAATTGGTATTTTTTATTTTTGTCTTATTATGGTCTCTAGAATCTCTCATTAAAATTTTTCCCAGAGGTGTTCGAACGCCCTGTATACTATAATTTTTATTTTAATTCATATTATTTATAAGAAATACAGGGAAACCTCCCATTAAAATTTTTCCCAGGGGTGACCAAACACCCTGTATATTACATTAAAACGCTGAGTCTAGCTAATGAAGATATAAAATTCATTTATTAAATTCACAACGATTCTTATAAAATAGATCTTGCACGACACGATGTCTAATTGTGAATATTACGTCAATATTCAGACACTTAGATACATAGTGCTTCTTAGGATCTATACTGTCAATAAATACGAATGACTATTCTATATAAGTATTAGTTCTGTTTCATTATGCAATACTTCATAAATTGTAAAGATGGGACGTAAAATCAGAAAACAAAACATTCTTTCGTAAATTAGTCTTGAACGATGCAAAACAGCTTGTGGAAGGTACGCCCAGAAAAATTCAAACCATTATCGATGCCAAGGGTAGATACGCTAAAAATGTTGCCAAAAAATTATAAAAAAGAAAATTAAAATACGCGTTTTACTGTAGAGTATCCACTTTAGTCTTTATCCTAGTAATTCTGAGGGTGTCTTATAATTTTGTTCACCATCGTAGAAGCGAATGACCGAACCAAAGCGCGAAAAAGAGAGGACTATACCCGTACCCTCTCATCTGAAAGAGGCCTTACGATTGTACGTACGCATGCGCTATTAGAATGGTTTCGATGCGAACCAATTGACCGCAATTCGGTAGCAATTTCAAAATGATTTTTCGTAATCGAGATTTTTATTTTATCGAATCATTAGCTCTCGCATTAACGAAAACAATTCTCAGTAGCAACATATGCACTGTCAACAAATTAAAAATTTTAAATAATTATGTGCAAACAATTTAATAATTTTAAATAATGTTACATAAAATGTAACAAAAAATCGATATTTTCAAAGGTTTTTGGTAGAATAAATAATATAAAATATCCCCCTAAATGACAACCGATCGTTTAGAAAAAGAAAATAAAAAAATGTTTGGTAATCAGAAATTGTATTGTACAAGTAGAAAGCATTATAACGTTCTATATCTGCGCTGATTAAAATTTCCTCCTCGCACACCGTTGCTAGTAGTTTTAAATTATTGAAACACAAGTCGACTTCCATATTATAAATCTTGGCGATCGATTAATTCGAATTACTTCGAAAGATTTGCAACATTAATATTTTTTTAATTAAATCGAATACTCTTACTATGATAATACTATATCTGTTTACGAATCATTCATCGTTCGAATAATAATGTACAATACATTTTTAGAAAAAATGGCATCGATACTTCTAATACACTTAATAATTGATTATAATAATGTCATAAAAAAGATATACGATCATTGTTTCATTTTATATCTCGCGATTCTATGAAATATAAAAAATACTATTTATATTTAATAATATTAAATAGTATTATAAATAATATAAAAATACTATTTAGACAACAATTTTTAAAACAATTTTATTTCCTATTTGAAATGAAACAAGAACTGTTTTATTAATATCTTTATTAATTTGTAATTTATTAATTCAGCCATGAGTACTATCCCATACTATCCCATTCATACGTTTCATTGACATTCCACGCGCTTACTGTGTCATCGAATACTTAAAAGTCAAATGAAACTATTTCGTTACGTTTTAGATCTTATTTTAACCGTGCCTCGGATTATTTTTTACTATCATATTTCTTTGCACAGTATTTTTTGTCTCTTCATGTTAATTATTGAAAAAAATAAAAGTCATCCTGGAAATGAATATTCCTAATATAGCAATTCGGTCATAAAATGATTTACCGCGAATCATCAAACTCGAAATACATATTTAATTAATTTCTACAGTATTCTCGTTTATTTCCCATTATCTAGCGATCACAAAAGTATAAATTCACATTTTAAGCTAACTACTCTTTGATAAGTCAATTATAAAATGACACAACAAACAGTGTAGTCTACAAAAAAAAAAAACAATGACGCACAAAGCGAAAACTTTTAGACTAACGAAACACTATTTAAAGATAAACACCACAATTGGCAATGTAAATATTAATTTTTTAAAACACTGACAGTATATTTGTATGAAAAAAAGGAAACATATGTGTATGTATAAATATACGCACGCTGCACTCGATAAATTCAGACCTATCATGATGCAATTCTATCGATGTATCCAAAATCGATTAACGTGAAGGGAACCCAATAATATCTGAAACTTGCAAAAAATCGTAGAGTTTCCCATTCGAACGAAATCGTGGAAACTTAAATCGAACGAAGCCTCGACAGTTTAACGTGTTTTTAAAGTCGTAGACAAGGAACTTTCCTTTACGGCGAACGAATTAATATAAAGAACGAAAGGGCGGTATTTCAAAAAATCTTCACTCGAGACGGAACAGACGTACACCGTGCGCCGACCACAACACGACTGGCTAGACTGGTTATTCTAATTTCCGCCCACGATCCTCTCTTAAAAAGAGAAGTTTGCGAAGAAGAGAGAAGCATATAAGGAAGAGAGATACGAAAAGAAACTTGGAAATGAAAGAAGACAGAGGGAGCCACGCGGTGGAATACAAAAAAATGTAGTGATGGCTTTAAATCTCGCTACCTGCTGCGAACAATAAACCTTATATTACAGGTATCTTCCGTATAACATTGTAATTGCAGTACTGTACAAAAATATGAGACACTTTGAATACTTATGTACTTTGTATTCAGGGTTCCCCGCTACCATTAGTCATCCTTTGTGGGGGTGATTCTATAGACCAAAATAAGACGAAAATCAAGAATATAAGATATAAGAATAACGATATTTCAGTAGGGACTACGACTTAAAGTTATTAACAATTAAAGATCTGCCTGAATCACGGCAATTTGCGAACAGCCGCGCACGTAAGGAAGTAGCGCGACCAGTGGCGGCGGGCGCACTATAAATTTACCATGTAGGAAGCGTACTCACCGACATATTCGACAACATTACGTTCTTGCTTCAATTTATAGGAATGCAAACACGTTAAGTTGAATGACATTAAACCTGCCTTGTGAAAATTCAGAGGGGCATATCAAAACCCGCCCGACTAGATTTTCAAGCAGAGAGGGTGAATGCCACTTTCATTCGGTTACGTTTCTTGTGAATGTCCATCTCCACATACCGTGATTGTCCCATCGGCGAAGTTTAGTTCCACATATTATAGAATTACTAAAATAATTCGTCCCGCTACGAGGATCTGTCTTTATCGTTTCGTGGCCAGATCCTTCAAGCAGCAGCATTGTTCTTTAGCAGTGACACTTCGGGACGGCTGCCTTTTCTAAACTTTCTCATGCATTTCTTTAATCAAACCATCCTTCAACTTCCGGTAGCTAAATAATAAGAATAAATGCAATATTACCAGCACTGTATTTAGTACTTACACTTAATTGTGTAAGTAGAGGTGCAGTTTCCTTTGGACACCGATCTGTCGTCTGATATCACTGGAAGAGACCTCTGTCGGTGGACAGTGGGAACTGTTAATACGACCACGCGTTTGATCAGTTTGATGACGTAATAGCACAGACGAGATATATCTCGTCTGTGGTAATAGATTACACATTTTTGTCATTATGGTAATATAATTGATATCAAAATAAGCATAATAGTATACATAATCTTCAAATGACCTTGAATACGAAAAATTCAATAATCGAGCACCTTACATATTTCCGCATCTTGCACTAGAAAAAAACATTTACACGAGTGCACATAATCTGAGATTTCAAGGTCGTCGAAATTTTTTTAAACGAAATTACGTATTCTTATCGTTACGGTATCATAACAGACGTCAAGCAAATGCAATGTTACATAACAACGTAGCTATCATTATTTTTGTATTCAAGTTCATTTGAACATCATATTGTCAAATACCATTGTACTCTTTTTAACATCAGTTATTATCGTATTATATTATCGTATTGACAAAAACATGTAATTCTACTTTAAAAAACGATGACTGTAATCTTTTTAAAGCTCTTATTGAACCAGAGTTATCTAAGTCGATCACATTCTGTCGTCAACCCTATATATAAATAAATCTTGATTAATACATTGACTGTCTGTTTTCCATTTCTAGGAATGTCTTCATCATTTGTTCCACATTACTATAAAAAAATAGAAATATTTAATAGCTCAATGGTGCACTTGTCATTTTATAGCGCTCCTAACAACAATAATATTTAAAAATTTATAAGTATTCGGGTTCATTCATTCTAAGCACTTGAATGAAAGTTAAAAAGTCAAAGCGTCAGTTACAATGACCAACCATGACAATCAACGTGTTAAATATACCAGAATTGATACCTTCGTTTGAAATTCTCTTGAATTTGCCACCCTTCTATCATTTATGTAGCTTTAAAACGGATTTACATTACAACGCGATCAGGATTAAACCGCAAACAAGAATCTCCTGGAAAATTTGTTAAATTTAAATTAATTCTTTTTATTGATGGTTTTAACTGAAAAAATTGAGTTTAAAAGTCCTTACTAAACAATTTTTTATCTGTACTGCTGGTAGATAAAACACCTATAATACTAATATCTCAATTCCAAATTCAGTAACGATAAATTTCTCTATTTCATACAGGTACATACAAAGAATAGAAAAATTAGTAATACTTGTAATACAACACTCTTGAATAACGGATTGGGTTAGGTCTTTATACATATAATGACATTATAAATGTACGTGAAACAAAAACTTATACTAATTTTACATACACTCACACTTATTACACATTGCTGCCTGCAGTAACAAAGCAGCAATAAATCGTACACAAAATGTTATCTATATTAAATTCGCCTTCTCACGAATTATGTTCACAACTTTATCTTTTATTGTAATTTAGAATTACAATCGCAATGACTTAGCGTTACTATCAACTTACATTACAAAACTTTTCTTAAAATTACTGTTTATGGAACGACTATCTTCTCATATTGCAAATATTAAATTTTTAACAAAATAATTGGCAATTCAAATAAAATTGAAATTTGAAATTTCACATATTGACGACTAGCTTTGAAATGTTTGGAAATATTTCGAAAATTGTTGTATACCTTCAGATACTTTTAATAGTAACAAGTACAATATGAATATAATAAACATATAAAAAGTAATACTGGTATACACGATATAACGAATATTTTTGTTACATATTCTAAATGTCCTGTATTAGTAATGTGCGTTTTTAGCTAAAAAATTTTCACTGTTTTCAAGTTTTACATAATTTTAAATTCCCAACATTAAAATTACAACTTCTCTTTAAATTAAAATGTTTGTTGCTTATTAATACATTTTTATTAAACCAAATGCATTAAAATAGAGCCTAGCATCTTTAATAAAGTAATATGTAAATGCCTTGTTTAGCATTAAAAAACCTTACACTGTTAATTACTTTAAGCAAAAAAAAAATTATAAGAATATGTGCAACCACACCGCAAGAGTAATCAAATCATGATTAATATTGTGCATGATCTAAATAATTACAAAATAGTGTCTACATGATTTGGTGGCATGACATAATTTTGTGTGTGTGTGTGTATATGAGACTGTGTGTACTTATGTGTATGTATATATATATATATATACTGGCGCGAACCCGCGCAGGTCTGTATTCAATTGTTTACTTTCAAGGTTTACGATTCAGGAAAAGTATCTAAATAAATATCAACGTTATTCTTTTTCTTATTACTTAAAAAATACAGTTATGGCATCGCATTACGGCTGAATATCTATTAAAATTAGAGTCCCTTTTGGCATTTTTATTTTAATTGCGATTGTTAATAAGATTTTCCATTATGAAAGGAATCTTATTCTTTCCAGTCTTTCTTAATTTCAAACGACCACTCCCACTTCAGATGTTCATGCTTGTCATCATCGGTAAATAAGGAGCTTACACTGTAGGATCCACGTGCCATTACTCCAGCCGGTGCATCTTCTGCAGGTGTAGTATATGATTGCACTTCTGTTTTTGGTGGATAAGAGCCAACCATATGCATCATCTTATCCACTGTAATGCAATACAAATGAAAAGCTATCAATGGATAATTGATAATCAAATATTTCATTTATTACAAAAGTATTGAATTTTAAAATTACCTGTGACACCTAGCAATGATAACATTGAACAGAAACCAAATACAAAAGTTTAAGCTCATAATTTAAATTGAATAAGATTAAAAATTCGAAATTAATGACAAAGCATTTGCCATTTAATTAATAGTTAACCTTTAACAATACTCTTACCAGGTACTCCAAGACGATAGGTCTTCTGAATATACTTTAAACCATGCACAATTTCACGTTGCACAATGAAGTCAATCCTGATTCTATAACTAACACCTTCCTTTATTACAAAAGTTTGTTTTTTTAATTGAGAAAGATCATCTGTTAAATCTAATTCCATGTCTGGTCTGTCTACGACACAAAGTGCTAATTTCTTCACTATTACTTTTCTTGGATCAGTTGGATCTGAAAAAATTCACATCGCCGTTTCTTATTTAACAATTCTCTAACACACTTATTTTTAACAATTAATGTAATTCGCACCTACAACAACACCGCCAGACTTTGCTTCCCCTAGAAGTGTTTCCTTATATTTGCGTAGACTTTCATCTTCTTTGTCTGTTTCTAGAATTTGTTCTATTGTTTTCTCTGGTGGAGGCTTGTAGTTTGATTCCACTTCCAGTTCTTCTTCCACAGAGTCAATATGATCTGTGTTAAGCTCTGACATTTTCACTATGGCAGAAATGTACTGTTGCATTATTAATATTTTACATTTTTTACCTTGTACATTGGAGTTTAGTTTCCAAATTAATTTTGTCATTTATTTAAGATTAATATTTCATTAAACTAAATACAATGCAATATTAAATTACAAAAAAATTATTTATAGATTTTAATAAACGTGAATGAATTGGCATATGTGAATAGGAGTTCGTACAACGCGAAATCGAAGTATCGGAAAAGTATTGATCTTTCCGCATAATATTTAGCAATTTTGAGTCATTAATTGATTTGAAGAATACCAAACGCACACAAACTTAACGTTTACGCATGGTCATATAGATGTTTCTATAGAATATTTTTAGAAAGATAAAACGCTGGAAAAATTATAAAGTAAAACATATTTTCTGTGTCTTTCTCGTATATTTCTATAACATGAAAAGATTGAACACATATCAAGAAATTAATGAATTGTAAAATAAACGAAGAGAAATATTGAAACAGGAAAATGACAGAAAGGTAAAAAAATGTCTATACTAAATTATAAACCATTGAAAAAGTAATCGATAAGAAACAATTCAATTACCAAAAATTCTGAATATCTGAATAGTAGACTTACCGTAATTATAAAGTAATAGAACGAATATTAAAAAACGAAAACCTATACAGAACTATTACCAATCTTTTAATCTTGTTTGCTACCCTTCTGTAACTCGCTTCTCAAAGCGGAAGACATGGACAATATGGCTGACTCAAAAGGGCGGGTACTTCCTGTCCTCATAGTTATTTAAGGTTAACTTTTCCTTTTATATATTTCTTTATTATTTTGAATCCATAAACTTCCTTTGTTACATTCTTAAACTTATGGTGCCTCCTGGTGTATTTACTTTTATTTATATTATCCTTTATTCTAAAAATTAGATGTCAAATTAGGAATATATCGAATTGATAAGGATTCTGACGTGTGAGTGTCATTTCCCGCGTTTAATATATCTGTACAGATTCTTTAATGTGCATTTTTGTATTATTTTCTTAAATCAATTAATATTTTAAACGAATCAGCGTGTCATAATCATATTTCTAATTCATACACTGTATCACTTGTTAATACATAATATTATTTATTAGAAGAATACAAAGAGCTATTGTTCGTTCACCTTAAAGATATAGTATAGACACAAGCTATGATAAAAAATAGATATATATACTTATATACTAAGAGACGAAACTCTGCTTAGAGAGAGATGAAATGACGCAGTCAATTTAAATGTCTAATCGGCAATGATCGGCAAATTTTGGTAAAGTTGAAATATTGATACATTAACCAAAATTATAACATCGACGTAGTTACATTGAGGGGTATTAAATCTGCCCAGAGTTCACGATGCATATGTGATGCTGGATTTCCGATTGGTGGAATGATGTTGAAACACCTCATTCTACCAATTAGGAGCTACCAACATTATTGCATAAATCGGAAGAGTTTACGCCTTGCGACAGAGTCAATGTTTCCGTACGTATAGAGAGAAATATTAATTCTTGGTCCCTAGAGGAAGACACTAGCTCTGGTACCAATAAAGGATGCTTGTTGAAAGATGAAGCGTTTTGATTGGTATTAGAGCTGGTGACTTTCCCTTGTTTAGAGTATGAGTCATTGTGGCGACCGTACATCGATGGTATAGCTTTGACGTAAATTCGAACCGTGTAAACGCAGTCAATTGCAAATCAATAGCTTGCAAATACAAATAGTATAATATACACACATATGGGAATTAAAATAACAATAATTTAGAAAAAATAAGTTGACGCGAAAATATAGAATTATAAAAAATGCAGAACTTGAATGTTTAACTCAATTTTTGTAGTATTACTTTTAGCTCGCAAGGAAATTCTGGAAATCAACCAAAGAAAGAGGAAAGTCGCCATTTTGTGTTCGTTGAGAAGGATAAAGACTTCGTGAATGACGGTTTGTTCATGCTGAAAGCCTTCGTGTGATTATCGATTCTTTGTTTTTTTCTTTCAACATTCGTTCGGCTCAGCCGTGTTAAGCAGCGTTGATGATTGGAATTCCGCGTGACGATCGACATAAGATCACGGTTAAAATCCGCAATAATATGAAGAGAAGCTCTAGTCGAGACACTCCGCCTCCTCGTGTCAAACGAAGCAGATCCTCCATGGGACGGTAAGAATTTTACCGTCGTTTACTGAGATTTATTTATTTAAGAAAAATGTTAAAAATAAACTACACCTTTTTCGTTCAATACTTTTTTGTAATTAAGTGCATTTTATTTCATTATTTTTGTACATAAAAGACAGTGTCAAGTAATTTTGAATTATTGTAATTTTATTTCTTGACATTAAAAAGTAATGTATCTTCTATTATAAATTCTTTTATCTATTTATAGATATGATGATTCCAGTGATGAACGAATAACACCTGAGAGAATTCGTCGTCGTAGCAGGGGCGCAAGAAGTCCTAGTCCACCAACGCGTGCCTCGTCACATGCACGTTATGTAGAATCGAGTTCACACAGAGATGATTATTTAAGAGCACCCAGAGAATTACCCCCAGAGCGTCCATACAGTTATAAAGTTCTTTGTATCAGCTCGATTCATCCAAAAGCCAGCGATGAAGTGATTAAAGATACTCTTTACAGAGAGTACAAAAAGTTTGGTGATTTCTCCATTAGAATTTCTCATGAACTAGATGAGCGTGTTGCATATGTTTGCTTTAGAAGTTCAGAAGATGCTAGAGATGCAAAACATGCAAAACCAAGAATTATTATGTATGACAAAGTAGCACTTGTTGAGCCAGTTTATGAAAGACCTGATACTTATCGTCGTCCAAGATCTATCACACCACCTGATTATGAAAGATATTACACTAGAAGTCCTGGTCCAACAGATAGACATAGACCATTAGAAAGATATGAAAGAGTTTACGGACCCCCAGTTGGATTGCCTCCACCACATAGAGAAATGAGACGCGAAGCGATTCCTCCTCCTCATCATGAATTTGTTAGACCACCGATTCATCACGGTCCGCCTCATGTTCATCCTGGTCCACCTCACCATTATGGTCCACCAAGACATATGATGATACGACATCCGGTTCATGGATTTGAGCGCGTAGAAAATAAAAAAGATAAATTCCCTAATTATTTACATCATGTTTCACCAGAAGATGATCCACTAGCAACGAGAACTCTCTTTGCAGGAAACTTGGAAATCAATATCACTGAAGAAGAATTAAGAAGGATTTTCAGTAAATATGGAATTGTAGATGATATTGATATTAAAAGACCTCCACCAGGAACAGGAAATGCTTATGCTTTTGTCAGATTTCAGACTTTAGATATGGCACACAGGTGTAAAGTTGAACTTTCCGGGCAATATATAGGAAAATTTCAATGTAAAATTGGTTATGGAAAAGCTACTCCTACAACGAGAATTTGGGTTGGTGGTTTAGGACCATGGACTTCTGTTCCACAACTAGAAAGAGAATTTGATCGATTCGGAGCAATAAAGAAAATTGATTACATAAAAGGCGACAGTAATGCCTATATTCTGTATGATTCGATCGATGCGGCTCAAGCTGCTGTGAAAGAAATGAGAGGATTTCCTTTAGGTGGTCCAGACAGAAGACTGAGAGTAGACTTTGCAGATGTAACTCCAGGATTTGGATTTAAGCCAAGACCTTACTCGGAAGAAAGCGGAGAGTTTAGACCAAGACCAGTAGATTACGAGTCTTCTTATGATCCCTATGGACCAGATAGTGACTTTGGTTATGGACCAAGAGGATTTAGAGGTAGGGGATCTGCTCCATGGCACGACAGGAGAGGTGGAGGAAGAGGAGGCTATCGTGGAACTTACCCAGACAGTTACATAAGAGATGAAGCTGATTGGTCTAGCCGTAGACCACCACCAGAGCTAGAGTACGAAACCCCCAGAAGCTTACGTCGTTCTTTATCAAGAGAACCTGGTGTAGATAGATCGAGATCAAGATCTCCTCGTAGAAGACAAATTGATTCAGATTCAGATTCAGAGAATACTCGTACTGGAATGCTTTCAACCTCCCGAACGTTGCCGGAAGTTGCAAGAAAATCAATAGCAGTATGGCAAGGAGCACTAATCTTAAAAAATTCTCTATTTCCAGCCAAGTTTCATTTAACTGATGGTGATACAGAAATAATTGAAGCCTTAATGAAAGATGAAGATGGAAAACATATGCTAAGAATTACACAAAGATTACGTTTAGATCAACCTAAATTAGATGATGTATCAAAGAGAATTCAAACTTCCAGTTCGCATGCTATTTTCCTAGGACTGGCTGGTTCAAGCACAGTTATTTCTACAGACGATACGAACGTGCAGACTCGACCATTACGTAACTTAGTGTCATACTTGAAACAAAAAGAGGCAGCAGGAGTTATTTCATTACTTAACAAAGACACAGAAGGGACTGGAGTTCTTTATGCATTTCCACCCTGTGCATTTTCTACAGAACTATTGAAAAGAACCTGTCCAAGTCTCAGTGAAGAAGGACTCAAAGAGGATCATCTGGTAATCGTCGTTGTTAAGGGGGGTAGCGCTTAGATATATATGTGCGTGTGTGTGTATATATATATATATCTATATATGTATATACATATATATGCAGATACATAAATATATAGATATATAGATGTATACTGACTAAGGTGTTTAGTATCATCACTTTAAATACATTATTTGCAGCTTTCGAAAAAGTTTCATATGGATATTAAGTATTCGTCTGGCTTTAAGGAGTTTGTACATTAATATAATTTTTTATATAATAATTTTTTTTAGAGGATCATATTTTTTGTCTTGTTAAAATTTTAATCCTTGAATTACAAGAAACCAATTCCAATTCAAAGCATGTTTGTCTGATAAATCGTGCACTGCGTATAACAATCTTACAGTAATAGCGTGGAAGCCTTTTTCACGCATCAATCATGCAATTCAATGAACGTCTATAGTGAACTATAAGTGTTAAAAATTTAGGAAAAAAATGATAACCCGAAGTTTGTTAAAACTTGCAAATTTTGTGCATAATCTAATGAAATTTTTTATTTCAGAAGTATAACCAATAAGCATTAAAAACAGTAGGTACAAAAATAAACCCTATGAAAAAAAACTAATTTAATTTAAGAAATTCAAAGCGATTATAAAACAAACTCTCTTAACGATAATAAAAGGCAATAGAATTTAATTAACCCTTTTGGATCTAATATATAAATGATGTTTTAAATTCAATAATTTTGTAACATGTAGAGTATCCTACCTAATTTGAGCGTCTTAATTAAATATTTTATTTGCTTTTGATATAAGAAAATGTCATAGGAAAACACTATTTGCTTGGAACGGGCAAATATAAGCATAAAATTTGTTTCAAAATTTATATTTTTCGAGATTTCAAAATGTACTGATTATTCTGATTGTAACATCCGGAATCCAAGACTAAAAGGGTTAATAAGATATGGAAGTAAATAAAACTAAAAACAAAATTTAAAAAAATTTTTAAATCAAATCCAAATCAAAGTTATAGCCTACATTAAATATATGAAAGCTAAAGATTCTAAACATTCAATGTTACAAATTTCTCAAAATTAAATTAGTTGTGTGTGAATAATTTTGTTAAGTTGCAAATAATGGAAATATTAAAGTAGAAGATACTAGACATATAAATATTTGTATATCCATTAAAAGCATCAAATTTCTATGAGTCTGAATTGCTGAATGAAATACAAAAATCATAATAAGGACGAAAGAAGGAATTTAACACATATTTTCGTAATCTTCAATTACAAATTTTTATTACATTGTATCATATCTTTTTACATGTGTATGAAAAACGTAATAATGAAGCAATTCAGTATTCAATAAGTTATGGACACACTTAAGTAAGATCGAACTATCACAGGTAACTCATAATGATTCTAGATTTAATATTTACTGTAATTATACACTAGCGCGTGTATACACAGTTCTTTCATATTCGAATGAAATTCCTAGAGGAATCTTTTATTTCTAAATTTCATTTAATTTTTATTAAATATTTTATACTAAAATAAATCTTGCTTATGAAAAGGGTGGAATATGAAAGATCTGCTTAAACTATATTTGATACAGTAATTAAGTCTACTTAATTGTAAAGTTGCATTTTATGATTATGTAGAATTATCTGTGTGATATATACATATAATACTTATATAAGTGACTTGTGTGGATGTGTTCTGAAAAGTGAACCGAAGAAAGTGAAAGGACAAAATTCTAAAATGGCTTCCTGTGCTTTTCTCTCAGTGAAAAAGGACAAAATCGTTTTTTTTTTTGAAAGGACAGTGTTTAGTGATAAATATTTGAAAAGTATAAAAGAAAAAAACAGAATGTGTACAGTGAAATGTAAAACAAATCCAAGTGCTTGTGCTTGGCGACCAACATTGTGACGCTCTTTTAAACTATTACTTTAAAAGTGCGTTACAGTATGGCGCAAACGAAGGTGCAGTGGTTTAATCACACAATAGTGTCGGAACAACAAATAGATGACCATTATGCTGAGTCAATGCATTCATTATTTTTAGTTTACCTACCAAAGTTTCAGTGGCTTCGAATGAAAACAATAATTATTACATTAGAAATGTAATCTTTTAACAGGAGGATGCGTTGATGTTTTCAGTGTTATCAAAGGATATAACAATTTCTACAATACAAAAAGAAATCTTTTCCTGGAAAGAATATTTTGGTTAATTTCAGTGGTATTAAAGGAATAGAAAATGATCATTACGTAGAGAAGATTAGTTATATTATTACAAAATGCATGCTGTGACTTGGCAATCAGTCGCATGGGTTTTAAATGCAAATTTTCTTGTGAAGTTGACCGTGAATTTCGTGATGTGATTTTCTTTGTTTTTTTCAAGAAGATTCTTCCCGTTTCGCATTTAGATTGATTGTGCAGTTAGTGTTCTCTGTGGTCTGTGGCCATTTCTGGCTGTTTAATTCCTAAAAGGTACTGATTTAAATATGAGAAAAAGGAAAAGAAAAATAGTAGCGTTTCCAATTTTTGTCCTACAGAAACAATTGTGTCAAATTTGAAAGTGAAGAATTGCCGGTGCTGTTTCAAGTGTTTCTTTGTAATTAAAAAATTTTTTTAATTAATTGAAATTGAGAAAAAAAAAAGTTTGTTTCAGAGCCACAGCGAAGAAAGGGTTTGGATAGAAGAGATCGTCTACTGTCTACTGTATTTTATGCTTTATACGAATAAAACAAATAGATTGGCAAATATTTGGAACCTCAATTACTTAATATTGAAGAAACACTTAAGATAAAAACATACATATTAATATTTAATCCTTTATTTACCATTGAAAGAAGTAGTTAATATTGTGTAATAATGGAAGTTAAAATTAAATTGTAGTATTTTTTCTAATTCATATTTTCAATAACTTTCTGTCAGAATGTAGGTAGTAAAGAAAGTATTGCTACTTCCACTGAATACAATTACATGAATGAATAAGTTAAAGGAATATGGATTGTTTGACAATAATTCTTCATCTACACCTTAATCTTAAATAGGCGTGTACACTCATTGCGTAGTCAGTGGTTCTTAACCTTTCTTTTTCCCACAAAGCCCTTTTGGCAATTTAATGGAACTCCATATACCCTTTCTATGCAATATTTTACAGAATAATTGTTTATAATAAATGTTTTTTAAGTAGTTGAATTAATGTTGAAAATTTTGACTTGCTTAGATTTGTATAATGCATGAAACAAGATGAAAGCTTTCAGAGGTAGCTTTATAAGACTAAGATAAATTTACAAGAAATATCAGAATTTTCAGATTCTTTTAATTTCAATTCTAGCAAATTTTTTATTTTGAAATCAACGAGTTTATCCTTAGGTAGGTTTGCATCTTCGATAGAATTTATGTCAGATAGTAAATTTTAACGTCGTCAACATAAAAAAAACAATTGTTTAGTGTTTTGTGTTGTTTCCCGGTGTTTGCAAAATTCTTTCTTTTGAACAGATACTGTTACAGAATTTTGGATTTCAATTCCGTCTTAGCAAAGTACATACTCGTATTAACATTTGAAAGTTTCCAAAGACTTATAACAGCAGCTTAGCTAAGAAAGCTTGTAATTTTTTGTTAAATTCGGGACATTGATTCGAAAGATTTATTCTAGTCTAATAGCTATTATAATGTTAATTAATGTTATACCTAATGAATCTAAATATTTAATATTTCTATGTGCAAGTTCGCGGACCCCAGATATCTATCTGACCTCTTGGGATGTGCAAACCACGAATTAAGAACCACTGATATAAATATTAAACGTAAATAACCTACTTTCATGCGAGAGTCAAAGAGTTACTATGAAATAATATTGCTATCAACAATTTCACAATACTTAAAGTTGAGAATAAGATACTAATGCCAGGGTTAAACATATGTTTAATGATTTATTAAACGTTTTACCGTGTTTTAAAAGCAAATTCTAAAATGTGTAATCTAGACGTGTGTTTATGAAATGAAAATAATTCTCTGTCAACAGTACAAAAACATTGAAGATTTATGATGTTAAATATTAGTAATTTTATACTATTTAAATTAGGAATAAGTTTACACGATTTTTAATTTCAACATTGTTGATGATACGTATTAAATGAGTACAGTAATTCTTCTCACATTGTCCCTTAGCTTGGTAAGAAAAGTGGACAATTTGGAGCTCTTATCGCTCTTATCTGTCCAGAAAGGTCATAAAAGAGAACAGCCAATAAATTTAAATGCTAGCTTATCGGTGCCGTAATACAAATACACAATGGTGCTAAAGTAAGCATAATGATGCAACTTCTTTGCTTTTAATTTTTTTCACACGAACATTTTTGTAACATATTAACGAAATTTTTTGAGTTAAAATGAGGCCATACATACTTCAGACCATATTTATTTATTATTACGTAATGGGTAATTTATTTTGTTTTATTAGATAAATAAAGCTATATGTTATACAATAAAATATATATTATAAAAACAAATTCTTAACTATACATGAAATATCTAAGACAATGTTAAGGAAGATATATCACTCATAGCAAAATATCAGAGGAGGTATATTATTTGGTGGGTATTGTAAATCGACAATCCTACATTCGACGGACAATATGAGAATAAGCCTAATACTCAGTGTGACCAGATTTGAGTACATAATTGAGTGCATCGACGTCGACACTAGAAACGACAAACTTCCTTAGCGTCTAACGGAGAGGTGGGGATAGTAGATATATACTACCGCACGAGTCACGTGTACGTGAGCTCGGCGCTTTGCGCAACTTCGGGAAATCAAGAAAGAAGGCGAGTGTGAGCTTCTCTTTCATGCTCCTGTAACAGCTGAAATTCGACTTCGCGACACTTGCAAGGAACCATCGCGAACGGTCCGGCTTCGATTTTGATGAAACTTTGTACACTTATAAAGCAGCTAAAAATAATCGACACGTATTTTTTTTTAGCTGCGGTAACTCGAGTTTAAGGGGTGAAACCACCCCTTGAAGTTTTGGCTCGAAACGGCTATCTCGAAAACGGAAAGACATACAAAAAAATTGTTAATGGGCGAGGTTAATGGTTTCTTATGTACAATAACATGGCGTTAAAAAATTTAAAAAAATACAATTTGTTTATAACAAAAAAAAATGTATTAACTTAATTTTTCATTTTATTGAAATTTTCATAATGACAAAAAATGACGAGCATTTTATTCCAAATCCATTGGTATGCGATTTTTTAAAATTGCCTCCTACAGTTTTGCAGATTTTTAATGATTTACATCTTGCGCGCACATCCATTATGGTAGTAGCCGTTCTAACTTTGATTTTAATGAAGCACTGTAGGCTTGCACTAAATTATACAGTAATAAGTAGCGAGTAACAATAACAGTAACAAGTTTCTTAACAGCAACGAAAGGATTAATTATTTTTATTGCCCACCTATGACATCGTGGCAAAGGTGGAGCGATTTATAAATTATAAATATATGCAGTGTGTATACCAGGAGATAAAGATACACTTATTATTCTCATGATGTACTTGCTTTAAAATACAAATTGAATAAATAAATATTGTCATTTCTGCGGCTCGCCTATCATGCAGTTTACGCACGTTATCTAAATCTTCACTGTTGTGAAAGCATTCTGTGTAATTTGTATAATAAAAACACGTGTCAAATGAGATTAGTATGTGCATCTGTATCTCTGTTGTTATTAACATTCTTTAAAATCGAGACGGTTTTTGTAATAAACATGATAAAATGGGTATATTGAAATGGAGTTTGTATTATACCTTTTGATAACGTGACATATCGTAAAGTTAATTAAATTGATTGCCCTTGTCATGTGAAAATAATATTTGTTGGTAGATAAGTGGGAGAACTTGGATATATATATATATTGCAATTAGCTCTTTATAAGCGTGTAGAACATTGTTGGTTATCCATACAGCCGAGGTGCCGATTCTGGGCATTTAAACGTTGCACTTATCCAGCCAATCTTTTGTTGCGTATATCCAGCTTTTACTGTATTCGGAAAGATGGTAAATATTAATCCTATTAATGTAATAACTTTACTGTCTGCTGCGTTTGTTGAGTGGAACCAGGGACCCACACCAATTAATAGCGCAGAAGAAAATTTAAGGGATGTATTATTCGATTTAATTGTAAGAAGTGTCGAAGACACGGTATTCCTGGTTGAACATGAAACGTGTGTTGAAATGGACGGGACGCCTATCGACCAAGAAAATCAGGATGCTGATTTGAACTGGTTGTGGGTAGATGAAGAGGAGGAAAATAGGACACCGAATAATCCAAACATATACGAACAAGACGTTGTATGTCATTCGAATAAGGAATACATCCCATTCGAATATAAAAGGAAAGCTGTGGCGTACTGGAACAGCGGGAAGTCGAAGCGATTAAAATTAGACACCGTACGTTCCAAATTCCGTCACGTGAAATCCGAAAGAATGCTTCGTGAATGAGCTTTACAAGTTGAACAGGGTGGCACAAAAAAGGAAAAGATAAAACGTATTGCAGAGTATACATTTAATAAATTTATGGAAGCTCGGCAGTTAAGAGTAATTGTGCATGAAGTAGATCTACGGCGATGGGCTTTACAAGCGAGGGACATAGAAAATTTACAAACATTTAAAGCCGGATATACTTGGCTATATACTTTTAAAAAGATGTTTAGATTAGTGTCCAGAAAAATTACCAGATTTGTAACCACAAATATGGTAAATCGAGAAGACGATATTCATTTGCAATGCAGCGCATTCGTGAATGAAGTAAAATCATATATAGCCCGAAATGAACCACACAATGTTTACAATTCCGATCAAAGTGGTTTTAATTTGGAATTACATTCAGGGCGCACTTTGGCTGAAGAAGGTATAAAAATCGTAGAAGGAGGTGTTCAATCAGTGTCATCCACCACTCATAGTTACACCATCCAGCCAACCATTTCAGCTGATGGACAATTACTGTCACCATTATTTATTGTACTGAAAGAGAGTACAGGACATTTCGGACCGATTGTGGAACAACATTTATTTCGCCCTGACAATGTATATCTTGTAGCTTCAAAGTCAGGCAAATTAACTACGGACCATTTCAAGACCTGGTTAAGAGAGATTTACTTCGCAAATACTGGGGCCGCAACAGTTCTAATTCTTGATTCCTGGTGTGGTCACTGTAAGAAGACGGTGAACGAAGTTACTCCCGAGGGTAAAAATGTAAAACTTTTTATAATACCAAAAGGTGGAACAAAGTATGTTCAACCACTGGATGTTTACGGTTTCCGCACTTGGAAAAATTTCGTCCGCCGATTTTCCGATATAGTTCTCGTTTTAAATCACGACATGCTAGGAATAATATAATTAAACTTCAATCTCTGGTCCACAATCAATTTTCATCGCCAAGGTTCCAAAATTTTATTAAATACTCCTGGTATAAATCCGGATATATAGATGAAAAGCCAAATGCATTCCAGAATCCTGTTGAGTACTGCTATTCTGTTGAAAATGAGCCAACATGTCATAATTGCGGTGACGTGGCAATAATTAAATGCGCATGGTGTAAGAAATCTTTATGTTTCAAACATTTTTTCGACGAGTACCACTATTGTCGGAACTATATAGAATAATTGTTATACACACTGCATATATTTATAATTTATAAATCGCTCCACCTTTGCCACGATGTCATAGGTGGGCAATAAAAATAATTAATCCTTTCGTTGCTGTTAAGAAACTTGTTACTGTTATTATTACACGCTACTTATTACTGTATAATTTAGTGCAAGCCTACAGTGCTTCATTAAAATCAAAGTTAGAACGGCTACTACCATAATGGATGTGCGCGCAAGATGTAAATCATCAAAATCTGCAAAACTGTAAGAGGCAATTTTAAAATATTACATACCAATGGATTTGGAATAAAATGCTCGTCATTTTTTGTCAATATGAAAATTTCAATAAAATGAAAAATTAAGTTAATAAATTTTTTTTTGTTATAAACAAATTGTATTTTTTGTACATAAGAAACCATCAACCTCGCCCATTAACAATTTTTTTGTATGTCTTTCCGTTTTCGAGATAGCCGTTTCGAGCCAAAACTTCAAGGGGTGGTTTCACCCCTTAAACTCGAGTTACCGCAGCTAAAAAAAATACGTGTTGATTATTTTTGGCTGCTTTATAAGGGTACAAAGTTTCATCAAAATCGAAGCCAGACCGTTCGCGATGGTTCCTTGTTGGCATACGATACCAAGACTCGATTAAAAAATTATAACTTTTAAATTTCAAAAATTGACCTTGAAAAAAAAATTTTTTCTTTAAGGTTACATTTGTTTTATCAAATAGTAAAACTTTTGCCAGAAGAATTTTTTTACATATTCACAAATAGAGGCGGTATTCAGGGTGTTCGGCCATCCGTGGGAAAAATTTTAATGGGAGATTCTAGAGGCCAAAATAGGACGAAAATCAAGAATACTAATTTGTTGATGGAGGATTCGTTAAAAAGTTATTAACGTTTGAAGTTCCGCCCGTACTGAATTTTTTTTCTAAAAAGTGGGTAGAATTTCGAGTGTATGTCTAATGACCAAAAATGATTGCAATTGACCCCTGCAACCAAAAATAATTTTTCCAAAACGATTTGAAATCTTTTTTTTCGCCGAAAAATATAGGCACCTACCCCCCTGTCGATTTCTCCAAAAAATTCGTTTTTCATTTTTAATAAATTTGTTTGACGCTCTACAGAAAAGTTGTCTAATACATTTTTGTAGGTACTCATGAGCTCTACTTCAGTAAAAAGTTTCATTGAAATATATTCACTATTGCAGGAGTTATAGCTGTTTAAAAATGGGACCATTTTTATGGTGTTTTCTTCACTTTACGGAGTTAAGGAACAACTTTTCGAACATTCTTGGTATTTCTCAATATTCTCCACTAAAATACGCGTTGTTTGCATTTCGAAACATTGAAATCCTCCAATCCGTTCAGAAATTATGATGTTTTAAACGTAATTTCATCTGAGTTTTGTGAAAACTTAGTTAAATCGATTCTAAGACGAATAGGAGCTGTTGAAACTAGTCGTAGTCGTTTCAAAAAATATTGAAAGAGAGATTATGTCACCTTCTTAACTGTTCTATTAGCTATACTAATAATCTATTTTTCACGTATGTACGATTTTTAGTGACTCATGATTTCAATACGTTATTCTCAAATACATTTAATGTGTTACATTGCATATTAAATTAAGATATATTAATGTATTTATTTCCAAATTATCTTCATTCTAAATGTGTAATAACAATTTCCCAAGCATAAATCTAGGAAGCGGTAAATCTTATAGCCTGTGTATGATTGTACATGACACACTGTAAAACCAATACAAAGACAAATTCCTTTAACACTTAACTGCCACGTCACCCATATATGGGTGACAGGATTTATCACTATGATACTAGAAAAATTAATTCTCAAGTTAAGACGTTGAGGGGAATAAATTTGGATAGAATTTGTAAATTATAACAAGATTGCAAAAATAAGTACTGAAAAAAATTCTAGGTTATGTAGCTTACAATGGATTAAAATCAAAATTTTACTTTTGCAGAATATTGTATGGTATTGATCTGGCAGTGAACGTGTTAAACTGTCTAGTTTATAATTATAAAACACTTCGTCGGTAGTAATACTCTATATTGTCCATGAAACAGACTAATAGAGTGTAGACATTTGATGACGGCCATATTAGCAAGGTCTAAAGTACGCATGTAGCAGAAAGCTCGCGCCTCGCGCCCCTCTAACTTGAGTATCACTAAGCTGTTTAGGAGGTCAGTAAATCGATCAAAGCTAATGCGAACAAGGTTTGGAGAAGTAATATTGTGTTCGGTTCTTCGTTTGTTTTTATCAAGTGGTTATATATAATTAATGAGCTTACTCAAATATTAAAATACAAATGTACAATATTACAAGTGCTGTATAATACGTAAATTGACATTAATGTTTAATTTATTACAGTTACTTTATAAATTATAAGGTACTCTTCATATAAACTATCTTATTGCGTTAATTGATTATAACTGTACTTTCTTTTACACTGCACTAACAAAAGAACTTTAGCTAAGTTTTTAAACAAGAAACCATATTACTTTCAAGATAAATTACTTTTATCATTTGATTTTTCAGAAGTGACTGTAAAATGGACAAATTAGTATCGTCGGATATTGTACTCATAGCTGGTAATTCTCATCCAGAGCTGGCTAATCTTATTGCCAAGTAAGTTTTCATGAATATGCATTGTTAATATTTTATTATATTGTACGTAATATTTTCCTTTTAAAAAGCCGATTAGGTGTCAAGCATGGAGGATGTTCTGTATACCATAAATCGAATCGTGAAACTATGGTTGAGATTGGAGATTCTGTACGTAGTAAAGATCTTTATATTATTCAAACTGGAACAAAGGATGTAAACAACAACATAATGGAACTTTTGATCATGGCGTATGCATGCAAGACTTCTTCTGCAAAAAATATTGTTGGTGTCATTCCATATTTACCTTACTCTAAGCAATGCAAGATGCGTAAACGTGGTTGCATAGTTTCTAAATTATTAGCAAAAATGTTGTGTAAGAGTGGTTTAACTCATATAATTACAATGGATCTACATCAGAAAGAAATACAAGGATTTTTTGACGTTCCTGTGGACAATTTACGTGCTAGTCCTTTTCTATTGCAATATATTCAAGAATGTGTATGTAAACAATGTGACTAGTTGTACCTTTAACAAATTTAATTTTTGAACTATATATTTGTCTAATTAGATTCCAGATTATCACAATTCAGTAATAGTTGCAAGAAATCCTGGCAGTGCGAAAAAAGCAACGAGCTATGCAGAAAGATTACGTTTGGGTATAGCAGTAATTCATGGAGAGCAACGAGAAGCAGAATCAGATATGAATGACGGACGCTATTCTCCTCCTGCTTTGGCTTCACGAACAATGGAGGTTGGGGTTGGTGTCCCAATGCATCCTGCGAAAGAAAAACCACCAATTAATGTTGTAGGAGATGTGGGTGGACGTATAGCTATTATGGTGGTACGTAAGTTTAGATATACTAACTCTACACTAGAATGAATTTTAGGATATTAGATTAAAAGATAAAGAAAACTTTCCAAGGGGGATATAGGTTTGAAAAGCTACTTATTTTTAGGATGACATGATAGATGATGTTCAATCATATGTAGCTGCAGCAGAAGTTCTCAAAGAAGGAGGAGCATATAAAATTTATGTTCTAGCCACACATGGTCTTTTAAGCTCTGACGCTCCAAGATTAATAGAAGAATCTCCAATTGACGAGGTAACAACATCTAAGAGTGTTATTGGTAGACTATGGATGTCTATGCCAATGCATGTTTTTATAGAAAAATTATTTATATTCGTAATATTATGTAACTATTATTGTAGGTTGTTGTGACAAATACAGTCCCTCATGATATTCAAAAGATGCAGTGCCCAAAAATAAAGACTGTTGATATCAGTATCCTGTTGGCAGAAGCTATTAGACGTATTCACAACAAAGAATCTATGTCATATTTGTTTAAAAATGTCACTTTGGAAGATTAAAAAGTCCGATAAAACAATGTGTCTTAAATACAGTGAGTTTCTGTGTCCAGGGACCATAATCAAGACATATCCATTAAGTTTTTTTATTGTCTTAAATAGAAATGAACATACTAGTCTATTTTAAAGATAATTGAGTTGTTTAAAAATTTCTAACTAGTTTCATCTATCACATACATACATTTCCTAACCAACGAGCCTGTGTAAGATACGTTGAAAAATATTGGGTTAACTTTTAATCCAGTGTTGTAAACTATACAATTTATTTTTCATATTCAAGAAACGATAAATGTGTTTCAAGATGTGAAGATCATAAATATATTATTCTAGACTCTAGAATCTAGAGTGTAAAATAATAATGTAATTTTAAAAGAAAATAGAATAGTTCTTTTTATTCCCTCTTATTTGAAAATGTAATTATGTCGTTGATAATCATTCAAATAAAGATAAGTGGATCAATAAAAATGTTGCTATGGAAATACACAGTCCATGAAAACAGTTTCAAACCTGTAAATTCTCTAAAGTTTTTGAAAGTTACCGTAGTCTGTAGGTTCTTTCAGAATGTCTGTAGAAACAGTAAATTACGAATTTACGAGGATTTGTGTTATGTTGCAATCGAGAGAGAAGTCACGAAGAATGCAGGGTTTAACAGAAATTCTAAATATTTTAAAATTACCACACCATCAAAGTGATGAAACATTACCCTTATGGGATGCTGTAAATAAGTTTGTATTACAAATTTTGAACGATTCTGCAGAAATTTGTCGTGACCGAACGGTAGAAATTATAAAATTATTTATATTGAATTTAACACCTGACGATAAATACGTTACGTATTTGCTTCCAATTTTATCTAAGAGATTGGGTTCTCTGGAGCAAATAGAAACTTCAGAAGAAGTTAGATTGAAATGCGTTACTTTATTAAAATTACTAATATTAAAATATAACAATTTATTAGCACCATATATCGATGACTTAGTAAACATTTTAACACGTACTATAGTAGATAATTATCCACTAATTAAAAGAGAAAGCTGTATTTGTGTATCTGAATTTGCTAAAAATTTACCAAGATACTTTTATATGCAAACTGAGAAATTTGTAAAACCAATTTTGAGTAATTTTACACACCAACATTATAAAGTTAGAATTGTTTCCATTACAACAATAGGAGATCTAATCCAACATGGTAAAAGTACATTTATAGAAAACGTGTCTCTGCCTCTAGCAGAAAAATTATTTGATCAAAATGGGCTTGTTAGAACAGGTACTTTATTAGTTCTATTTATTTCAACTGTACTCACGATACATAGTTGTTTTTATTTTAAATATAATTTATAATGTCTTGTAGCTGTAATAGAGGTAGCAGGATGCTGGCTTTTAAAATTAAAGGATCGATATAGTTGGTGGCACAAGATTCTACCATTACTTTTAACAGGCCTTCATGATGAGTTCAAAGAAATTAGGGAGAAAGCTGCAAATTTTTGGGATGCTGCTGGACAATTATACATACAAGAAAATGATAATGATGAAAAATTCAAGGATAAAATGGATTTTCTTATCAAAGATCCTGATCATTATCCTAATGGTACGTTAAACGTGTTAATTATAATTAAATATTATTTAGATTATTAATAAACCTTCTACAGTTGTAAGGCCAAATTTGGGATGTCGTGTCATAGCACAGCAAACTTTTAGTAAATTAATAAACGGAATTAGTTTAGAATTAAGTGATTGGATGGCAGACATAAGAGTACGATCTGCACAATTACTTTGTGTATTCATTTTAAATATAGAAGAAGGTGTAACGCAACATATTCAAAAACTCTTACCCCCTATATATCGGTAAATGTATCATTTTTAATTGAATTGTCAAATTTTCAATTTTATGTACTTTTAATTCACAATAAATTGTCCAATAGAGCGTGCAATGATGAAGACAATAGAGTTGTAGAAAATATTGAAAGAGCAGCAGAATATTTAGGATATTTTGTACATCCAAAAACTTGTTGTCATTTAATACTTCCTACCCTCCAAGAAAATCCATCTGCAGGTCACTTAAGAGTATTTTCTGCAATTTTAAGAGGTTTTGAACGTTATACTCTTCTTCCATTGTTGAAAGACATTGGAAAATTCTTACAACAACCACATATCTGTCAAAGTACAAAAGAGACATACCAAAAACAAATACTTTCTTGCTGCCGTTCTTTAATTTTAATCTGCAAAGAGGTTTGTCTCACATTTTATAAATTTTTGTATATTTAAAATAGTACTGTTTCTTATAGTTAATATATTTAAAAATTTTTAGGATTGTAAGCTTATATCAGAAGATTTATTCATAGCAATATTCACTGTTTTATCAATGGCAAAAAATCATTATATGGAACTAGAAGCAAAAGAATTATTGAATGTCCTTGCAGATATTAATTGCTATGATAATGTTGAAAAACTTTATAGCGAATACATTGGGCAACTAATTTCATCACTTTCTGATTATAAATCATGGTCAAAACATAGTCCCGAGTCTCAAATTTTCTGTGCATGTCTAATACATGTTAAAACAATTTTCACTTTTGATATGGACATTATGTTATCAATTCTAAAAAGTGTCATGACAAATGATGCTGACCCTGAATTGAGACTACAATATTTTACTGTATTATCGCAATGTTTTAATCAAGATTCTTCAGATAAAATAATAGATTCAAAATTATCATATCAATTTCTGGAAGACTGTATACTTCCAGGATTAATTTGGACCGTTGGAAGAGTCGCTGAAACTATACGAACTGCTGCAGTATCCTGTTTATGTGCATTCTTCGAAAAATATGAAAAAGATCTGTCGATAGAAAACACTCAATATTTTATGAAACATAATATTTGTCCAGTACTTGACAAAATAATCCCAGTCTTGATTAGTCTTGCAGATGATAACTCTAAGAAAAGTAGACTATATTCTTTACGAGCTATGTATTTAGTAATATGCATCAGAAAAAGATTTGACTATCTCACTGAAGAACACATACATAAAATCTATCCTATACTTTTGAAAAGACTTGATGATGGATGTGATGATATTAGATTAGCATCATTGGAAGCTTTAATAAAAGTTTGGAATTCTATACCTAAAAATTATGATTTACATTTCAACAAAGGGCACATAGAAATGTTATATACTACAACTGTAATATATTTGGATGACCCAGACAGCGAATTTCAAAATGTTATGTTAGGTAAGTACATTTATGTTAAGGGGTAAGACTTGTAAAAACCTGAAATAAAGCGTTTTTTTTTTGGATGAATGGAAAAGTAAGAGGATAATAATATTCAAGAATGTTATTAACCATGTCGTTAAGTGATACAAAAAAAAATTTATTTATTCAAAAATAGTGCAAAATGTCGACGCTGGAGCCATTCTCGCGAAGCGTGTTTTGAATTTGAGGCGCTCTATGGCACACAGTGTAATTGATGCAAATTTCTATCTGGAAAAAAACAAAAAATTTTCTCCTAATTTACATGAGTATAGTTTGAGAAATACGTAGGGGATCTTCGATAAGTTAATTTTAACATTATTTATTGACAAATGATTGCCCCATTTTTTGTATAAAATTGAATTTTGTACTTCAAATGCTCGCCAATCACACAAAAATTAATGTTTCAATAATCCCCTACGTATTTCTCTAGCTATACTCATATACTCAAATTCAAAACATGCATACTGCAGTCGTTTTGCACTATTTTTGAATAAATATTTTTTTGTAACATTCTTGAATATTATTATCCTCTTACTTTTCTATCCATCAAAAAAAAAGAAATCGCAATAAAACGCTTTATTTCAGGTTTTTACAGTGGTCTTACCCCTTAAGATTTTATTTTAACACATTCATGCAGCAGTGTTGGGTACTATTTGAATAAAAACAGCGAATAAATAATTAATTGTTATTCGTTATTCATTATTTCTTATTCGTGTTTGTCTCTTGACAAGGGAATACTTACATTATTATCTATTTTTTAATCTTTGTCTACTATACTTAGAATGATTTCCAGTTTACATATTTACATTACACATTTGTTATTTAATTAACTACTAACATATTCTTTCTTTTTTACTATATAGTGAATTATAATTGCACATATTTTCTTTACCTTCTCTATTATTTACAGAACCATCTATTAATCTAAACATTTTTTCAGAAAATTTAAAAGAATTAGCAAGAGTGCATCCAGAACTACTCTACCAAAAACTTCAAAACTGTAAAACAAATTTTAGGAATCAAGAAGGTATAGAAACACTTTTAGAGCATTGTTCATATATTTTAAGAGGTAATTAAAATCAATGAAAGTGATGCATTTTAATTAGAATATATTCATATATCCAAAATAAATATTAATGGAAAAATTATTTTGCATATTTCCTAAAAATATTTTAATATCTGTAAATGACAAATGTCACGGTTTTATTCTAATTAAGAATATGCATTATTCTAATTAACATATAATGGATAGAAATATTGGCACATTATACAAAACCTAGTCTATTAGCGACATTTGTTCGAAAAATTCCCTATTGTTATCTGTAGTCTGCTAATTATAATGTTACGCTATCACGTGAATGTAGGTTTAATGTACATAGCGTCACAACGGGAATTAATTGAAACCCGATTACTCACCGTAGAGTGCAGAGTCCTGTAACTGCATTCTAATTAAGAGCGAAATTCAAACAGACCAGCGTATTATAATGAACAATGCAATTGTATGCTTTTCAACGTGGGCGATCAAGCTGGGGAAAGTAGAGAGAAAGGAAGGCATTTCTTTGAGATACTTAGTTTATTTTCTAAAGGCCGTGTCGAATCGGAGTTTCCGTCATTCCTTCTTTTAGTTTATTACGGATTAGCTATTTCTGTTAAGAGTTGCGATGGTCTTGAAACACAACATTCACTTCGCGTTCCGTTCAGTTCTTTCCATGAGGGTCATAAATTTTCTTAAGGGTTGCTTTAGGCCGCTAGCTTCGTTTCCTCTCTCGACTCTCACGCTTTCTTTCACATACGCCCGCTTCGAACATGGCTGCGTAGCCTCCACCTTCACTCGGCTCGGGGGTGGATCGTGGATCACCGATGGGGCAGGGTACAAACCCCGATTGGACCAGGACAACCCAGAGGGAGGATCGAGAATTTTCCAGAAAAGTGACGAACGCCTAGGACGACGAGAGAATTTTCACGGAGAAACAGAACGATTTTCAATCTCAATCGAGTTGTATCAAAAAGTCGGACACTGGGTTAACGCCAATAATTAAATCTTGCTGAAGTACTTTGAAACGAGTAGTTTTGATTTTTGCGCGCCTCGTCGAGCAGAGCGGTTCAGCGCTCCATGGGCACCAACCCATCTCCTTTTCCTCAAAACCGAGAACTCGGGACGCAACAATAGTGTTCCGTCGTGATTCCGTCACATTGGTAAAAGAGAATTTCCCTAGACTTACTTGGTTCCAGACAGAGATGCCAGAAAAGCACCGCTGGGTGCACACGCACACATGCCAGATACGCGTACGTGAGCTCGTGGAGTTTCGGAAAGGCGACAAAGGCAAACTGACGCATGCCTTCTTTCTCGATTCTCCGAAGCTGCCCGAAGTAATTTCGGACCGCTTCGTGGGAGTTGAGAGAGAAAGGCTCACATTTGCCTTCTCGCTCTTAACAACTGAAATCCGACCTCCCGTCAACGGCATACGATTTGGATTCTCGAGCCGAGATTCTCGACTGCCCAGGCATTTTTACTTTCCGACCTATGTAGGCGCACATAAGCAAAGTACCCATAATGAAAAAAAAATTTTGTAAAATTTATTTTACGGAAATACACGTTTTAAGACCTCCTGATCATATTTTAATTATTGAAAAAAAAGAAATTTTTTTTATTCCCATGTATGAGCACACATATGTATATTATTATTACGATTGAGTATAAATAGCTAAATGAATTTAAATGAAACTTTACATTTAAGTTTTATGTTCTCATTTCAAAGTCCGGTTAGACTTTGACTATAATCAGTCCATGGATAATAATGATTATACCTCTTGTTTCATAGTTGTTCCGATATATGTATAGGCATAATGTATAAAAAATCTTTTAAATGTTTCATATAAATCTTAGGGCGAATTAAATTTTATATATGTTAGACAGACGCGTAGAATGGAATTAGGAATTAAGAAATACGCAGGGTATTCGTATACATGCTTTATTCCCGTTCTTTCAGCGTCGGAAAAATAAATGAGCCCATCCTGGGCCTAGACCCTCGCTTTTGTCGTCAGCCTTCTCCCCCATCGGTAGGGGTGGGAGTGTTGACGGACGAAGGCCAGACGCGGTCCCTTGCCAGCGCCTCGGCTTGGGCCTCGCCTTTTCCCGACGCCTTACATATAAAAAAAATTATATAAACTTTTTCTCTATCTTCTCTAGAAAAGAAAAAATTAAATGAAATCTTATACATTACATGCTTACTTAAATCGCATTGAAAACGAATACCACAAATGTTTTAGAATAATGTGCAAAATGTGATTACGATTTTCGCTAAGACAAATTGAAAACTCGGTTCTAACAAGGAAAAGTTGGAATGGTACCCGATTTTGGGATAGGTTTTACTTTGAGATATTAAAGTTATTACAGGTACTTATCTTCAGAAATAGAAATACATTCAACAACCAGCGTGACGTGAATGACAAGGTATTTGCTTGCAAGTTCCGAGCTTCTTCTGCTCTGCAGGTTCAAATCCTGCCAAAACAAATCCTTTTTTTTTATTTTTTCAATCATATTTTAATCGTACACTAAATGTGACATTATATTTTTGTCTAACCTTCGAATATTTTTTTTTTAAAGTTGAATTTAACCAATTACATTTAACATATGTTATTTTCAATGTACGAAGTACATGAATCTGGATGGTACTTTTCGTAAAAACAGTGAAAACATAACAATTTCAAGCACGACCTATATCTAATGAATTTCTGTTTTCACAGAAATAACAAAATTTTGTATTTAACTCTGATGGAAAGGCCGCTTCATTTACATTGATAAAATGTGAACGATTTTCGGATAGTCGTACCTTGTAGCTCGTACTTTTTACCTTATACTTCAGGTAAAAAGGGATATAGCTGGGAAAAACAGTTTTATGACATTACCTGCTAACTTATGTTACTGTTCTACAATGAAACGCTATGTTTTGTACCTTTAAAAATATTCGACTATGTCCTTTTAAAATTTAAGATGCAACCCATACTTTGTATTAAACTGGCAAACGGGATCACTTTTCCTTTGTTTCTAGTTAGTTCTATTTAGTTCGTCATAACAAATTGATACGGTTATTTCAAAACAATCGAGGAAAATCATTATTAATTAATTTCTGCAATTATTAATTCTACTGATTTGATTATGTTATAAAAGTAAGAACTCTTCTTATTGAAAAATACCACAGCGTGCACAATACTGGTAAAGAGTGGAATCTCATTTTAATTTATTAATTTTCAATCTTAAAGTATTTTGATTTTCAAAAATCGTATTAATAATATACATATGTGTGTTCATACATGGGAATAAAAAAAAATTTCTTTTTTTTCAATAATTAAAATATGATCAGGAGATCTTAAAACGTGTATTTCCGTAAAATAAATTTTACAAAATTTTTTTTTCATTATGGGTACTTTGCTTATGTGCGCCTACATAGGTCGGAAAATAAACATGCCTGGGCAGTCGAGAATCTCGGCTCGAGAATCCAAATCGTATGCCATTGACGGGAGGTCGGATTTCAGTTGTTAAGAGCGAGAAGGCAAATGTGAGCCTTTCTCTCTCAACTCCCACGAAGCGGTCCGAAATTACTTCGGGCAGCTTCGGAGAATCGAGAAAGAGGGCATGCGTCAGTTTGCCTTTGTCGTCTTTCCGAAACTCCACGAGCTCACGTACGCGTATCTAGCATGTGTGAGTGTGCACCCGACGGTGCTTTTCTGGCATCACTGCATTCAGGAGTTAAAGTTCACTCGTAAAATAACGTAAAATTATGCTACACTACAACTTTTAAAATTACGATCAAAATTATTGAATAATGTCATCATAAAAATGACTTACCTTACATGAATATTTTCTATTTCGTTTAATAATTCGTCGAAATATTAAATCTTCACCCACTCCACTTATAATAATTAAATACTTGAATAATTAAAAACACGCGTTCACACTATTTATTTTGTCAATAAATTGGATTTTTGTATCGATACGAACAATTTACATATGTAAGTAATTTAAAAAAGTCCATGATTTAAAGAGGGCTGATATTAATGCTTCTCCACACATGGAAATATTCCAGTGATGCTCTCTGATCCAATTTAAATGTTGTGTGGTGTCTACTAGCGCTACCATGTGAGTGCTACCTAAAACATGGTTCCAATTCTGTACATCTAAGTATGTTGGACTCTTTGATATAAAGAGTTCTCTAGCCTCTAGCAGTAAATGTGCAATGTTGAAGGAACTGAAATATCTGCTTCCCTGAAACTTTACAATAGATCAGATAAGGACAATTTACTAATATTGAGACATGTTCGTACATCTATGGAAATTTAAATGTAAACTAAAATGAATAAACTAAGGGTACTTTAAAAGCTTGAAGGTATATTTCTTTTTGCAAAATAAAAATAAACATTTATGGAACACTGTATAAGATATTATATATATATATGAATTGATATTTACACAAAATAAAAAATAAGAGAATATGATTGCAATTTTTTTTTGCAGTTTATCTCGATGCACAACCGCATGTTAAAAAATATATAAAGAAAGTAATTTATTTGTTTGTCGTTTAAATAATTGAATGCACGCGGTATTGTGTGAAAATTAGTTTTTTGATTTCACTAGGTAGGATATCCTAAAAGAAATTTGTTTTACGCGATGTAATCAGAATTTATTTTTAGCAGAAATCTGCTGTCTTAAATTTGTGTTTTTCCAGTCTATGTTCATTGCGAATGTTTTCTTGTTAACAGTATGTTCTAAATGCAATTACGAACCATCCCTTTGAAACAGATGTACGATTTTACAGAAAAGAACCTGTATACTTTGTTATCATGTAGCATGAAAAATGTACAGAGATGTGCAAATTATTAGACTCAAATTAAAAAATAAATAAGTAATGAAAGCTCCTTTTATAAGTAATGTTTTATAATGTATATTCAAACTTTACATTGACAAGTTTCTTTAGAAAGACATTTTATTACAACTACAATGTTTTCTTTATTTTCTTCATAACCACAACTTAGTAAAGCAAAATAACTTCTTTGTATTAATATGAAAATAGAACAAACAAGTAAAGTTTAAAAATATATTAAAATACAGCAAATATTGTTTAAGTTTGTAACAGTAAAAGAAACGCTCCGTAGAAAGAAAAAAGCAATTAAATGTGTCAAATGCCAAAGATAATTGACTTGCAAAACACTTTGGCTAGAAGAAAACCTCTTCTAATGAATCTATTATTGCAAAATTCCCAAATTATGAATTAAGAAACAAGAACAGTACCTTTAACCACATTTTTCTCATTTTTCTACAGAAAACTAATAAAAATGTGAAAGTATCATGTCGAGTCTAATACTTTGCACGTCCCTGTACAGTATAGTACAAGTAGAATAGACAAATGAAATAGACAAAGGTAAATCATAACCTGTTAACATAAGTTACGCAGAGAATATGTATATCGCATAATAAGTTTTGCCCTGACAAACTATCTTTTTCTTCATATATGTATATATATGTACAATAATCGGATTGTTTATAGTTTTGTCACTTTGTCAGAGTTACATAATTAGAATACATTTAATAGTCAAATTGCAACCCGTAGATTGATATATATACATTCAATTAGTTACATTACCTAATAGATTCAAATGTTAATCACATTAATTACGGATATTAATACTAAACAATAGTTGAGTTTAGATTTCTATACGTAATTTGTAGGAAACAGCTCATCTACCTGATAACATCTCTACTTCTCTATCGATATGGAACTGTAAACGAATATCATAAGCAGTTTCGATTGCGTTTAAAATGTTTTGCAGTTGGAAAGAGTTTTCAAGCTCGTTACTGTTAATTATAAAAAGCACATATCAGGAAGTTATAAGCACTAGTCAAAAAAGCGAAAAAATATAGGAATGTAAATTTATATATCAGATTTTGACGGTTTGTAAATAATAAATATAGTTCACGTTTTAATGTATATCTGATATTTTATTTAGACCAAATTAAATTTGATACATGTATTTAGCGAAAGGTGTTATCAGGGGACGAGAGAGTAGATGATGTTTGCATCGAAGAATAAATTAAAAGGTTGTCTAAATCAAACATTCTACATACATAGAACTTGATATTTTTCCCTTTGCGTTCTCCGATTATACAATCTCAAGAAAAATTCTCTATACTCTCGCCAAACTTTCATTCGAATCGGAGCTTTGGTTGGAGCGTTTTCCAATTAAATCTTCCTGTCGCACAGCGACATAGAAGTACTACTGTATTCACAGAATAAAATACACGTATAGTAGATACACCGCATTTCGACGTTTGTCGATATTATCGTAGAAGTTTTTAACACTCAGAACTTTTTAAGGGCCTCACGTTAATCATTACATCAGTAAGCTCATTCTTTCTTTGAATAATTTTTTTTCCACACGAAACGATATAATAGGTGTTGTTCGATCGCTCTAAACAGTTGCATTGATCCGGCTTATTTCTACTTACAAGATACAGTATTGTTTTCCGCGAATGCAACGAATTAGGTAAACACGAAGTCTCACAATCCAATTCGACCGAATTATATTTTTTTGCCCTTTATATCTCGTCGATTAACTACAGAAATTATTAAAATTTCCACAAATAATCAAGCTTTCTATAAATATTGTTACGTAATACGCCGACTACAGTTAGTTCATTTATAATAAATTGATTAAAATAATGATATCCGGCCTCTTTGCCTGTGGAATTTCGTGTTTGCCAAATCAGAAAATGTAAAGCGAACTCAGTCTTTGGTTGGAGCGATCAAACCTTAAAGATTTCCGACGTTTTATTTATAAAGTGGCTATTGGGTCAATATTTTTAACATTAATAAATTTTATATAAAAATTCATGTACCACTGTATTTCGTTTAAAGTGTTCCAACTAAAATAAACAAATGGTTGTTACAAGTACATTCTTGGAAATTTTTTTTCCGCGCAGTATCACTCGTGTTTCTCAAAATCATACATAGCAGACGAAGATTCTTTCCTTGACTTAGTAATGAATTTTATAAAGAAAAAAATGAACGTAAATGAATACAATTAAAAGATGTATAAAATGCTTCATGCTCGACAGTGAATTTGAGAAAAACGAGAGAAATAATCAGATATCTAAAGTATGTACAAATGTGGCAGAAATTAGATTTCACAAAATGTTATATAATATACAGGCGAGTGAAGTCTTAACAAAATAATAAGTCCTATCCAGGATAAAATTTCTTTATTACTCCTTCCCTAAAATTGTCCCGAATTCATAAATTTTCATACACATCGCTGTGTGCCTACCACAACAACATTAATTACAGTTATTTTTTCAGTTAATTACCTAAAAGTAAGAGATACAATAAGCGTAATTATTTTTATATGTACAATATATCTTTTTTTGTTTGTTTCTTATTATGATTTCATGAAGTCTCCCTAGAATTTGCAACGTTTGCACCATTATATTTTATTTCTCTCTTGATTTCGCGTTACGGCTCGCGAAAGAACTTTTTTTTTTTATTGCATGCTTGAAAGAAATTTCTGTGCTTCAAGCCTGGAAAATCAATGACTATCTGATAAATCTTGTTCATGGCCATTTATAATAAGATTAAATTAGAAATCTTCAGTCCGAATGGCTAGCATATTGATCTTGATCAGTGCCTACAAATTTCAAATTACAACAGATGTTTAATGAAACCTTTGTCAAGTGACAATAAAAATTATGCGACGGATACTCTTGAATTTTATCAGCTCCAAACTCATATATTCGACAGTCTACTTTTATAACTATTACTATTTGTTTTTACATGCATTGCTTCTATCAGACACACAGAAATATGAATTATATGATCGTGCTAAAGAAAAATCGTTTTAAATAAAAAAACTTACAGTTGTTTCCTCTGTGTTTTAATTATTTTTTTAATGAAAATGTATGCTGAATATTGTCAATTTTCTTAAAAACTTAATTTCTGTTTGCTGCTTATCTTTTAATACTACACCTCGATAGTTACATGGAAGGTTGACAATAATGTAGAAAGACTAAGAGGAAGAGAATAACGCGCACAAAAATGAACACAGTCTCAGCAACTATTCGTATGTTTGTTTTTTCTAGAGGTAATCAAATTTTATCAGCAAAAAATGTAACGAAGCAGATGCTACTTATGTGTAAATGCCAATACACCTTAATTTCAATTGCTCTTTTGCTCATAAAAGCAAAAGTAACAGAATTAGTCTCATTTTTATGGCAATAGTATTTTTTGTTGCGATATTATATATTTGTTCTAAGTGGGGACTTAATAATTGTTTACTTGAAGCTTAAACATAGACTTAGCTATTGTTCTAACATTTATATAATTTGCCCATTTTTTTGTAAGAAATTCTACCGGTATTAATAAAAATATTTGAAATAAGTCACTTTACTCGAGTACTATTGTTGGAACTTTGCTGCAAAATATTTAAAAAAATTAACTTAATTAAATTTCTTGTGCAATATTAAAACTTATAACCAAGATTATTTTCAAGCCAATCCAAACATTTATGAGAAAAGGATTGATTCTTTCATTATTTGTATGGTAAATGAATTTATTATTTTTACTTCCATAGTTTGCAATTACTAAAATAAAAGATGTAAGAATTTCTAGATATTCCTTGTAAACATTATAAATCCTAACATAGTTGTTATGAATTTATCGCTTTGTAATATGGATTTTTATGATACAAGCTTCCCAAACGCAACATTAGAATCTAAATTTATATGCTATGATTGCATACAAAAAATTGATTCGTTACATATTAATAGCACAAAAATGTATGTTTCAACGGTTGATGAAATAATTAAAACTTTTTGTATCATTTGAGTAACTTTAATGCTAATTCAAGGATAATTATTGTTAACAATAGTTTCATTATTTCACAGCCTGGAAGCCTTTAGCAGATTACTACTTTGTAAAGAAATAAATTGAATAATATCTTATTATATTTAAACCGCGTCTATGTACAGTATTGAAATAATCATACAAATCCACGGTAAGTCAAATTATACTACTCTAAGTTCACTGAAATGGTCAATAATGTATTTGTTAACGTTATTTATAATAGATTTACTATACAGTTTCCATAGGAAGCAGCTCTTCTATTTCTGGCACACTTCAGTTTTTCAACAAAATTTACAACCATAAATGTACGCATAAAAGTGTTATTTTCAAAAATTTAGAGCTTGTATTGCAAAGGTGAATGTGATTTAAAATTAATTGTCTACAAAACTTTACCGTTTGTATCCATTATTACATATTCACAAATCTTCCTTCTAAATAGAATAACCAAATTAAATCATATAATACTTTGAAAAATTTAACAAGAAAGAGTCGAGTGTAAATCTTCGTCCAATATTTTCACAATAAAATAATTAATGCTGTGTCTGAGAAAGCTTGTGATATGATTGTAATAACTGCATCACAGATTTTCCAGCAGTATTACTTACGTACAGGTAAAAATATGACAATGGAGTTCTGCCAATTTTTCAGCATCTCAAAATCAAGTTATAATTGTTTCAAACATAAAAGTTCCCTTGCGTTAAACAAAATCATTCTTTCAAAGAAACAGAGGATATGCAAGCAATATTATTTCTGTATTTAACTTTCATATTTTCTGAAAGAATAATTTGTATCAAGAAAGAAATGAAAAATAATATTAATCAGAAACTAGTGCTAATGTAATGTATTTAAAAAAATAAACATTTTTTCTAAAAGTTCAATGAAACACTGTGATTGCATCGAGTAATTATGGTTTGTCAATGAGCAAGGAAACAATCGACTTAGAAAAAAGAATTAGAGCACGATCCTTTTGTGATCAAAAATAACGTGGTACTTGCAATGGAATCGATTCAATTTCATCATCATCGCCACAACAGGCAACTGATCAGAGCAGTTCTGCAATTGAATCTAGCCGTACCGCATTTCGTATAAACGAGCACATAGTATATGTCCAGTACCCGAAGTCAGGCAGACATAGACAAGGTAAAGTTAGCGAAGCCCCCACTGACGTATTGGCGGCAACAGGGGTGCTGATAGCAGGCATCATGTCACTTCCATTGCTAATGAATTTGTTTTGTTTGTCCGTACAAGCTGCTGCTGCTGCTGTGGTTTACCGTCGCAAGCTGCACTTTCCACTCCATCCACCTCCATATCCAAACTTTCACTATAATCAAACACATAATTGATAATAAGTATATTCAAACAAGAATATCATTTCGCTAACAAATACTAAATATTAAGATATTTTGAACGCAAAGTTTTAAACACAATTTCGTAATTCTTGATTATTGTCTTATTTTGGTACATAGAATCAATCCTTAGGATTTATGACATCTGTTGCCATACACATTGCACATTTCCATGTATCGAAACAAATATATCTAAAGTTACAATGCTTCTATGTACTTATAAGGGTACCCTACTAAGTTTAAAATCTTTTGATAGAAATTCCTCTGTTTTGCGCATAATTCTTTTCCTTTTTTTATCTTAATTATATTTTAATATTAAATTTAGAATCCTTATAAACAAAAATATTTTTGAATAATGTCATTAACATTAGGAATACTACAAAATAACAAGACTCTATTGAATTACTGAATATTTCTATTTGTTACACTATAATTTGAAAAAATGTTGACGATATCTTTAGAGAGGAAAAACTGGTGTAACAGTCAACATGTTAAAGTTATTTTACAGAATAATAGAAAACTATACAAAGAAAAGAATTATGTAAAGAACGCTTTTTATACCTTGGTTATCTGTACATCTATAACTGCAAGCTGCTTCCATTTTAATAGAATTTTAACAATATTTTGAAATGTTCATTATTTAGAGTCATTTAAATAAAAATGGTTGAGCGTTGAATCCTACTTTTTTTAAATTTGTTTACATGGATCATTACTTATAGTTTGAACTTGTTCAAAAAATGCTTACTTCGATCATAGGGTTTCTTTATTATAAAACCTTTCTTCAATTTGTTATACATTTCTTTTGCAAACTTGTAGGTTTTTTTACCTAACTCATTTATTTTTAAAAATATATATAATTAATACAAATCAGTATGGTGGCTTAAACGATTTTATGTTATACAGGATATTTCAGAAATACATGGAAATACCTAAGGAGCTGAATCTATATGCTAAACTAATGTTAAAATCGAAAGTATCCTGTGTATGCATATTTATTTCTCTCCTGTAACAATGATTATTTTTGGCAGAGCAATGAAGGGTTATGTTACTTATTCTAAGTTACTCGTATTCATGTTACTTGTATTAGGTAGCTGGAAAAGTTCTTGGTGATTTTTATTGATCACAATTTGGGTATTTTTGTGATTCAACACAATTATGAAAAGAAATACATAAATCAGTACCTGGGTACTGCATTATGCACACATAGGTTAAGAATACTAAGGTATATAGGATACATGTTAATTATATAGGATATGAAGTTTTTTACTCCTTTTAGGGTATAGATTCAGCTTCTTAAGTATTTACATGTATTTCTGAAACATCCTATATATTTTATCGTTTAAATAGGCGTTTTAATCGGTTTATATAGCTGCATGTATGCACACTCACCTATTACTATTAAGCGTAATTTCCCCGGACGTTGGGATTTGTTGCGCCTGACTTTGTGTTTGTTGTTGCTGCCTCGCGAGGCTAGCCAATTTGCTCTGCGCGATCAAGCCAGGTAACAGATTGGACGGCGGATGTTTTTGTGGCAGAACTATCGTCGATTGATTATTCACCATGTGAGTGCTATTTGAAATATTGTTAGAGTTGTTTATATGGGGCAACGGGCCATTCTGATGGCCATTACCAAAGTTTGTTATTGTTCCACTAGTTGTGGTACTTGCACTGAACACTCTGATTCCAGCACTACCACTGCCACAGTTGCCACCATTCCTATTATTTGTTGGACTAGTCAAGGACTTCGACAGAATGGAGGCAGTACTGTTATTGTTTGGCAATTGTCTGTGTTGTAGTTGTTTAAATTGATGGTTTGACTGTGTCTCGGAAGCAGCACTAGCACATTGCGTAGACACTGTACTCGATGTTGTTGCTTGATTGGTCGTACACGAGAAAGACAATGGAACTGTAGAACTTGTAGAAGTATTTATAACACTAGAACCACTACCACTGCACTGAGGCCGACTCTGTTGTGTTGCAGGCTGTGCAAAAAGACTGCTAGGTAGCGAAGTTATAACGAAATGTGAACTGCCCAGCTCATCTGTCCGCGGGGCGCTAGAGTTATTGTCCGACAGTTCACTAACACACGCACTACCGGTGATACTCGCTACGGCAAGGTCGAAATCCGACACAGAGTCCGTCAAGAAATAATCAGCGATATTAAATTCAGATGTGAAAGGTGGTTCGTCTCCCGCACGTTCCGGCTCTACTTCTACACAGATGGATGTAGCCTCGGGTGGGAACGGGTACGGAAGCGGTTTCGTTTGGGATACCGTTGGCTCTACATCCGAGTCCGTATCACTACTTTCTTCACTAGGACTATGCACTGACACAGGCGGCGTCTTTGGTCGGTAATGTAACCTTTGTTAAACATAAATATATTTAGTAAATCAAGTCTATTATAGAAACTAACATTCCTATACGTTGTTGTTTAACATACCACTCCTTTTTGACTGGAGTTGTTGACGTGGCAGTCGTATCAGAGTCTGTTGGTTCTCGTTTTGGTTGGTGTATCGTGAAGTCTAAAGACGACCACATATCATCCATATCGGTCGAACAACGATCCAATATTACTCTAGAAGTATTTATCATCAAAGATGATTATTAAAAAATTTCATTTTTGCATAACCGTTTGTGTCCATGTGGCACGTATATCATACCTTCCACCCCGACCAATTCGCCGCCGCGCAAAACCAATACACCTTGGCACTGGTTTGGTGATACTGGTCAGCGCAAACCTATACTTCTTATCAGCCAAGCCCCCATCGTTTTTATCACACCAAGGCCAATTTCCAAACCCACCTGATACAGGCTGCAAAGAGAAAAGCTCTATATCTACAATCCTGAAAAAAAGAACTTTAAGACTATTTCCACACTTTTACAATAATTCATGACGATTTTCATTGACACCCATGGTATAATATTAAGTAACATAGCTCATATAAAAGAGGTAAGTCCTGTTTGATTTAAATTCCGCGCCAAAACTTGTTCAACAATTTTTCATAAAAAATGCACACAGAAAAGATAAATTTTCTCGAATCTAATAGCACTCACTGGTAAATAAGTGCTATTTTTATTCCGTCGAAAAGCGAATTGACCCTCGTCAATGGTGTCTTCATCATCACGATCCGAGGGAACAGAGGGCTGAGAATGAGAATGAGATGGAAGCGGACTATCTTCGTCTGAGCTCATTAGCGGGTCCAGCCCGCCTCCAAGAACACCAGGCCGACTTCCTCGACCGCCTCCGCTACCTGTTCCACCACGTACACCATTATCTTCTAAACTTCCTCCCCTGCTGTCAGTTTTATGTTTTCGTTTCTTGTACTGTCTTTTTTCTTTTCTGGGTACTACTTCGTCCTAATTGAAATAAATAACATTTAATACACTATTGTAAATGCAACTTTTTTAAATGAACGTAATTATAAATACGCAAACGTTCGAAATCACTTACTTTACTACAAACTTTATTCGCCCAATTTTGATGAACACCAAACTGATTTGTAAATAGTGGAGCAAAAGCCGATCTCGGTGTCTTTAGCGCCGATACTTCTGCCAATATTTGTCCATTAAAATCTTGTGCCTGATACCTGCACATATTTTTTTTAATCGTACAATATTCAAAATTTGTTCTTATAAAGAGCAGAAACTGTATGAAATTAGAAAAATTGGTTTCAAACCTTTTCTCATAGACTTCGATCGTAAGGTGTAAATGTTCCCGCTTGGTTTTTTCTCTTCGTTTAACCATTTCAAGCAGAGTAACTGCTCTACTAAGATCCCTACGGAGTTTCAGCATTTTTTCATAACTAGTTTCGTCGTTCTTTCGATTTTTACGTGTTTGCATTTTTTCTGTTCTACGTCTAAACGCTAAATAAGGATTATTGGCAGCCGAACCAAACCGATGCTCCGTTTTCACTGTTAATAAAAGTGGGTGTTGCTGTAATAAAAAAAAAGTATATATTAGTAGAATTTTGATCAATCACAATTATAGATTAGAAATTATTATTACCAAAGAATTACATGATACGTTAAATTAATATAAGTTGTAAACAATTACAATACTTATATTGAAGCTGCAATAAACATAACCCTAAATCTTCGTAAAATTATTTTGACAATGGATAAATATAGCTATGCTCATTATTGTAATATATAAAAACTTACTGTTTTGAGACGTTTATTCAACCAGTAATCAAAAACAGCAATAATTAAATCATCGTCCTCTTTTAAAAGTGCTTTAGCTTCATTGAGAGTGACAACAGTCTGCCCTGAACTTTTCTCCAAACGATCCATCATTTCCTCGAATTGAAGTGGAGTTAAGTCCATTTTACGGCTTTGCACTGCAACCCACTTTTCGTCTTCTGAATCCATATCATAATCCGGAATATCTTGTTCCATTGCAAAAGCTTTAAAAAGAGTATGGATATTAAATTTCTTGTTTAAAAATAGTATTAAATATTACAAATCAGAATTTATTTAATTATATTTGCTTACGTTGCATATGTATAAGTTGACGAGGTAGCTTATAATCAGCTGGATATATCTTGTCATAAGCTTCTGCATCTGCCAAGTCAGTTACTTCGGGAGTAGGAATGATTAGACCCGTACATATTGCTCTTTGCAAGTGATGTTCCTGTCCAAATAAATAATACAACATAAAACTTCATATGAATTGTTTTCGATCTTTAGTCTTGTTTTACTTTATTGCAAATGACAGAAAGGGAACAAATTAAACACGATAAAAATGAAATTGTATAGTCATGACATTTAATAATATAGTATAAATGATATTCTTCAAAAATTTGTAAAATTAATTAGATGCATTGAATGCATAGAAAGAAATGTTCATATAAACATGAAAACTTTTAATAACACATAAAATATTTAAAGCAAAAATATAGATACTATCATATACATCTTTGTTATACTCGTTAGTCTCTTAATACAACTAATCTGCATAATTGGTAACTAACCATAAAAAACATATTTGTTTATAATATATTCATGAATAACTCGATTATCATAAACCTATACCAAAAACAAAAGATATATTGATTCTTAGTAATTAACATCATGACATTCACCTCACAGTATATTTCAAAATTATCGTTACACCAATAACGTATTGTCATCTTTCATAATTAACTTCCAGGAAGTAACATTGAATGATTGTTTACACAACAAAGAATAGTGAAATGAATTAACTACCATACAAAGAAAATTTAAAAAATCACAGGATGCTATAGAAACAAGAAAACAAGCCAAGAGTATAATATTTTCAAGTTTCTGTAAGCTGAACTGTAACATGGAAACATCATTCTTTGTTCTGTTATTACTTTGAAACAAGGTGCTGACAGCTGTCAATAACCTTTCATATAAGTACATCAATATTCAAAGAACAATTATAACGGGTAAAATAAAGTTGACAATTACGTTTAATGATAAAAAATAAAGAATTTTTGCATATAATAATGGTAAGCAGACTGCCATCTGCCGGTTGTTTACGAAGATGCGCTCGAAGGTAAGATGGCGGACGAGGAAAACATGCTGGAAGAAGGTTGAACAATTCGACTTACACATTCCTCCTCCTTTTCCATGCCGCTGGGCATTTGGGGCACAGCACGATTAATAGCCGAGTAATCTGGCAGATCCGGCAGTTCCTCAGCCATGTAAATCGGCATGGGCTTGGAAGCGTCCAGGGCACGGGCCCTGAACGACAGCTTGCTCATCTTGAGGCGGCTGGCTCGCGTGTTGACAACCGAGTTGGCTGGTGTCGAGCCGTGAGGCCAGTCGGGTCGGCTCGGGTCTCGGGTTTGCGGAACGTGAACCTGACTGGGCCTGGCTGGGGGCCCTGCGCCCGTAATACCCGGCACAGAGAGCGGTCAGGGCCTCATCGTTCTCCGGCCATCGCGCTGGAACACGGTCACTCAGTCACCAAACGAGATATATCACTTTGAAAACATGTTTGCGTGACACGGTCCCTGCTCAAAGCCATCATGGCCGACGCACAGCCATTTAACACGTTCAGCGCGAGCAGTTCCACGATGCGACGTACGTCGCGCGGGAATCGGCTCACTGCCGCCACCGGTCGACTCGTGAGCGCTCATTGGACGTTCTACGTTACTACTAAGCACAAGCCTCGTACATACTGTGCTAATTTACACTAGATGTTTACGCTAAATGCACACGAGCGGTGCATCGCAGTTGCGTTTCAATCTTTTTCCTTATTTTGCAATTGAAAACAACTAAGCCAGACATAAGAACGCTGGCCCTATCTGTCTTTGTTGTTTTAATAGCAAAACAAGGAAAAACGCATACTAAGCACATTGATTACAGTGATTCTCGCCCGCCTAAAATAAAGTTACCAACACTGTGGTTCCAACACTGAGTTTTGGATTTTCTTCTAGAATAATAAAAATCACCTTGGACTATGCAGGTAGGTACGTACTTGGCATTAACGACACAGTTTATACAGTTGGTCCACTCCACGCCGGCTTCTTTGATCATCGTGTCGTCAATTTAGCCATGTTGTTGGTGTATTTGCGGGAAATTTTGAAGAACTTTAATGTATGTATAATAATAGTACTAACTATAATAGAATCGATATGAAGCACTAATTTCATAAAAAAAGATTTGGATAAGGAAATAGTGGCATATTTTTAAATAGATTATAAATTTTATTGTACATGAATTTAATCGTTATTTATAAATAGAATGTACTCTATTATTTCGTGTAACCAACTGCATAAAATAAAAACAATTATACAAAGAATTTGTTGCTTTTTATTTTTTTATAATTTTGGGTTGCTCCACAGACCACAATGCTAATTACGTTTTGAAAATACACGATGCTATTTGAGGATTAATGTGACTACCTTTTAGAATTGAGAAAATTTTGTTTTCGAATAACGAATAAAAATGTTAAATTCGCTCGTAAACTAGTTTTCGTTCACGATTTTGCTCCTCTGAATACTGGTTTAAAAAATTCGTTAACAGATTCTACTTTATAAACGAATTTATGAATAAGACGTAGTGTACGTAGAAGTTAGTTTACGAATCGATCGAAAATTTGTATTCATTATTCATGAATAAAACTTATCCTACTCTGTCACCCTTACTGTATCCTGATATCGTTATATTACAATTCCTCTTATTTCATAGTCATATTTTATAAGAAAAGAATATTTCCATATTGATTACAAACACCTTTTATTTGTGTGTAGTGAATTTTACAAAGGCAAATAAGAGAGCAATGAACGATTTTCAATGTGAGCCACTGTAGATAGTAACGCAAAGTAATATTATAAGAAAGTTCTATCAAAAATTTAGGTTAGACGCATTAGTACAACGTGTTAGAGTCTACATACGATGTAACGTCAAATTTTCGATCATGACAGTTGCGATAAATTAGAATAACAAATAAATCGTTTAATATTATATTTAACTGTCAAATTGTGTTCGTCAAAACTAGATCATATTTTCGCACATCGGCATGGCACATACCATTGCAATTCTATCCGTGATTCCTAGGTTATCTTACCATCTTCAAATGCAACTTCCAAAGTCAACGATATGCGATGTTTCGCTAGGTATTATTTTTGACATATACTTCCTCTCATGCTCGTGGAGCTCGAATTTTTTCGGCTCATGAAAGCTCTACCAGCGAGCACGTGTCGAGATGTACTACCATTATGATTCCTTGTACACTGAATTTGCGTATATAATATCTATGTACAACTTGACAGAACACCCACGTTATTCAAATATTTAATGCATATTTTAAATACACGCTTTTTCAATAATCCATGGATTATTATTACTGCCTTTTCGTTGAATAAAATTCGACATTCGCTGAAATTAGTTTATTTTCGTGTATTTTCTTTTCATTGTACTCAATGTTTTTCTTTATATTCAGATTCAGACAAAAGTAATACGTTATCGAAATTAAAAAATGCGGATATAGTGGTGACTGATTGTGATTTATTTTTACCATATATGGATAAGTTACCATCTTTAAAGTGGGTACAAATGACATGGGCTGGTGTTGAAACATTAGCTTCACGTTTGCAAAATATAAAACATAATTATGTCGTCACACGGTTTTCTGATAAAACCTTTGGTTTTGCTATGTCTGAATATGTGGTAGCACATATATTTAATTTTGAACGTGATCAAAGGCAACAGTATGAAAAACAAAATGATTGTCATTGGGAAAAGAATGGAAAAATTTCTGATCACAGATTGATTTGTGATCTATCTGTAGGAATTTTAGGCTTAGGAAATATTGGAAAATCAAGTAAATATGTATCATGTTCTTCATTGTCGATTTCTGACAAAAGTACTTGATTTTATATAAATATACATTCAATTTTTGCAGTTGCACAGAGATTGAAAATGTTTGGGGCTACTGTGTGGGGTGTCACACGAACACCACTTAAAGAAAAATTAGATTATCTGGATAAACATAGGACAGTTGAATTTTTATCTGACATGCTCATACATTGTGATTACATTGTTAATGTTCTACCATCCACATCTAATACTTTCGGTTTACTAGGTGGAAATACACTAGAAAAGTGTAAGCAAAGAGGTAGTGTCTTCATCAATATAGGTCGGGGTACAATTATTAATGAATTAGATTTATTAAATGCTCTTCAGCAACAATGGATTTCTGGAGCAATATTGGATGTTTTTGAACAAGAACCATTGCCAAAAGACAGTAAATTGTGGTTATTACCACAGGTAATTTTTGTTTACGTTGTAATATAAAAGACAACTATAGGCATTAATTAATTTATTTTAATTAATCACATTTTTATATAGGTTACTATCTCACCACACATTTCAGGCGTAACTCGTCCCCAGGATGTTGCAAGATTTTTTGCTGAGAATTATCAGAAATTCATTAAAGGCGAAACTTTGTTAAATACAGTAAATACTCAAGAAGGTTACTAGTTATTCTTTAACTACGGAAGGGATTTTTTTTCAACACAATTTATACAGTATGACAAGGAAGTGAAATAATACAGATAATGATTACTAATGTATAGTAATAATATGTATCATATAACGATATCATATAATGATACATATTATTAGTATTATAAAATATTCTTACAAAATATTTACTTTGTTTCTTGAAGTGCCAGACATGGAGATTCTTTCAAACTTTGTACACTGAAATCATAAATAACTTGCACTATTTTATTTACCAGAATTCTTCCAATTGTTCGTACTCTTTCTTAGTTAGTCATTTTAATTGTTTTGACAATATGGTGATGTATTAGATATGCACATACTTATGTTTTCATTCAAATAACGTTCAATATGAATATTCTGTAATATCATTAGAATATCTTTGAAACTTTTTTCAAAACCTTATACAAATGACAATCAATTTCTAATTACTTTATACATATTGTGTTTTTAAATGAGATTAAAATGAGTTATTCAGTCATTATAATATATGTCAAGTTATGTCAAGATTTTTTAATAAATGTTCATCACTTTTAGCAATAATAAACTATATATGAATTATTAACAATAATTAAATATACGAGACAGATTATCCATATCACATCCTTACTTGAGAGTCTCTAACGGAGTATTACCCCGCCATCTGTGCTTCGTGTACTTAACCACGCTACCACTCGGTATTTGCATGAAATACATTCATGACAACATGAAGCTTTGATAAACTTTCAAATAGAGATGCCAGAAAAGCACCGCCGGGTGCACACGCACACATGCCAGATACGCGTACGTGAGCTCGTGGAGTTTCGGAAAGTCGACAAAGGCAAACTGACGCATGGCCTCTTTCTCGATTCTCCGAAGCTGCCCGAAGTAATTTCGGATCGCCTCGTGGGAGTCGAGAGAGAAAGGCTCACATTTGCCTTCTCGCTCTAAACAACTGAAATCCGACCTCCCGTCAACGGCATACGATTTGGATTCTCGAGCCGAGATTCTCGACTGCCCAGGCATTTTTACTTTCCGACCTATGTAGGCGCACATAAGCAAAGTACCCATAATGAAAAAAAAATTTTGTAAAATTTATTTTACGGAAATACACGTTTTAAGACCTCCTGATCATATTTTAATTATTGAAAAAAAAGAAATTTTTTTTATTCCCATGTATGAGCACACATATGTATATTATTATTACGATTGAGTATAAATAGCTAAATGAATTTAAATGAAACTTTACATTTAAGTTTTATGTTCTCATTTCAAAGTCCGGTTAGACTTTGACTATAATCAGTCCATGGATAATAATGATTATACCTCTTGTTTCATAGTTGTTCCGATATATGTATAGGCATAATGTATAAAAAATCTTTTAAATGTTTCATATAAATCTTAGGACGAATTAAATTTTATATATGTTATACAGACGCGTAGAATGGAATTAGGAATTAAGAAATACGTAGGGTATTCGTATACATGCTTTATTCCCGTTCTTTCAGCGTCGGAAAAACAAATGAGCCCGTCCTGGGCCTAGACCCTCGCCTTTGTCGTCAGCCTTCTCCCCCATCGGTAGGGGTGGGAGTGTTGACGGACGAAGGCCAGACGCGGTCCCTTGCCAGCGCCTCGGCTTGGGCCTCGCCTTTTCCCGACGCCTTACATATAAAAAAAATTATATAAACTTTTTCGCTATCTTCTCTAGAAAAGAAAAAATTAAATGAAATCTTATACATTACATGCTTACTTAAATCGCATTGAAAACGAATACCACAAATGTTTTAGAATAATGTGCAAAATGTGATTACGATTTTCGCTAAGACAAATTGAAAACTCGGTTCTAACAAGGAAAAGTTGGAATGGTACCCGATTTTGGGTTAGGTTTTACTTTGAGATATTAATAAAGTTATTACAGGTACTTATCTTCAGAAATAGAAATACATTCAACAACCAGCGTGGCGTGAATGATAAGGTATTTGCCTGCAAGTTCCGAGCTTCTTCTGCTCTGCAGATTCAAACCCTGCCAAAACAAATCCTTTTTTTTATTTTTTCAATCATATTTTAATCGTACACTAAATGTGACATTATATTTTTGTCTGACCTTCGAATATTTTTTTTTTTAAATTGAATTTAACATATGTTATTTTCAATGTACGAAGTACATGAATCTGGATGGTACTTTTCGTAAAAACAGTGAAAACATAACAATTTCAAGCACCACCTACATCTAATGAAAGTTCTGTTTTCACAGAAATAACAAAATTTTGTATCTAACTCTGATGGAAAGGCCGCTTCATTTACATTGATAAAATGTGAACGATTTTCGGATAGTCGTACCTTGTAGCTCGTACTTTTTACCTTATACTTCAGGTAAAAAGGGATATAGCTGGGAAAAACAGTTTTATGACATTACCTGCTAACTTATGTTACTGTTCTACAATGAAACGCTATGTTTTGTACCTTTAAAAATATTCGACTATGTCCTTTTAAAATTTAAGATACAACCCATACTTTGTATTAAACTGGCAAACGGGATCACTTTTCCTTTGTTTCTAGTTAGTTCTATTTAGTTTGTCATAACAAATTGATACGGTTATCTCAAAACAATCGAGGAAAATCATTATTAATTAATTTCTGCAATTATTAATTCTACTGTTTTGTTTATGTTATAAAAGTAAGAACTCTTCTTATTGAAAAATACCACAGCGTGCACAATACTGGTAAAGAGTGGAATCTCATTTTAATTTATTAATTTTCAATCTTAAAGTATTTTGATTTTGAAAAATCGTATTAATAATATATGTACATTGTTGTATGACTAACTCATAAGCCAACATAGATACCGCACTAGAATCATCCTTACACAAACATCCCAGTCATAGGTTCCAAACTCCAGTCTTTCTAGCCTCCTGTACCCGCTTACTCATCCTGTACCCGGTTACTCACTCCGTACGCCACCATTGTCACCCTCAAATATATAAACGACGCACATTTTTGGACTCAAGTCAGATCTCTGTACTTAGTTTGTACTTACTAACGTGCGGAACTTGCCGTAACGATCGAATAAAACCACCAGTCTCTCTAGTAAAGTGTTGTTCTTAATCCCGCAACCCGGGATCCAACAACATATGCACGCTCATACATGGGACTAATAAAAAAAATTTCTTTTTTTTCAATAATTAAAATATGATCAGGAGGTCTTAAAACGTGTATTTCCGTAAAATAAATTTTACAAAATTTTTTTTTCATTATGGGGGGTACTTTGCTTATGTGCGCCTACATAGGTCGGAAAGTAAAAATGCCTGGGCAGTCGAGAATCTCGGCTCGAGAATCTAAATCGTATGCCGTTGACGGGAGGTCGGATTTCAGTTGTTTAGAGCGAGAAGGCAAATGTGAGCCTTTCTCTCTCGACTCCCACGAGGCGATCCGAAATTACTTCGGGCAGCTTCGGAGAATCGAGAAAGAGGGCATGCGTCAGTTTGCCTTTGTCGACTTTCCGAAACTTCACGAGCTCACGTACGCGTATCTGGCATGTGTGCGTGTGCACCCGGCGGTGCTTTTCTGGCATCTCTGCTTTCAAATAACACCCTGTAAACATATTCTAACCTACCATGCATGTTAATTATAGATAAAATACTTTGTGTTAAATGTAAAATAAGAAAAAGAAAATGAAGAATCCTGCGAATGATCATACAAAACCTTTTCGTTTTGTTAAGGTTTACATAAAACAAATTAACAGTGTTAGTAGATTGTCATTTCAAAACTTAATCAGTAATCTGTACTCACCCGAGTTATTCTTCTTCATTATTTAGAAATCCAGAACAGTCCTGAAATAAATTAAATATTTGCAGTATTTTCTCATTTATATTGATCCCAAGCAATGTCACCAGATTTGGCATAATTGAGTGCATCGACGTCGACACTAGAAACGATGAACTTCCTTAGCGTGCTTCCTAACGCAGTGGTGGGGATAGCAACATACTACTGCATGTATACTACCGCAAGAGCCATGTATACGTGATCTCGGCACTTCGCGCTATTTCGGGAAATTGAGAAAGAAGGCGAGTGTCAGCCTTTTCTTCTTGCTCTTGTAATAGCTGAAATTCGGCCTCGCGACAATCGACATAAAATTGCAAGTTTCAATTGCCTCAGCATTTTTAGTTTCCGCCCTATGCATGTAGATATAAAGGAAGTACCATAATGAAAAGAAAATTTCGAAAATTTGTTTAGCGGAAATACACGTTTTAAGACCCCCTGATCATATTGTGACTATTAAAAAAAGAATATGTTAATAGATTTCAATGAAACTTTACATTTAAGTTTTATGTCCTCGTTTCAAGATCTGATTACATTTTGAGCGTAATCAGTTCACGGATGATGATGATTATACGTCTTGTAGTTTTTTAATTATTCCGATACATATATGTATATTATTTATGAAAATATTTTAAAACATTTTATACAAATCTTAAGACGGATTAGGATCAAATAAACTTTATCTCTATCTATCTGCTGTTACAACAATGACTCATGCAGGTTGGTGACAGTGTTTTGTTTATACGCCTCGCGGGTCATAGGGCCGTAAAAATGACGAGGAAGAAAAAGCAAAGACATATGTAGATGTACATAGCCTAGTCCCCACAGGTTTTAAAAGAGCAATAATTAAAAATAAAATTCTACTGCACGATTAGCAGTCAATTTAATGAATTTTAATAAAAAAAAGCAAGACGAATGTGGAGGTTTTAATATACAGCGTATGCTAATGTTACAAATAAATAAAGACTTTTTACATTTTCCTCCTGATGGAAGGAGGGAAATTAAGATCCATCAGATTTCCATTGAACGGTAACGTCCACATTATTGTTTTCCCAACATTTAAATTATTTTGTCCTGTAAAGTTAAGTAAAATATATAACATCTAATTTTGTGTAACTAATTAATAGGTTTATTGAAAAATGTAGCGGGAAAAGTCAGTACTAATCTATTTCTGTAGTAATTAATTCTTCTATTTAGATTATATCTTTAAAAAATATTTCCTTTGAATGAAAGTTCTTACAGCGTGCAT